CTAGGTATGTAGTCTACGCAAATATACCGGACCAAACCATCTCAGCCGCTGTTTCACGTATGTTCTCGTATGATATTCTGCCTAGCCTCAACATGATAGAACTTGATCAGATCATAAGGCATATTTCTAATTATATTTAACATGATTGTTTCTACCTGCTCTATGCTTTCAGAAGTCAACACGGCACCAAGTGCTACAACATATTATTAAACAACAAACCTTAGGTAGGTATTCAGCTACAAAAGCCCCTCTTTTCCTCCCCTCCGAACTCGTTCCTCTTGTAAGATGACTCGGAAGACCGGGCTCCGGGGCGAGGGCCGATAGGTAGCCGATATCCTCGGAGCTCAAGAATTTCCGGAGGTCTTCAATTCGGAAGATCTCGATGACCTGATTTTCTCGTTTCTTTCTTATTCTTCCTTTTTCGTTGCGTCTTGTGTTGTTCGTTGCACGGGCGCTTTGATGTCGTCGGATGCCGGCTCGGCTCGCACACGTAACGTTGCCTGCACACCTCACACATACGTAGCTGGCTGTTTGCTTTGCCACATGGTTATCTCCGCCGAAGATTACCGACTCGAGGAGGGTAGGAGTTGAAACATGGTGGATATCGATGAAGACGAGGAGGAGGAGGATGATGATGATGATGATGATGATGATGATGACGGGATCAATGAGCGGTGTCAATGACTCGTTTCCGGGATTCTCTCCGGCTGAATGTACCTAACCTATAATCCCTTTCTTCAAGCAAACAAGAGGCAAATTCAACACCGACTTTTCGTAAATAGCCAAGTTATTTTTTGAAGCACAGACACGGGAGCAATAGGGAGCAATAGGTCCCCTGATTATAAAGTGGATTTCATAGGTCAGCTGGGCGAGAGTTTTCAGCTTGGATGGGCCGAACAACTATAAACCAAGAGGTATTATACATAAGAGTCTAGACAATCGCTATTACAGGTCTCGTCGGATGAACGTCGAAGCCACCTTGCGGAGACGACGCACGTCCCCAGAATTCCCCATCCCCATTTGCGGAGGCGGAACGTGATCAACACAAGCTATATATAGGTCCATCAAAAAAATGCGTGGCCGACCTTGGTGCCGTCTACGTGGATGGCTCGTCGTTGGCTGGGCTGTTGGCCTCGCCGCCGCACGTGCCTTGATGATGCAACAGGTCGGATCTTATAGGATACCAAGCCCCGGGTTCCATACTTGCCCAGGTGTTCGTGTTCCCCCTGAGCTGCTGCTTGACGTAGCCCCGTTCATGTATGATGACAGATAGTAGGTAGTCGAGGAATTATTGGCTGATCTGGAATTCGATAGATGTCACTAATACAGCCGCAAAAGGGGTCGACCCCCAGGGGTCTTTCTACTAAGACCAGATTGAGACTCCGCACTCCCGGGGTGCCCCTTTGGGACGTAGAAGGAACTAGGAAAGGGGGTACTCTAAAGGTATCTATTAGAATATGGAGATTTTCCACTTTGTATACAATGGGGGTCTTATGCACGTCTTAGGAAGGGTCTCGGGGTCTCTCCCTGAAGTACTGCTTCTGCGGAACGCCAGTAGATATGATTCGTTCTTAAGCTAAGTATTCACAGGTACTAAATGTAAAAAGGCACGAATGAAACCCACGTATTTTCTTGTTCCTTTCGTATAAGCGGCCGCTATATACCGAATAGGCAGATATATAACTCACTTAGGAATAGCAACGAGATTCCATTTCCCGATGCTATTCGGGCAAAAGGGACACATGACAACTAGCAAATATAGAATTGTTAGATAATAGAAACATTAATTTTCCTCCTAGACTCACCGCCAATTCCTCTTTATGAACTTCTAGGCTGTTGTCCTCGGTGGAGCCGTCTATAAGATGCCATTTGAAGCTCCGCCTATGCATTGACGAATGATTCTTACGGGTACAGGCTGTTGAAGTCCTTGAACTGAGATTATAGTTTAATACGTAGTTTACAGGTAAATATTGACTCGAGGGTATTAGTGAATCTAAACCGGAAGCAATACTCTAGACTCATCACGAGTTATCCGAGACACTAGATAGAGCCCATATATTACTGCACCGAACTCGGGACATGATGTTTTATATTGGCGTTTAGACCAATAACAAATCCTGTTTGTAGTCTTTGGACATTGAGGTATTAGACTAGCTCTAGCTTTATACTGTTCAGATCTTCGAATAAACCTCATATAGCTTATCGTAATTATATACCTAGGTAGTCACGAAGATAGTACCTAAGACATGATGCTACACTTGAAAGCTCGTTGTCATAAAGTGAACTATCTTCACTAAATGTAAATATAGTCTTCCACGAAATACAAATTTCATCAAGATAATTCAAAGTTTTTATTCTATATAGCTCTACGTATATCAAAGCTATCGTTTCTGGCTCGCTAGAGCAAGCCACTCCTTAATCCTCTGCGATGCAAAACGAGGCAAGTCCTTGTACTTGTTTTCATCATACGTGTCCTCGATAGCCTTCACAAGTCGTTTTGCCTTCGAGATGGTAAGTCTTTTCGCATCGAGATAATGCTCAGTTGTCACGAACTGATCTGCATCGTCTGTCAGATCCCGCCGCTTCTTGCGCACGGCGGGGGTATCTGTTTTTTCCGCGGCGCAGAGCGGACAGCTGCATTCGAAGCCCCAGGTGGTCATTAGTGCTGCTTGCCTCGCGTCGTAGTCGCTCGATTCGTCGTAGCTGTGGAAGATTTCCTCGCCGGCGGCGATGGGCCGGGTAGCGCGGAGGACCATCAGGTCGCCTACATATTCCTTCTTGGCATTCGCGACACATGAGTGGTTGATGTATGCGGCCCAGATCCAGAGACCCGTACTCGCATTACTGATACCTTCGTCTCCGAATTGGCTGCCCGGACCGAATGCATTACGGGATACGATGTCGTGAACTCGGAAGGTGTCGACTACGGGACCATCTCCAGTCTTGGACACATTGCTGCCGTCTCCCTGGTAGTCGCCGTATAGATCCATTACTTTTTCGATCTGGGAGGGATTGCTAAGAAGCTTTTGAACGATAGCTTTGCTCAGACCGACAGGTGACACCCTGATTCTGTCATCCCGCACGTCGTATGTCATGGCTGTCATAGCCTGTTTCTCGTGGCCCCAAACCACGCAGAACGCTTTCTCGCATATGATTATCTCCCCGGCAGGAATATCACGGGTCGCGAATAAGCCACGTCCTCGTCCCTTGCTCTCCTCTACCTTTGTGTTACTAAGGAAACTTGCGGCGTCGATACGTGGACGGGCTCTGGATAGGTTGGCCTTGATCTTCTTAAAATTGTATGCTCCCGTGTTTTGCTCGCGGAAGCGCACTTCAATGTTTTTTAAGTAAGCAGCCGCTGTTTTGTTATCAGGGGTAAGCTTAAGTTGCTCTTCAAAGAAACCCTTTGCTTCCTCATATTCGCCGAGGTTGTATGCTGCAGAACCAGCCCGGAAATATGCCTTGCTGTCAAGGTCTTTGGATCGCTCATCATCCTTGCCGATAAGAGCAGCCTTTGCATCACTCTTTGCCTCATCGAGTTGGGTTAGAAGAAGGTTAACATGAGCTCGATTGCGAAAAAGATCTCGGGCCAAGTCAGGGTTAGTTTCAGACACAACATCTTGTCTGGCGGCTTTAAGGCCGTCGGTATACTTTGCGTGAGCCAAGGCTAATTTCTGCTGTTCAAGGGCCGCATTGCCCTTGTCTTTACAGGTCCTTGCAATCTTCTCTGCTTCTGCCGCGTCTTTAGCGTGGCCTACTTCATCCCGACAGACGATTATATCTGAAGGATGGTCAACCCGAATCGTAGGTTCACCCTGATCCGTAAGAGTAAAGTAAGGCTCCTTTATGATAAAGGTGGATGCTGATTCCAGCACCTCTTCGCCATGTCTTGACTTATGCAAGCACAATTCTAGACGCTCCATATCCTCTTCTCCTTCTTCCTGCACCATGGTCCACGGCCTCGCTATAAGCGGAACCACTGGGCTCGCGCGCTTCACAGTGAGCCGACGGCCACGATGATGAGTCTCTATTTGGAGATCGACCAATTTGATGGGCTCTAAGTCCTGGAGCGTAATGGTACATGGCGGATATACCTGTCCTACGGGGAGAGCCGGGAATATGCCTGCTCGACCTTTCGTCTGCGCCAAGTCAGGGTCTGGCGCGCCCATATCGGCCATAAGAGATGCGCCAGTCGCTTGTTGTTTGGCGGCTGTCGCATCTCTCTTTTCCCGCGCATGGCCAGCAAGTTCGGAACATTTCTTCAGCCTATTTTTGGCGATATTCCGTATGCGCTCTGCTTCCTGTTCGGTCATAAAGACCGTGTGTCCATCTTGCTGGGAAGCCATCGCGAAATGCCAGCGTTGTGAATGCGAACAACGCCGGACTATCTTTTGCGAGCCCAATCCAACGAAGCCACTAGGTTAAATTATTTTCAAAATGATTATATTCCAAGTAACCCTGTAAGTCACAAACAGGTACCCAAGAAATTGACTTGAGTTATTTTGGATAGTAAAAGTTTTAACGAATCAAATGCTCGTTTGTTGCTGAATATTGTCCCAAACCAGATGTACCATTCGAATAAAAATTTTGAGCTAAGGGACAATCTAAATTTTGAAAGCCGACACTTGATTTGCTAGCACTTTGCGACTCTATGCGGCTTGTATCGGCCCCAGGGCCCTTAGCTCGACACTTAGGGGAGATAAATAAAGTCACTTTGTTACGAGTATAATAAGTCGGCGACAGAACTGTATATCGATCGCTACCTAGGTACTTTAACAGATAGTTTAGATACTCTTAGCGCGATGCTTAAACTCGAACATTAGCACTTAAATTACCTCTATAGCTAATATATAAACCAGCAATGCTCACTTGCTTCCTGAATTTTTACTATTAAACTACCACTTAGAAAAATAAATCAACGGAATGTACATGCTGAGGTATGTTATGCTAAGCCTATTGAAAACAAATATGAGAGTAGGGGTATATCCGAAATGACATGCAGAAATCAACTAGTTAATGGTATGATGGTATGATTTTAGTAATATGATTTGGGCGGTGTGCTCAAGTGCTTGATTGCTTGTTGTAGTATATTTTATACAACAGATTCCACCCCCTTATTTTTAACCTTTGGGTTTCTCTCCCCTTTTTTACTTACATTGCCTACCTGCTGATTCTAATCAAACCAGTACGTAGAGTGAGCATATCTATAGCTGTTAGTTTGTATTTCTCGTTCCAGAAGCTCAAGAGAGTACAACAACTTACCAAGCTCAAGCCCATGATCATACTACACCAAAAAAGCACATTATTCGCCGTCTTATGGGCGCGCACCCACTTCGTTCGCTGCAGTATAACAATCGGTAACTGCAACATCTGGCAAATAAACCCGTAACCACGAAGCTTCTTGGTGATGCATGCCATGACGATTTCGTGACCGATGGCTGAGATTAGGAACGTAATGACTGTCGCGTTGCTGCGGCCGATGGTGGGCTTCGATGTCGCGTATACATGGCGCCGTAGGAACGAGTACACCGGCACGTTCCACTCACGGCTGAACTCCATCCAGTCGGTGCTGTTCCACCAGTCGCTATAGAAGTGACGGTCCGCGAACTTGGTGATCTCGGCAAAGGCACCTAGGATATACTCAAAGATGACGAGAAACACCAGCAGGAAAGTCAACATAAAGGGGAACAGAAGCCACGAGATGTTCTCGGAGAGGATGAGCAACGTCTCGGCTACAGATGAGCTGTTTTCTAGTCGGACTGTGGATTCTTGCAGCACAGGCAAGATGAACTCTTCCGAGATGATGGTCAATAGGAATATACAGCCAAAGGTGGCGACTATCTTGGCTATAAGTGATGTCCAGTTGATGGATTCCTTGCGCGGGTACTCGAGTTCGTAGCACAGCGTCGGACAGAGAAGGTAGTCGACGTAATTCGGCCACGATAGGTTCCGCGGATATGTCACGTTGCCAATGGGGCTCGTCAACTCGCGAGCCAAGTCCTCGCGCAACTGCGATAGACCCTCGTTCTCATCATCGCTATCAACCTTCATCTCCTCGTGCACTAATTCGCCCATTGGGTTATCAACCGAAGGGTAAACGTATGCCGGGGCCTTCGAAGCGCTGTGAGGCTCGTCGAGAGCGCGCAATCGCTTTTCCGTTTCCGAAAGATGGCCATTATAGAAGGCATAGGAATGCATTTTCATGAGCAGAACCATGGTGTGTAGCAGGAAAAATACCTGGGAAGTCCAAGTCCAATTGAGAATGAAGGGTATAGCGATCCAAAATGCAAGCCATACAACCTGATATATGCTTTGGATGGCCATTCCACCCTTCTTCCACCTCAATAGTCCCTGGCTACTCCTAAATAGTTTATGCAGAGGCAAACTAACGGCGGTACTAGCAACCATAGAGAAATCGGCGACAGCTAGATGGGACAACTTGACGGCAAAAAGGTTCCATATCTGGACGCGCAAGGGGTATCCAGTATCCTTATAGTTGCGCAGCATAGTGGTGATTCCCATGATAGCCAGGCCAATCCAGAATAGGTTGAAGAAGCCATGAAAGTCGCGATAGTCGGATTCGGGATCGAAGTGAGAGACGCGCGAGGCAAACTCGATGGTTGGGAAGATACGCCGTCGCTGTTCCGCTCGAACCTGTTTCCGTGCACTAGACAGAGCCTTTGTCGACGCGGGAGCATTTTCGGGGACAGGTGTCGAACGGCCACTGGAATAATGAAATTCTAGTCAGCTCAGGTCGATTTTATATACTTGGTAGAAGTCGAATTATATATAATAATAATAAATAATAATAATAAGTAATCACCTTGTCATGCCCGAGCCAGTGTCCTCTACGGGCGCCTCGAGGTGTCCATTTCCATTCCCATTCCCATTTCCATTAGCATTAGCATTAGCAGAAACACCGCTATTCTCTTTAACAAGCTCGGCAACTTGGGCATGTTGAAGTTTCCGCGGTCGCGGACGTAGGATATGATCGTGACCACCATTCGTCTCGATGTTGGTGGAGGACATTGTGTATATTCTTCGCGCGACGGCCAAAGGGAAGGCTTCAAGGTTTCGGAAACGGATAATCGATAGGGAGACGGCAACCGGTGCGAGCCCCCCAATAATAAGGTAACGAAGTATCCAGGGTTATAGCTGCTATTGCAAGTGCGTGACTACATGTAGCTTTGGCGAGTCAGGAGAGAGTTTAGAGGTTGGGGAAGAGAAGTATAGACGATGTATAGTAAGTTAGTGAGCTATGTAACTAGTTGGTTAATGAGTGTATGGTGCTTCGTCAACGAAGAATTATATGTTCAAGTATGTAAGAAAATAGAAACGATGGGGGAAAAAGGAAATAAATAAATAATATAAACGAAGCTAAACTACAACGGCGTCATATGTTGATCGATCGAATGCGAGTGCGATTTTCGCCCTATTCTAAGGCCTCGAATTGCGACTCGACAGTGGATGACACGCAATCCAAAACGGGAACAAGTCACTGCCACTCTGCTAAATAACTTTGCCACTGTCGTCGTCGTCGAAGAAAATGTTCATTTGGGGAGGAAATGGGGAACAGAACAGCTATCGGTACCTGCGCTATAAGCAATCTCTTTAGGGGTTGCTAGGTACCTCCAGGTGGGTTCTAACTTTTGAGTAGCTGCCTACCTACCTAGGTAGGTACCTAAGGTAGTTAAATTCGGCGGGTGATTACATAAAGGTACCTAGCTTCAGGGGGGCCGAGGGGCAGCTGAGGGGGACAGTTCGGGGCCGAGTCCCCTAATTTATACTAGCGTTGTATTACTTACATATGTACATGTTACATTATGTACACACTTGACGTCAACGGTCCGGGAGTTTGGTCCCTTTAGCTTGCGCGACGTCAGGGTGCAGGTGCAGGTGCATTGGATCTAACAGTTTTTTATCCAGTGAAATAATATTCACATCTCTTCCTATTTCTTTCAAAGCTTCAATTCCCTTGGCTTGAAATATTCGGTTCCCGGCACAGACGCAACGACAACCAAATTTAGTTACGGATTGGTTATGAAGCACTACATACATGTACGACTACCTACGGTACCTAATGTACCTACATTTAAGATATCGGCCATTTATACTGGTGGCCCGGGTGGTCGCTCAGAAGATGCGGCTGCCCGAAAAATACTTCCCGCGCTGTGACCCCTGGCCGCTCAGCCTCTGCTCGGAACAGCCCCCTTCTTCGTAACTCGGGAATTACAAACTCGATAATATCTTCAAATGAGCCAGGGTTCACTACGTGCGCCAGGTTGAACCCGTCCACATCTGCTACCTCGGCCCATCTCTCCAGCTCGTCCACAACAGTTTTGGGACTTCCTATGATCTTGGGCCTATAGAATTCAAGTCGTCAGCTAATTATCTCCGTTCTGGTTTCCATTCCGGATCAACTTCACTTACATCATGCCTCCTATTGATAGGAATTCTGTGATTCGGGCCTTGGTCCATTTTAGCCCCTCGGTACCGGGTACAGTAGCAGACCATCGATTAATCAGAGACCGAATCGCCGGCTTGTCGACTAGAACTAAATCTTCGTCGTCAGAAAACGATGAAAGATCATTTCCGGTCCAGCCGCCGAATAGCGCAAGCGCGCCTTCGCTGTCCCCATACGAAAGAAGCTCCTTATATTTGGCCTGCGCCTTCTCATCCGTCTCGTCAACAATAACGGTAACGCCCGTGAATACTTTGATGTGGTTCGGGTCCCTGCCGAATGTCTTGGCTGTGGATCGAAGCGCGTCAACCGATTTTCGCACCAGCTCCGGAAGCTGACCGCCCATGAACACGGCCTCTGCATGTTTTGCTCCGAATTCTGTTCCGGCTTTGGATGTCCCGGCTTGGAATAGAAATGGCGTCCGCTGGGGAGACGGCTCTGAAATGTGCGGGCCCGGTACTTGGAAGTATTTGCCCTTGTGATTAATCGAGCGCACTCTCCCTGCTACTGCAAACTGCCCCTTTTCACGATCCCGAATGACGGCATCGTCTCTCCAACTGCTTTCCCAAAGCTTCAACCCAGAATTAGTAAGTGGCTAAATTCCTCAAAGCGTTAATGAATCGAGTTCCTACCTTGTAGACTACATCCATATACTCTTCTGCAATTCGGTACCTCTCATCGTGTTCGATCTGCGTCTCCAGTCCAAAGTTTCTGGCCGCACTTTCGAGGTACGAGGTCACAATGTTCCATGCTACCCGCCCTTCAGCCAGGTGGTCAACTGTCGAGAATCGTCGAGCCATAGCATATGGCGCATCGTAAGTAGTTGAGGCAGTGACACCAAAAATCAGATTCTTCGTGGCGGCCGCCATAGCCGGCACGGCATACAGCGGGTCGTTGACTGGGTACTGTGCGCCTGAGGCAAGCACCGGATCTACGTTAGCTGGGCCCTTATAGACGTCGTACGGGCCTAGAGTATCCGCGATAAACATGGCGTGGAAGTCGCCCTTGTCTAAGAGCTGCGCAAGCGACGTCCAGAAGCTGAGCTTATTGTAGTCGTCTGTATGATTCCGCGGGTGCTTCCATAGTCCCGGAGACAGATGCCCAGGCGTCATCATCACGAAGGCATTTAGGAGAAGCTGTTTCTTAGGCTTCTGCGCCTCGCCTCCGGTCTCGTTAGATGACGCCATTCTTTGCTTTGAATCCTATATTTGAGTGATAGAATAGAACACTGAGAATGATCTTATCGTATAACTTCTGATATAGTAGAGTACCTCTGAGCTAGTGAAACACGCGGTGATTATGAAAAATCAACGTAAAATATGAATTCAGCCAGGACACAATATTCTTTTATTTATACACGAGAGACATTTATATATTTCTCTTTCCTAGGTGATAGACCCTGAAGATTATTGTTAGTCTGCTGGAAATGTATAGATACGGAGGTGAATGTTAAGAGCGTCATTGGCCTACCCCGATTCTTCCATCATGCTCCGCGCGGATTGCGTGATGCGAGTTCGGTGTGCCCGCCAGTGTGACCCTCTTACGAAATACCGAGAATAACAGAGTGTATACTGGTAAACAATAATTTATATAATTGATATAATTGTAATTGTGTCATTAGTTCTGTGTCTTTTTTGAGGTTAGGTCAAATCGGCCGGTCATGACGACACCAAAGGGCATATTCAGATTTTAGAACTGGTTCTATTCTGGAAAAACATGAGATGTGTTATACTCTAATACTAATTTGTATATTGGTATAGCTAAATGTGAAGGACAACCGCATTTGTATCATATTTTAGAATTGAAGAGTGAAGGTAGGATGCTAAGACAATACTCCAACAAAATAGCAACGGAAACAGAAAACGGATTTAGTTGTGATTCAGATGGAAAGGGGGGTTGACGCCGCTAGTAAAGTCAGCAGCCATCTAGATGCTAATATACGTGTTCATCCCATTCTTGGCCACTTTCTCCTGACTAACCCCCTTTTTTTCTTCAACTTTTATGTATTAACGTTAGTATTTAGACCTCGAGCGACTCACGTCAACCTGCCGTGTATCGATTCAAGAGGAATAAGATAATGGATAAACTTCCATCGACATTAGATAAATATCGTGGTATATTCCTCATTTAAGAGCCCATAAGATTGGGCAGTTTGCAAGATCCTAAATGATAAGGAGACATACGTATGATGATGGAAATACAGCGCTAGACGCAATATTATTAGCCAGAGGAAACCTGGACAGAACTTCAACAGGCACAAACGATTCTATAGTAGTTATACGACTGGTACTATGCGTTTCTAAATTTCGGAATTTACTTATAATGACCCTATACCCTCTAGAGAATCGCAAGTGCGAAGATCGGGAAGCGCACTCTGCGTTCCGTCGTAGTCGGTGCTGAAAGGGTTGTGAGTGAATATATATGCCTGGAGCCGAAACACTTCGGGTCGGGAGGAGATTACCCCAGGTCTATGACCCGGCCTGTGAGACAGAAGAATCGTGTCATACGATATCATAAGAGACAGTTAAATGCTGGGGGGTTTATCGTCGTCCATATAGCGACGATTAACATCTGAATCACTTGACGGCTTGCTAGACTAATCATGTATCACCACCGAGAAGTCCTACCCTCGACCAAGGCTGATTGATGTACGCGCGGTCGACAAACGTCTTCTTTTCCTGCTTTATACGAGATCTACCATGGCGCTTTTCAAAGCACTACTTGGCAAGTATAAGGTAGGCACCTAGATATGCATCTAGTCACCTTTCTGCAGCCCCCTATTCTAGGTATATAACATGCAATAGTCTATTAGTCTATTTGCTGTGAATCCTTTCGCAGCTCTAAACAACCACCTCGATTCTGTGAGGGCTTTGGTGGGTGGTGATATACTTGCTCGTTTACGATCGAATACTCTTTGGAGATTTCCGGGTATATTCCGCTATTCTCTCTTGTGCTCGTGGTATTTTAGTAGCTTATTCGTTTGCTCCAGTTATTTTGCAACTTTTATGCAACGTTGTTGTCCAATGGCCACGTCCATGGGTCGGTGGCTGCAGCCACACGAATATCTTTGAGAAACAACGACATTCACGTCTGTCTCACATAAGGCGTTGTGAGAAACAAGAAGGATACGCAAGAGAAAGTCTGCTTACCTCTTATAAAGCCCGTTTAGAAGAGGCTACCGTCTAGCATTCCGTGGGGCATTCAGAACACCGAGTCCTAATCACCAAAGCCGGAGTTTTGGATGTGAGCCATCAAGAGGATGGGTATCATCTTGGCGGTGGTAGACTGGGCATGAGAGAGGAGTGATGATCAATAAGGTCCACATTTCAAAGCAAGACATCCTGCCAGAAAACCCCGGACGTGAGACATGTTCATGCAAGACGACGTCCAGCCCGAACACGACCAATTCCAGATCGTAAGTGTACGACGAGAGACGCCTCATTCCTTGGCGGAACGGCGGCCATGGGGGTTATGATTCGCCGACGCCTCGCCCGTGTCTCGCCTACCCGCTCTCGGAACGAAAGACTCCTATCACGGGAGCACAGTGTCTGCACGCCTCGTGATGGGATAGGCGATGGGACTGTTGCCGAAGTTAACGATATGGAGGAATATAAATCGAATATAAGACGATTAGAAAGTTCTCGCGTCCGTCTAGAGACGCGAGACTTCGGGAAGCTAGGAAGTTAATGCTGCCGGCTAGATGCCGAGGATGTAATACGAAAGGTTAGCCTACTCGCCTTTAAGTGAGGGACCCTGCTGCCCTTTTCTTCGCCTGTCTTGAGGAGATGGATAGGTTTGCACGTTGTAGGACCGCATCCGTATAAGCCACAGGATCTACCACTATATCGGATCTTGCACCACGCATCTGGAGACAGAAGGCATGCGGGTCGCAATAATAGGCGCAGGTCCTGCTGGACTCGTGACGCTGAAGCATCTTCTAGCTGCAGAGAGTGCTCTAGGAGTAGAACCCGTCGAAGCTCGCCTCTTTGAGAGCGAATCGGGAGTAGGAGGCACGTTTCTAGCAAGGACTTATGAGGATGCTGAAGTAGGGGCGGATCGCTTTCTCGTTTATCCCGAGTTGGTTTTGAGTGGGAAATTCACTATCACTACACTTTACTGACGCTTGGTTGTTAGTTAGTATCCTCGAGACAGCTCACTAGTTTCTCTGATTTCCGATGTAAGGACGACGAGCCGGATTTCGTCAGTGCGAAACGCTATATTGAGTATCTCAATGATTATTGCACACACTTCAACTTATGGCCGCATATTACCCTCTCGTGTCCGGTGAAGAGCGTAAAAAGCCGGAAAGAGGGCGGCCACGTTGTGACATACTTGCTAGGAGGACAGCAGTATAGTTGGGAATGCGACGCAGTGGCCGTGTGTTCCGGACTTCATGTTGAGCCTAGCATCCCTAAAATCGAAGGCATCGAGAGAGTACCGGTAGTGTTTCACTCGTCACAACTAAAGAGGAGAGACCAGTTCGGCATTGGGAAGACTGTGCTCATACTGGGTAGTGGCGAGACTGGAGCGGACGTCTCGTTCCTTGCAGTCACATCACCAACGAAGCGAGTAGTCATGTGTCATAGGGACGGTTTCCACTTCGCACCAAAGGTAGGACAATCATAATAAATGCATATGCAGACAACGCAGCTAAGGCTCATCAACGGTGTAGAGAAACCCAAATCCTAGATTAGTATTTTCTAGGCGGCGAAGTCCCCTAGATCGCCCTCAAGTACCGATCGATGTCTCCCGGGCGAGTCTTTTTGATACGGCATACGTGCATCCCTGGCTTAGGAATAGCAATGCTCTATGGAAGTATTATGACTGCTATGTGAGATCCATTCTCTGGACTTCGTGGGGCACCATAGACGGAATAGATCAATGGATAGGGGGGAAGCCTAAGGGGTGGACAACTTCAGAGAGTAGGTCTTCTTTCTACTACTGCCAGCCACACTTGTGGGTAGACTCATCGACTAGTACTGATCTATGCGAAGTCTTCTTCAATAAATCGGGTTACAAACTTAGCCCTTACTTTAATGCCGTCTGGAAACCCAAGACACCAAAGGGAATCCCGGAGCGCGTTCGCTCATGGATAGTACGAACGCCAAACACGGAAGAAATCTGCCACGGCCGGCAAGTTGACTTGGCCCCTTGGCCGGAACGAATAGACGAGACCGGCACCGTCGTATTCAGAGACAACGGGCGGCCAGAGTACTCATACATGAAGGATGAGAACATCAAGCCGGATGTAGTCATCTTCTGTACGGGGTACACACATCAATACCCCTTTTTAGGGGATCATAGACGCGATCCGAGGTACTATGAAGGTAAACTAGTTCGGCAGATATGGCCTCGGGAAGACCCTTCGTTAGGTTTCATCGGATTCGTGCGGCCCAACCTAGGCGCAATCCCGCCACTCGCCGAGTTCCAGGCCCAGCTGTGGGTGCTCAACCTACTTGCGCCAGGACGAGTGGCGAGTTCACTACTCCCTAGCGACGAGCCACACTATCAGCTCGTGCGCAAGGAGCATGCACGGATCCGCTACGGTGTTGACCATGAGAGCTATGCATACCAACTTGCATTAGACATGGGCTCTGCACCGTCGTTCGGGGACGTCCTGCGTCTTGGCTTCTCTAGTAGTAATGGTGGCTGGTATAAGCTGCCACTTACATGGGCGCTTGGCGCCAACTTCAACACCAAGTTCAGACTCATCGGGCCATGGAAATGGGACGGCGCGCTCGACATCATGAATACCGAGTTGTGGGACACAGTAGCTAGGAGACAGATATTTTTCGGCCACTTCACACTTTCTTTCGTCCCGATGCTCATTTTTGGACCAACAAGTTTTGTAGTGTTTCTCTACGCTTCCTTGTGTCATATTTTTCAATATCTGCTTCAACTGGTAGAGGTGAACATGTGGAAGCGTAGCAATGACGAAAATAGGGGAAATGGGTCTTATTAGAACCGCACTGTCCGAGTAAAAAGTTTTCCCTTGGCAATAGAAGCGGGGTTAATTAACCCTTTGTATCTCAAGTATCCTTCACAAAACTAAACTACATTAAAGCAAAAAGAAAGAATATTAACCTAGGTTAGGCTATTCACCCCGATCCCGAGTACATGGATGTATAGAAAAATAATAAAAATATGACCCCGACCCGATTTGAACGGATAACCTTTCGATCTGGAGTCGAACGCGCTACCGTTGCGCCACGAGGCCCATATGTTAGAGTTGATGTGAATTTGGTTCGGCGTTAAAGGTATATAACGCATGCTTTTTTGCATCATCCCCAATATTTAGCAAGTGACTAAATGTAAACATTTACATCAATTTTGTGAAGGCGGATATTGATAATCCTCAAGTATCCTCAAACTTAGCTCAATCATATGTGGTTATTATAAAAAAGAACACAATTGTCATACTCAAAACAATACACCTCACGACTTATTTGTAAGTAATTCTATTCGCACCACTACACCTATATTAAGAGACATGAAAGATAAATAAATAAAAATAGACCCCATATCGAAAATCCTAGCCCGTAGTCATAACTCATGATATCCTCGGAGGAAATAGAAATTAATCTTCTCATATATAAAACCGTTACTTTTTCCCCCTATCCCATGCAAACACGGCACATACACCCATAACTGGTATCTCGACATAAAGGGGAAATCACGTCTAAAAACGGAGGACACGCGGCTTCAACTACCCTCCTGGTAGCGTCCCACCATCGTCCCTTAAGTCGAGGGTGTCCGGGAAACTATACGGTTTATCCGACGAGAAGACCTTGTTGAAATGTGCCGCGAACGAGTCATCCCAGAATGGAGGAGCGGGTAGCTGATCCGTACCGGCAGTGGAGAAGTCAGCAGAATGTGTGTCGTCGTCTATGGTTGTCAGTGTTGATGATGGAAACCCCTGCGACTCAGATGTCCAGGCGGTACCGTCGGAATAGTCACAGGTTAGAGACGGCATCTCGGATAATATGGTCTCTACTGGTTGATCTTGCGCGTGTTCTCGACGAAAGCGCTTGACGAGGTTGAGGCAACTGTCGATTTCCGACGCGTTCTGGCGATCATCATCTACTAGATGATGAAGGAAAGCCTCGAACTTGGCAAGTGTGTCGGTGCCGTCTTGATTATCTCCTGCGCCAGATTCCTTTTCAATCGCATCGCAGTCTATTAAATATCCATGTTAGCATCCTCTACTTGGGGTAGGTTATGAAACAATATTTTGAGTCACTTACAAGGTGATGGGACCTCGGAAGTCGGATCTAGTTTGAATATGATCCTATATATCTTCTTCCACTTCTCCTCTTCCGATATCCCACGCTGTTTCTTCCGGATCTCGCCTTTCTGTGTCTCATCAATAGTGTCGATACAGTTATGAGAATCTCGTATTAGACAAGGTGTCTCCGAACGACGGTGCTGTTGGAGATCGTACATATTTTCAAACTCGTCGAAGCAACGGTCGCATCGACGGCGGGCGGAACAGTGGTTACGGTATATATGCTCTCTATGTTGCCCCGTTAGCCATTAGTCCACCGTGCGATTTTCTTACAATGAATATCCAAAACTGACTTCAATCTATTTATCGTTCGACCTTCAGGTATAGTGCACGCTTTCCAGGCTTTCGTGTTATATTTCCCCGGATTTTGTTTGTAGAATGGACAGGCGAATAGTTTCCCCTCTACATCAGGTCCCGACGGTTCTACGACTTCATAGCCGGTTGCTTGAAGCGGGTTCTGCTCCGGAATATCTGGCGGTTTATCCTTGGAAATATTCTGGGTTAGTGTGCCCCCTTTCTTACGCACTTTTTTCTTTTTCGGCTCGTGGCTCATGTTGTCGTAGCCGGTCATATCGTCGAAGACTCGTCTCCGGCTTTTTAGATCCCCGAGAATACTTTGAGTAGGAGAAGTCTGCCCCTTAGGGAGGACATATCGATGAGGTAGTACGCCGAACTGACGGCCACCCGATGCACCCTCTATAGGCATCATACCGTTTGGAGAAAAATTAAATAATGCAATATCATCATCTCTGCCATAAGGTTCACTGAAGTTGGGCCAAAAGGGACCCTGTCGGGATACTGCTGTTGAATCTGTGAGATCCAGCCCGTTAGAGCTTGATAATTGGTCCATATTGAAATTGATTGGTTGGGTTTTGCTTTTCAATACTGAAGAGTTGTTTTGGTGAAGGCTTGTGAGCTTTCGGGTTGGCCACGGCGGTTTGCGAGGCCGCGGAATAGCTACCGTGTACGTTGGGTCCTCTAAACATCTCTGTCGAAGACATTGAAGTTTCTCCACAACTCGTGAGATGCTGGCTCTCGTTTCCCTGTTGGTATCGAGTAGGTCATTGCGTGTAAGATTCACCAAGTCCGTAATATAAGGACTTGTTGCCTTTGCCGTGGTGAGATTATTGACCCACTGTGCTATTAGTAGAGAACCTCATATATCCAAGACTGCGGGACTTACTAGAACAACGCTTGTTTTGAGCTGTGCATCTGGTGAACCTCCTTGTCTTGCGACGATCCTAAAGAACCCGTCGTCTCTGTCCCCCGCTTTGTCAGTTCGTTGGTCTACGTCGACTCGAGAGAGGGCGAAAGACTTGACCCCTTCCCACCCGCAAAGCATCCAAGTGAGAAGCTCAAGGAAGACGCATCCGAGGGACCAAATATCGTAGGCGCTGTCAATCGTCCCTTTTATGTCAAGTTCCGGGGCCCTATAAGTGGGCGAGAATCCGATAGGGTGGTCACCTCTGTTTCTTTCCATCTGGCGGTTTAGTGTACCAAGACCAAAGTCGCCGAGCGTCCAAACGAGATTTTTACTGCGAATTTTCTTTTTGAATAAAAGAATATTCAAAGGCTTTATATCTCCATGTCGCCCGTAGTGTGATGAATTTGCCTCGAGTGTAGAGTGGCCATGATGGATTTGACACAGGGCAGTGACAATTCCAAGACATTGTTCTGAGACCCATCTTGAGAGAGACGCATCTGGGACCGGGTTTGGGTTGTCTTTCCAGAAAGAGTGCAAACTGCCTCCTTCAGCCCATGGGAAGAGCAGGTAGAACGAACTTTCGTGCCGGAACGCTGCCAGAAGTTTAACAACGTGTGGATGTGGGGAGACCACGAATGGTCTTAGAGCGGCTACTTCGCGCTGAAAGTCTTCAATTTGTTGGGAGCGTAGTTTTTTCAGAGCGAAGTATGGATTGTCCTAGGAAGTATTTAGCAGCTAGATCCCGCATCTATAAGCTAACTTCTAATACGTACCTGATCATCCCCAAAATCGTGATGTCGATGATGGATTTTAACTTTTCGAACAGTACTGTAGCCACCAATTTTGATGGAGGGCGTGGCAGCGGCATCATCGTCGAAAATGGGGAGGATAGTTTGCGCGGAGAAATCGTAGAGAGAGACATCTGTTGTTGGTGCGCTGAGAAATGGGGACAGGACTACCCATTGAGTCTCTATAAAGGCGTCGATACTAGACATTTTCCACTTGTCGAAACACCGTGTGACTAGTAATACTAGTGATGGGGGATAAGGTCGCGGTGCCTTTTCATCTTGGAAGTGAGCGTGGCCGATTGGGAGCAAGGAATCCGTAAATCCGCAAACAATAAATAATGGGATCGTTTCAACTTTGCCAATGAGAACCAGGGTTATAAACGTTTTCAGAAGTCGAGCCTCCGGTACTTGTGACTCGAGGCTCGACTTCTGAGAGTTTTTTCCCCGACCAGTAGCATCGTCGATGGTGATACCTAGAATCTGAGCGGTATAGTTGTAGAGGGCGGATTCGGAGAGTGTTGGCATAGCTCTATCGAGCTCTTCCTTCACTAGTTGTGGCGTTATAGTATCGATCTGATTTGATGGTAGAAAGGATCTTGATTTAGAGTCAAGACTTCTACACATTGACATGGTGAGTCGAGTGGAGAGAATAGGGGGGGAAATATGCTGTTCGTCGTCGATATAGGTCTGTTCCGCTTGATTTGTCCTGGAGTTTGTAACACTCAGCTGTGGCGGGCGTTCAGACCATGGACGGCTTTCTAAGTTATTACACTTGAGGCCGTCCCTATCATGATCGTATTCTTTATCCATGACGATCGTAGAAACACGAGCAGCAGTTCCATGTATAGACTGCCATAAGGTTCCCATGAACTAACTGACAAATCATTTAGGTTTTCTGAGTTCTGATATATATGGTGTCTCCTGTGACGTTCGGGAACCAAAGAGGCAATGGTTTTATTGAAATAAAAGGGGAAATGAGTGACTAAAGGTAAGTAATGGGGTTGGTGAGTGTAAATTTGATGGAGAAGTTTCAAAGTAAGAATGAGCAGAGAGCAGACTGGGGTTACAATGTTATATTTATTCATATGAGGGTTGTCGCATGAGGCTGCAGATGCATGGCTGCGTTATTGCGCATCGGCGCAATCCGTAGAGCTCCAGGTTTGTCCGTATTAGACGCTCTGATTCGTCCAACTCTCACTGCCCCCCTCAGTCTCTTCAACAAGGAACTCCTCTAACTGGGCGAAACTGATAGGACGGTACCTCACAGATGCGAAGAGAATCGAAATGTGTCGTGCGCGAGTTCAAATTGACGGCTTCACAAAAGAGTTGAAGAGACATTATATCGAAGTTAGTGTTGAATATGTGCAATGCATTTTTATTCCGTATTCTGTATTCTGTATTCTGTAGATATACATAGACTGCTAATAAGCAGACGACACCAACTAGGCTCAAGATTTGTTTTATCCCTAATAGGAGCAAATAGAGACTTGCAGCGCCATGCAGTTTGTTACCTATCCGTAACACCGGCGCTATCCAAAACCAAATCCCTATAAGAACGAATATGTCAATACATACCTTATACACAGCCACTCATTTCCATGATAGGCTCCTAAATCCTGCGACTTAGTGGTGGCGTATTGTCCTCTGGTGTTCCAGGAACTAATGCAATATGCCTTTTTTCCCTCTAACGAAGTCCTTCGGTATCGCTTCCAGAGCGTTCTCCCATCTGGTATGCGCGGCATCTGCTTGAGCAATGTCGCCCGCTTCCCTATACCAATGCTCCAACCGCTCCAACTCGCCGAGAAGGTATCCCATATCGGGATCCCATCGACCCTCCATCACCGAGACAATTTGTTCAAGGTAGTGTACCGATAATTGGTGGTTTGATTCCTTGGAAATCGGATCTTTCTTCAGTAAAAATTGATTCCTGTGGTAGTGGGCTAGCGAAGTTAGTGCGATGTAAATGAAGAATTCGGTGTTGTATGCAATGCCCTTCGTGTTCTCGAGGACCGTATTGGCAAGCTCGAAAACGCGTTCGCCTTGCCATAACGTCTGGTTTCCTAGAATGAGTAGTTCGGTTGCCTGAAAAACGGTCAATTCCTCTATCGCCGTTGGCATGGGCCCTTGGACTAGTCGCTTAAAGTCGCAGCGGCTCTGAAGACGACGATAGGGCTGGGACTGGTATTGGTAAGCTCGTGGAATGAACAATATAGGATAAAGCCTTGGTAACGTATCCGCCGGGAGGCCAGAATGATGTTCCTCGACTTGAAGGAGCTTTTCGGTACACTCGAAAATGAAGTCCCAGAACTCCTCATATTCATGGGTGCTGAGATATTTCCACATTCCCTGAAAGAGTCGCGCCATAGGCCCATCGAGTCGAACGGCAGACGCGTATGCTGAAAGGTATCGCCAAATTTCCTTGACAACCCCTTTATTCGAGGCATCAAGCACAGTGATTAACAAATGCAGCAATCCATATATCGATGGCTTTTTAAAAACCAAGTGCAAAGACTTGAAACCTTGCTCGCACATTGCACCACCCCTTTCATACTGCCCAACAGAGAATAGCCAGTCCGCATTCGTAATATCTGTGATCGCACAACGTAACTCGTCTCCACGATAATGGGCTGCGCAAGCAACTAATGGGGTATCAGGCGGACAGTACCAATTCCAGGCCAAATCTCTCGCGCATTGTAAGACGAGTTCCTGTAGCGACAGATTACCTGGGGCATGTAAGACCTTGGGGCTTTCGGGGGGTGGTGTGAGGCAGCGTAAGTTCTCGGGGAGATTCTCGGCCAGGCCGGGTTCTACGAGATCGTATTGCGAGATCCCTTTCCTCTTGAGGTAAGCATCGATGGCCACCTCCTTTCCGTTGCGATGAAAGGCTGTGCGTTTGCCGACAGCATTTCGTTGACGTTGGACTTGTAACATCGCGATAACGTCCTTCTTGCTGTTATTTTTACTAAAACCCCACTTGTCGAAGCGCGATTTGTACATTCTGACACTGCCAAGGCATCGTTAGCCAACGGGGTACACAAGAGGTGATGGAAACTCAGCAGCTCACGTTGCCCGAAACCCCTTTTGACGCATTATCGCCATGACTTCCTTCAGTGGCCTGTTCTCTTCTAAATACAGTCGCCGTATTTCATCTTTATGGGATTCCCATACTTGGGCCGAATGCTGCTGCGAAGGATGAGCCTCTCCGGTCTGCGAGGAGAAGACAGTCTGCATATGTATCGCCGTTGGCTTGACAGACTCGACATCATGACTCGAGACGCTACTTGAATCAACAGGGCTAGAATCGCTTGCGGGAGGAGACAGCTCTGGCGAAAGGGTCTGCATGACTGGGGTCGAACCAGAGCTGCGGTAAGGAAGCATCATATTGACATTAGGGTTGGTTAAGTAGTCATTAACCGTGAACGTGAAGTCGCCATGCATCTTGACTTTTATATATCCTACCGAAGGCAAAAGTCCTTTTAGCTGGTGGTTGTGATACGGATAGATCCTCCGTCTACTTTGCCGCACGCGCGAGTAACAATGATCGCCTTTCCTAATAGACTTTGTCGAGCGGTGGGTAATACCATTAATACTAGTGGAAAGTAAAAAGACAGAAGAAAGGCCGTCTAAGTCCACGCGAGACGATCTCAAGTAGTTTGATAATAATATAGCATAATTGTCTTAACAATATTCTTGTTGTTGAAGCGAAGGAATAGCCCGGCTACCGAATGGACAGTAGAGAATACGATAGAAAGGTTATCAGCCCTACATGTAGGTAACATAGGGCTAAGGGGAGTTTGGTATTGAGTGGGGATCGTTTGAATATTTAATAGGTAATCACAAGAGTTACATAGGTAGTATGTGCTTAGGAAGTAGAGAGACGCAGGAGGGAGATCAAATGTCTTGCATTGATGTATGTAGTAACGGCACCGTAGTAATAATCACGAACCCGGTTAAGTGGTCTCGGGTTGGCGTGGTGTGTTTAGAGGAAGAAGCCGGTGATCAGCTTCTTAGAGTATAAATCGGTGGAGTGACGTTGCCTCGCGTGCTCTTTTCGTCTTAAACGCTCGACCCTAGCGTGAGCGCGTTTCGACCTCTGCCGGCAATAGGAATGAGATAAGGCGACGGCCATGGTTATGGTTATGGATATGGATATAGCGAGGCCGAGCGGAAAAGGGGAAGAAGGAAAGGTGGTACCGGTAGACGAGGGGAGAATCGTAAGGAATAGGCTGGGATTCAACTGAGCGGGATGTATACCCAAGTGTGGAACCTAGTAAAAGAGAAAGGGTCGGGGGGGTGTGTCGGGGTGTTGTCGTGCGTACGTGCGTGCGTGCGTGCTATCCTCGCTACTAAAATAATTCCAATACGCACTCTGCCCTGTTATGGCCCTTGCTTACCTCTTAGCAACTTCGTTTTGGTTAGCTACTCGGCCGTTCGGTCTAGTCTTCCTAATTCCCTCTCCACTTCGACCTGCCACTTTCACCTTTAGCGCTGGTTTGACTGGGCTTGATCATTTTGTATACTTCGTTTACCGCGGATCGCAGATCCTTCAGGTATAGTTCTTAAGCCGCACCCGCCCGCTTTCTATAAGCTTAATCAATAGACTGCCGGCCGTACTTAGACCAATCGTGGATCAACGTCCGATATGAACAGGTTGCGTAGGTAGGCACTGCTTCACAGAGGGAAGTCTACGGGTTGTAGACCTATCCCCCATAGTAGGTAAGGCTGCGGCTGTCAGCTTCCCCTGAAATACACGGAGTTCAAACGTGGTATCAACGTACGCGTGCGTTATGTATTATGTATGCTTGCGGTGCGGTTGTGCAGCATTACATGTCTGGAAGTGGGCCACGTGGTCTGGATGTTCCCAAGATTAGGTACATCTATATAGATGAGATTAGCACATGCATTCATTTCCCTCGGTATATGAGCGCATGAATGCATAGCGCCATGTCTGCGAACCCGCTCAAGTAATTGTAACAGCTAGTCTTCTTTACTCCTCCGGTAGGGCGACACCAAAATTGCCGACATGTCAAGAAAAGCCAGGGGCTCCCTAGTCCTAACGAGGGTCCCGAGTTCGTACTCGTCAGCAATAGTCAGAAAATAATAATAATCTAATCTACCTATTGATCAATCATGGCGGGACTCGAGTTGAGTGGGTCTTTTATGTGCCGTTACTATCCTCTTTTTTCTTCGCCCTTTTTGTCATCTCTTCTCGTGAGAATCTCGTCCACGATGCCCATGTCTTTCGCTTCTTGCGCCGTAAGGTACTTGTCGCGCTCCATCATATCCTCTACATCTTTAAGACTGTACTTCTCGTGATCAAATGCCGCATTTAGATGCTTCCGGTAAATCTCGTTGACCTGCTCGCGCGTGCGTTGTATCTGATTTGCATAAATCAAAATATCGCTTGCGGGACCCTGTGTCCCGCCTAAAGGTTGGTGGATCATGATACTGCTATGCGGTAGGGCAAATCGCTTTCCCTTTTCGCCCCCCGCGAGCAGCAACGAGCCCATAGAAGCAGCTTGGCCAAGGCATACCGTCGATACCGGTGAACGGATGTAAGCCATGGTATCGTAGATAGACAACCCAGCCGTTACGGAGCCTCCAGGAGAGTGGATATACATGGTAATTGGCTTGTCCGGATTATCGGATTCTAACCAGAGTAGTTGAGCCACTACCGAAGCCGATACCATGTCGTCAATAGCCCCATTCAGGCATATTATTCGTTCCTAGCTTGTCAATTCAAAGTAATCAAACTATAGAGGAGAGATATACATACTTGTAACAACTTAGAGAAGATATCGTCTATGAAATTCGATCAGCAAATCCGCTTTGATAATGACAAGTCCAAAGTCTACGAACATGTCCTCCAACCACCGGACTATTCAGTCAGCTATTGGGTCCCTTTGCACATATTCCATTGACTTGTCTTACAGTAACTTCTGTGATAAAGGGTAAGGGAATAGCTCCTTGAGGAGCTTGGATAGGATTCGGAGGGAGGAACTGTGAGAAGCGACGAGTACCGCATCCTGCCGTCTTCGTCGCCGCCCGCCAGAGGAACTTTTGACAATTCATAATGTTCAGAAAAATTAAGGGAAGAAAGATGTTCAAGAGTTGCTGTTAAAATAAACTTTGATGTTGGACCCAAGATTCCGGTTACTAGAAGAAGTACAACTTCCGCGCAAGGTTCGAGTTATTATTGGGAAGCTGTGATCGGACAATTGGAGCTATGACGCTCCGCGATCTTGTGATTACATAACTTATGATAAGTTGATAAGTTGATAAGTTGATAAGTTGATAAGTTGATAAGTTGATAAGTTGATAACTAAGCTAAGCTAAGTTACCTAATTTTTATGTACCTATCTACTTCGCATCTCAGCTCGGTAACACCAATTAACTTCTCCTCAAGCTTCATCCTTAATTTCAAAGCCCTTCGTATATCCTCTATCCTCTATCTTCTATCATCTATTCCCTATAACACAGCCAATGTTATGAAACTATGTAAAGCACTGCGGCAGAACAGTGCCAAATCTAGCCAATTCGGAATAATTGCCCCGCGTTGGAATTGTCGGCATTTTGCAGATGATCGAGCTCAGCATGGCAATGGACAACTTGCAAGCGATCGAGACGATGTCTTCAAAGTTCGCCCGGAAACCAAGACGGTTAAAACGGCTGTCGGCGAGCTGCCCCTGTCTCCCATCATGGACCCTACATATTGGGAAGCTGTTAAGCGGCACCAGGTTCCTAAAGCGAAGCCTGGAAAACCCCAGAATTCAGTCGAGCGCCAACTTCGGGCTAATCCGTTCGGTACGATCGTTATACTAGCTAGTTTCTGCCATTATCGTCAGCTACTAATGTCTATACGATATAGCCAAGGCTCTAGCAACAAAGCTGCGAATGTGCTCGTTGACTCGCACGCGGTTACCCAGCTCTCTTCTCCAAGACTTTACTTTCCTCGCCCATCCCGAAACCGGTGACCCATGGTTCGTTCCATGTAGTCTTATACCCGACGAATCTCCCGCTGGTGATGAAGCGGATGTACAGGGTATAGCAGAAGCCATGAGTGAGGCAGAGCTCGAACAAGCAGAAAGGGACAAAGATGTGGCTTCCGCGACTACTGCCTCGACAAACAATAGCCAACTACAAGGTCCGACTGTTTATTGTTTAGCAAGACAGGATCTAATCTCCTCGATTGCCGTTAAGGGGACTGGTTTCGAACACGGCGCGAGGCGAATGGCAGGGGCTAGTCCGCGGTACAGGAGTCTAACGAACAGAGTTGTCTGGCGCCAAGATATGGACAGCTGCATCCTAGACATGATGCGACAGGGAATTGTGGACGACATCATGTACCTCTCTAGGCTTTGCGCCGAGTATTCGCGACACTATATCGTGAAGTGCTATGGTTGGGATGACGTGCAATACAAGCACAACGGCGCCATACTTTGGTTCGGGGAGCCGGATGAAGACGTGAAGGCGGGTCAGACTCACAGCCAACCCGGCCCGTTCGCCACGTTCGGTGTTCAGAAAATAGATATTCAAGGAGAGACGTATACCACAAGCGTCGCCGTGCACAATATGCATATGCTTCTAGGGAGCAAGCAAGCGAATCGTATCAAAAAAGAGGCTGCTAGTCTGAAAGACGGTTCCATCTTCATGCTTGCCGGGCGGCGAACAACGAATCTTCAACTCAAACTTTGGAAATTGCAGGGCTACCTAGCTGACTATACGAAGATAAAATAATGTTATACAATTAAAATTAGATCTATCTTTGCACTGGCTCCAAGTTAATTTAGGACTCTAGCTGGAAATTGATGCTGTCGTCATTGTTACGAGGCTCTAATCGTATTGCACCCAAATGTCAATTTATAAATCTAGACCAGTGTGCCTATTTAATATTGCCTTAAGTTGGTACGGGATATGAGACACCTTTGTCCTACTATCCGCCCCTAAGAATTTATGATGAGAAGAGCTGTAAAAAATGTATGGCCTTGAGCTCATTTCTGTATGAGTTAATAGCAAACCAGATTCTTATACAGTCAAGAGACAAACAAAAGTGATAGACTCCTCCTTGCTTTAATACTTCATAGTTATACATTCTTACATTCTTACATCTTATTAACGAAGAGATGAACTTGGGAATGAGCGTTGTGAATAACGTAGTACATAATAGGATGTCTTCGACGCGTACCTATATAATTCAATCTACATGAATAGGATTATATCGACAGTTTACATCTATAATAACGTACCGAAGCAGGATAAACTTAAGAGCTACTACAGAGAATATCACTTAATTGGGAGCATGAAAAACTTGAAATATTAAAATTCCATGAATACTTCATTTCATCTACGGATCAGCCGACCAGTATCTCTCGTAAGGGCATAAAATACATAAGCAATCCGTAATGCAACCACCAACTAGCAATATCTAAACATGCTAGAAATTATCATGGCCCCGCGACTGGGGGGCATGAGGAATTATCGAGAGAAAAATGCCTAAGACACGACGTCACCGGAAAAAGAAGCCCGAAACCATCCAACTCCGAAGAACTTTTGCGATTCCTGTTCCTTTCCTGCCATTTAATGCATTTAGTCAACCTCCTCCATGGCGCTGTCGCCAGTCTCGGCGGCAGCAGTGTCAGCAGTAGCTGGCACCTCCTCAACTTCGGGCTCCTCATCGAGGTTCAAGCCCAGGGACACCAGCTTGTGGATGCGCTCCGCAAAGCCGGCGGGCTCCTCGATGGTGAAGCCGGAGACGAGCAGGGAGGTCTCGAACAGAAGCTGGACAATGGACTTGACAGTCTTGTCGTTCTCGCCGTCAGCCTCAACCTTCTTCTTGAGCTCCTTGATGATGGGGGACTTGGGGGAGATCTCAAAGGTCTTCTTAGAGCTCATGTAGCTGCTCATAGAGGTGTCGCGGAGGGCCTGGGCCTTCATGATACGCTCCATGTTAGCAGACCAGCCAAACTGGCCAGTTCGGATGGCGCAAGGAGAGCCAACCAGCTTGTGAGATACAACAACCTTCTCAACCTTGTCGCCGAGGACGTTCTTTAGCGACTTGGCAAGGCCCTCGAACTCCTTCTCTTCGGCCTCACGGGCCTTCTTCTCCTCCTCGGTCTCCTCAAGCTCGAAGTCCTTGGTAATATCAACGAGCTTCTTGCCCTCGAACTCCTTCAGTTGAGTCATGGCATACTCGTCAATGGGATCAACCAAGAAGAGAACCTCGAAGTTCTTCTCCTTAAGAGCATCCAGGAAGGGAGACTTGGAGACAGCCTTGATAGACTCGCCGGTGATGTAGTAGATGTTCTTCTGGTGTTCAGCCATGCGGGTAACATAGTCTGACAGAGAAGTCTGCTCGTCACCAGACTTGGTGGAGCTGAATCGCAGAAGCTTGGCAAGAGTCTGTCGGTTCTGGGCGTCCTCGTGGATACCAAGCTTCAAGTTCTTAGAGAAAGCGCTGTAGAACTTGTCAAACTGCTCCTTGTCCTCGGCAATCTCGGTGAAGAGCTCCAGAGCCTTCTTGACAATGTTCTTCTTGATGACCTTCATGATCTTGTTCTGCTGTAGGGTCTCACGAGACAGGTTCAGAGGCAGATCCTCAGAGTCGACAACACCCTTGATGAAACTCAACCACTCAGGGACGATATCAGTGGCATCATCGGTGATGAAGACACGGCGGACATACAACTTGATGTTGTTCTTGGTCTTCTTCGTCTCGAAGAGGTCGAAGGGGGCACGCTTGGGTACGAACAAGATAGCTCGGAACTCGAGCTGACCTTCGACAGAGAAGTGCTTGACAGCCAAGTGGTCCTCCCAGTCATTGGACAGGGACTTGTAGAAAGCAGCATACTCCTCTTGGCTGATGTCCTGGGGGTTTCGGGTCCAGATGGGTTTCTGCTTGTTGAGCTCTTCTTCCTCAATGGTAATCTCCTTGACCTTCTTGGTCTTCTTCTTCTTCTCTTTGTTCTCATCCTCGTCGTCAACTTCTTCAATCTTGGGCTTCTTGTCGTCACCCTCTTCGACTTCCTCGGTCTCCTCGGCCTCCTCGTCAGGGACCTCCTTCTCGACCTCCTTCTTTACGTGAAGGTAGATAGGGTACGAGATGAACTCGGAGTGCTTCTTGATAACCTCCTTGATCTTGCTCTCGTTGAGGTACTCAAGCTGCTCATCCTTCAAGTGGAGGATCAGCTTGGAACCACGGCCAAGAGGCTCACCATCAGTGTCAGGCTTGACGCTGAAGGTACCACCGGCAGACGACTCCCAGATGTACTGCTCGTCATCGTTGTGCTTAGAGATGAAGGTGACCCGGTCGGCCACAAGGTATGCAGAGTAGAAACCGACACCGAATTGACCAATCATGGAAACATCAGCACCAGCGGTCAAGGCCTCCATGAATTGCTTAGTGCCTGATCGGGCAATAGTACCCAGGTTGTTGACAAGGTCCTAACTCTAATGTTAGTAAGATGCGGTTTAAAATCACACTATTATTAGGTGGGTGACTTACGGCCTTCGTCATACCTATACCGGTATCACGGATGGTCAGGGTCTTGTTCTCCTTGTCGGGAATGATGTCGATGCGGAGGTCCTTGTTGGACTCGAGCTTGCTCGGGTCTGATAAGGCCTCATATCGAATCTTGTCGAGAGCATCTGAGCAGTTGGAGATTAACTCTCGTAGGAAGATTTCCTTGTTGGAGTAGACTGTGTTGATAATGAGGGACAGAAGCTGAGAAATCTCAGCCTGGAACTCGAAAGTCTCCGCCATCTTGATTGAGGGTTTGGTAGGAGTATGGAGTCTTGAGTCTGGAGTCTGGAGCAAATGGGCGGTTAGCTTGGGCTTAGAAAAACGGGGATATTGGCAAGGGTTGGATACGGGAGTGAGAGGGGTTATGATGGCGGGGTGAAGAAGAGATTCGCACAAGGCGTCAAAACATCCAACGAGAGTGTGTCAACAGAAATTGAACAACTCTCTAGGAGCTTTCGTCTTGTATTGATATTTTACTCTTTACTGGACAGTTGAAACGACAGAAAGAAGCCAATATTTGTTGTAGAATTAGGTGAGAAGCAAAAGACAAGGCTGATAAGGTGGGGGAACGTCTAGAGTGAGGTGGGGTTGAACTTACCAGAAGATGATGGTATAGTGAGGGCGGTTTGGGGGTATCACAAGAGAAATTCTATGTTGTCTTCTTGTCACTAGAGAAGATGTAAGAAGAGTGTATTGATCTGAGGAAGAAAAAAGTTGAGAAGAGAGTGAGGAGGGAAAGGGAAGAAGTATTATTCACGAAACCGCAGTCCGCAGCTAGAAATGTTCTTCACAGCTCTTTCCTTTCCTTTCGGTGCACGGCCCCACCATGGTTTCTATTGAATTCTATGGCAATTTTGGTGCTAACCAACGGCGCTGAGCTCTCTGATTGGCTAAGAGTTGCTCCAGGGCAACCACTGTGGACCATTGATTGGACGAATGCATCTAGGGCACCGACATACCAGTCCAGGCTTCCAGACATCTCGAGCCTTCCATCTCTTTGCGGTCGGTGCCTGCAGTTTCTCCAAACTTCTGGAACGTTAAGAAGTCAAACGGGGATAGTCAGCTATTATGTTACTCTATGGAAGTTTCAACCCTGCATATGTACGACGTATTTCTAGGTTGATAAGATTAGGTTTAATTTACAGATAACTAGGTACCTATCCAATGTCCTTCGTACCTATGCGCCTACGAGATACATTTAGAAGCTACCTCTGCCACAAATAAATTAGTATTTTGATATCATAGGAGATACTCAGATAGTTGGAATTAAAATCTTCTATATTATCCACACATAGTTTAGGTACACAATTGAATCTAGTAGAAGCTTCTATGCCCTTGTCAGACAAATAGTGGAGGCAATCAAACATTCCACATCCCCCACCCACCCGATAAGGTACATAGTAAGGCTGACCCCCAGACTAGCTTCGGTAAATCATCGGTATACTCCACTGAGGCTGAAGCTGAGGCTCATTTTACCGCTTGGCATAAAGGTTCCAGTACTTCGTAAATAGCCTAAGGTCTTTGAGATGGTTGGAAGCTGGATGAGCTTCCTAGACATTTATTTAAAGTTTACCTCCCATCTTGGTCTATAAGAGACTTTACTATTCCAAAGCCTTGGAGTTGTCTAGTTACCTAAATGACGAGTTAAGTTCGACTGTACAATAAAAGGATTAACATGGTTGATAGATACAATCTTAGAAGGTGGTATATTTAGTTCTTGAGCTATATGTAATCCTCATGAATCAATAAAGCTAAAGGTGTTAATAGTATATTTACTGCGCATTGACTAAAATCAGCTTGTGAAAATATACCAGTCTTAAAATCGAGTCTAAGCATGTACCTACATAAGGTAACAAAGCTTAAAACCTGTATAAATAGAGAAATAAATATAACAATAAGAAGTATTTTATAGGTCGATAAATGCACAATAGCAAGTATCAATAGAATGGGCAGGTACCTAAATACTGAAAAACTATGAATTGGAGGATTGCTGATTGTGATCGCGAGTCCGCATTAATCATTAAAAATATTTTTGGCCAACTACATAGGAAATGACACAAGCAGCCCCCTTACACAATACAAGATCGTTAAATTACAAGAGTAGGAACATTTGGGCAGGGTATATGTCATTCTGGGCCCATGTCTAACTACCTAAGGTAGAATCGCGTTACTATTCCAGACAAACGGAGCAAAAATCTCAACTGCTTGCTTAAACAGTAACTTGGGTGTCGGTCGCCCACTCTTCTTCCAGATGACACCATCCCGAAACCTCTCTCCAGCCCTCTACTCCATCATAAACCCCAGTTATCATACGGCTTCATAAGTTCATTATTCTTCACGCCTTCGGGGAAATCCTCCTCGCCAAGGTGCGTAGTATGAGCCCAAGGTTTAAGCCCATTCTCCTCCCTAATCGTCTTCGAGAAGCAGCCGCTCCAGCCCTTGCGCGGATACGCCTTATTGACATCGTCCCTGGTGACCGCGTCGATGATCTGCGGGTTAATGCCCATGTTGTCGTAGATGGTCGCGAGCTGGATGAGCTGTCCCAGGAACGTGATCTTACCGACGGTACCTAGGTCCTGGTGCCGGATGATTGCTTCGGCTACAGCCTCGGCCTGGGCTGGTGGTGCACCGAGTTCCTTGGTTAGGTTCAGGGCTAGAATTCCTCCATAAAATTCGAATGACAGCAGTGTTGTCCGTAAGTTCTCGTGCGTAGCGCCGATGTCGTGGAGGAGGCACGTCAGCGCCCATGTGGACAAGGAGAGCTTGCCAAATTCTTCGGGAAATTGGTCCTTGAGGATGGAATATCCTGGCCGCTCGGTTAGCTTGAATTTAAAGGGGCATTTCGCATGTGATTGTTAACTGGTGTCCCTTACCCCAGTGGTAAACTCGCATTGAATGATTGTACGTTTCTTCGATAAGATGCTTCTTGGCGTACTCTTGAATCCCAGCGACGATAGCATCGTTGGAGGGAAAAGGGATATCCTTCACTACCAGGGGCGAAGGTTCGTGTAGATAGGGTTTCCCATTGAGGACAGCATTGCCGTCGACTGGAAAGGCGGCCCAGCCATGTTTGGCAATATCATCTGCTGTTGCTGCTGGTGTGGAAGACATGATCTCTAGTGTTGAATGGCTCCTAAAGCTATACTCTGCTACACTACGTCTGATATCACATTGACGGATGGGCTTCCATTTCCTTTATGTATGATTTATAGCACCGATGACGGAGTTTAAATATAATTATTCTTATAAATATGATTTGTCAGATTTTAGTACGAGATAACTTTGTCGAATTACGTCTCTTATTCGGGCTTTGGTCATGCATAATTGTGTTTGTATCGTTCATCATGACTGTAATTCCGCGGGATTATAATCCTCTAATAGTCTTATACTTAGGCCTCCCACATCCTCAGCTTCACCATACGTCTAGTATAATTGAAGATTTGCTAGGCCGTGATACGGAGCTATGAGTACACAGTTACCAAAATTGCTGCTACGACATCTCCGGTGACTATTAGCCCTTAGTCGCGATGTTCTTCGCGAGTAGATCTAGTATTGGGATTTAATGTCAATCTCTCGAATTGACAGTGCCTGCAATAACCCCCTTTATAGTAGGAGAGTATGACATGCTCTAACTTCGCTGATATCTCGGGGTATTCGTCGGAGAAGGTGGCCGTAACCGGTTGAAGTCGATGTTTGCGACGGGATATCTCCGCTACGCGAAGAGTACCATATCAGGTTTCCCTGGTATGTATGTGGGCTGGCTTTTTCCGTCTAGTTTGTCGCGATCAGAATCTACGGTAACGATTAGCAACTATGTCGGGGTCTCGTGGGAGGAATTGACGTAAGTCTCACCGGATTTCGTATGACCCTGCTCTCGTCATGTATCTAACCCATTTTACACTTGAATAGTTACTCTTTTCAAACACCTTCAAGTATCGTACAAGGAGACCCGAGCTAGTAAACATGAGAAGGCTGAAGTTCATGCTGAGAGGCGGGCGCGACCAAGCCTTCTGGTTTGTCATGCTCGTGAGCTCCGCCTCGGCACTTAACACGAATTCGCTTTGGCCAGTGAAGCGGCCGATTTTCCAGACGATGTTGTTTTCGCTTGGCTCGTACTTGGCCTTTCCTTGGGTGCAGCGTTCCGTGATACGAGCTGTGTTCAACGGAGTGGGAATACGAACAACGACGTTGGTAGCGAACAATTTGCTACCAAAATTCGCCTTGACGCCAATACTATACTCTACTTTGGTCTTGCCAACTTCATTAACGATGGCGTGCACCTTGAAGGGTAGATTGACGTTCTCCGTTGCTCGATATCGCATAAGCTCAAACTCCCCGTCGGGAGGGATGAAGGAGATAATTCGGTCGGTGTCGAATTTGCCTAACTTGACGCATTGATGGAATTGACAGTCCTCCAAGGTAACACTGCCGGCAGCTGCTTTTGTAGCTTTGGTCCCGAGCTTATTGCCGCTCGGCAACGACTGGAGGCCATCGTGATCCAACAGAAGGCGGTCGTTGAGTCCAAACTTGCATTCCGGGGTGCCCGAGAGGTATGCGCGCATGATAATCTGGCCGGTGACATCAGCACGAAGAACGGTCCCCGTGGCTGACATCAGAAGGTTGACATCCTCTATCACGTCGACGAACGCTTCATTCTTTCTATATTTAACATCGGCCTTCCTCCAGGATAGGGCACCGGTAGCTTGCATGGTTATCTTGGCGGAGTCTTCGGGGGCACGTTCGGACTTGACACCTTCGGTGGTAATGTACATCTTCAGGGTGTCCGTCTCGGTGTTTTGAGGGTATCCAAAATCGATGATCTCTGAAACAAGATATTGATTAGATGACACCTACGCAATGGTACGGGACGGGTTCATCAGAAGCTCACCGTCTAACAGTTCATAGACCAGCACGAAATTATTCTTGACGGCCTCCTCGTCGAACTTGCCGAAGTAACCCCTACCAAGCTGGATCAGCCGGTATAGGAATTCGAACACCAGGGCAGCATTGGCATTGCTCTTAGTAATGGCAACCAAGTAGATGTTTTCATGCTTAACATGGCTGAAGGTGGTGCTTCCGAGGGTGAGGATAGGTGAGCGGACCTGAGGATTGGATATGACTTGAATTCGAAAGACATCGGCGAGACGTGGTCGACAGTCGTTTCGAAACGCTCGGAAGATGAGGTTCTCGCCCTTTTGATTGAATATTAAGATGCCGGAAAGCATCTTGCCGACCTCGCGACTCAACCCTCGCCAAAAGGAAAAGGAGGGTATGACGAGAGTCTTTGGCTATCCAAACTAATTAATTAAGTTGGAATGCGGATGCTAGAATACGGTGACGCCGCGACGGGCGAAGCAATGGCGTTTCCTATCAGCGTGTCGAACACCTGGAGCCAATTAAATTACCTAACCTAAGGTGGATTAGCCACATTACGATAAGATAGAAACCTTACGAAAAAGGGTATGAGTTCAGTCACGGTGCAATGTTTCAGTGGGGGCTAGGTACCTTAGGTACATGACTCCACTATGTCTTAGGCCCATAAAGTACCTAAGGCACCTAACATCGAGCATCCATACCCCTGAACGGACAATCCCATCTTGTGCAGGGTTTTATTTCTTGGCTTCACTTAGACATCTCTTCCATATCGACATCTGCACAACCATCACTTGATCATCGAAAGGCAAGGCAATTTATTAGTGTACATACATACGTACATGACATGGCATTCCCCACAGCCGGGTTCACTCTGTACAGGTTCCGGATTCCGAAGTCTATCCCACTGGCGCCCAGAGTCTAGACTCGAGCAAACCTACCTTGTTATCCCGGGTTGGATGTTACCTCTGGATCCAAGGAAGAGGTGAACGTACATGGGTGTATAATGAGACTCCCGGTCTAGATCATCATGAGACTAAAATAATCAGCGGTAGTCACAGACGTAAGTTTACCTACCTATGTAGTCCCGACGAAGCTATCGTTTTAGTTTCCCATTGAGGATACGGCGTAGTACGTTAGTCGTGGAAGACGACTATGTTTAATCCGAGCCCGCCGCGACCCCAATCCCCTCACGGCCATAGGTTACCTATTCTGGCCCCTTCAGAGATATGTTCCGAGATCACTACCGAGGTAGGCTAGGTTTATTCCAACTTCTTGGGCATCATTATATGGGACGTCTAGCTGTGCTCACTTTCGATTGGAGGGCTTGTTGTAGAGAAAAAACTAATAGTCTGAATACTTCCATGGTCGTAAGAGATATCGTCATCTCCAAGCACCATGACAGCTATACTGGTGCTTCCCCGAAGTTGGGTCGCTTATAATCGTTCGACTTAAGTCCGCTTTTACTTGTGCTGAAGCTATGCCCATTCCACGGAATCGTGAACCGCGTTCCCGCGCCGCTGAGATAGTCGAACGTATCTAGGCCAAGTTCACGAGACTGCCAAAAACATCACTTCCGTGTGGGGTGGTTCGAGAGATTCTTCGATCGAGTCCATGGCAGCCGCGTTCCCGTCTATCCGACAGATCTGAGATTTAGATGATCTCCTATTATAATATACATAAAGAGCCATTGTCCCAGGTTCCTGAATAACATGTTCTATTACGGCACGCTCGCAACTTCTCATCTCATCTCCAAAGACAAGTGAAGTCAACATGTCTGTAAAGAAGTTTCTCGTCGCTGTGTTGAGCTCCGTAGCTCTCGCTGTTCCTTTTGAAAATGTAGTCGAAGAACGTCAGGCAGCTTGTGCCTCCGTCTGGTATGATTTCTCGCCCTTCTTTTGATAAATATGTCAACTAATATCGGTATTAGGGGACAATGTGGTGGTCAGGGATGGACAGGTGTTACATGCTGTGTTAGTGGGAGCACATGCAACAAGTCAAACGAATATTATCACCAGTGCTTACCCGGTGCCGCGACAACTACTGACACAACTGCTCCTCCTACATCGGTATCTTCCACTGTTAAACCTACGACTACTGGGCCAACAACTACAGTTGGAAGTACCACAACTAAGGGTTAGTTAATGAAGCTTCGATCCTATCTTAGGCTGCTCTCCGTAGTTGTTCATTATTGATCAACCAAAAATTGGCTCTAGATGTTAGAAGAATTATCACTAACTCCTGAATACGAAATAGTCCCCACTACCACTGCTCCGGTCGGTAGCGGCACAGCGGAATGGTCAGGAAACCCACTCTCAGGCGTCAAGATGTGGACAAACTCGTACTATGCATCAGAAGTTTCTGCATACGCCGTTCCCACTTTGGGACCTGGCGCAGCAGCGGTTGCAGAAGTACCCAGCTTCATGTGGCTGTAAGTAAAAGTCAACTTGGTGATCTTATCTCTGGAATGCAACTGACATGCAATGCAGAGATACTAGGGACAAGGTCGACCTGATGGCGGAGACTTTGGCCGACATTCGTGCGGCTAACAAGGCCGGCGCCAACCCTCCTAACGCTGGAATCTTCGTTGTCTATGATCTGCCCGATCGTGACTGTGCGGCGGCAGCTTCAAACGGCGAATACTCTATTGCCGACGGGGGCGTTGAGAAATACAAGGCATACATCGACGCGATTGCCGATTTAGTCAAGACTTACTCTGATATCCGATTACTCCTTGTTATAGGTTAGTTTATTAGTAGTGATTCTTAAGACTTCTCTACGCTAACTACCTGAACAGAGCCCGACTCATTGGCCAACATGATCACTAACTTGAACGTGGCCAAGTGCTCTAATGCTGAAAAGGCTTACTTGGAATGCATACAGTACGCAATTAAAAAGCTGAACTTGCCTAACGTCGCTATGTACTTGGATGCGGGACATGCTGGTTGGTTAGGATGGCCTGCGAACCTGGCACCGGCTGCTAAGATGTATTCTCAATTGTACAAAGACACCGGGTCTCCCAAGGCGCTGCGTGGCCTTGCTACAAACGTCGCCAACTACAATGCCTGGGAGATAAGCACTTGCCCATCGTACACCCAGGGTAACACTAACTGCGACGAGTCCCGTTACGTCAACGCCATGGCTCCTCTACTAAAAGAAGCAGGCTGGGACGCTCACTTTATCACAGACACTGGTCGCAGCGGAAAGCAGCCCACAGGACAGCAGGAATGGGGTCATTGGTGTAACGTTATTGGGACAGGCTTTGGCCAACGTCCGTCAGCTAACACGGGCAGCGATCTTCTGGATGCTTTCGTCTGGATTAAGCCGGGTGGTGAATGCGATGGCACTAGCGACACGAGTGCTACAAGATACGATTATCACTGCGGCCTGTCCGACGCACTGAAGCCGGCCCCTGAGGCGGGTTCGTGGTTCCAGGCGTACTTTGAGCAGCTTTACAAGAACGCCAATCCCCCTTTCCAGTGAAGGATGAGGCGCGAAAAAACTTGCCAGCAGTAGGGCTTAATAATTATTATTTATCTCTCCTTAAGATTAGGCATTCTAGACTAATCATATATAAGGCCATTTATTCTTAAATCAAGGTCCCTTTCTAGGTTAGATACATTGCTCGCCATTGGAATTTCGTCTGCGACATATAATGACCCAATACCTGAATCCTTACTTCCGCTTGATAACCGCAACCTGGCTCCTCACGGGCACATTTTCCTTCCGGCTCGGAGTTGGGAACCCGTCCACCGGCACCCCGGCACGGAACAGCAGGCAGTGCGACGAGCCGCCGAAATGGAACATACCGATCTGGTCGCCCTTCTGTACATGCTGCCCCTGGCCCACGGTGATCTCGCACGTGCTGACCTCGTCCATACCCACGCCTACAAACGCCATCAGTCCGATTGCTGGGTTGTCTGCTTGGATGAAGATCACAGCACGCGTTGCCAGCGCCGTCAAGTATCCCTGCGCCACGCTAATTCCGCGCGTGTCGATTTCGCCCTCGGCATAACCACCTGCAGAGCCTTCAAATAGCGGTTCGCTAAAGTAAGTTCCATCCTTCACAAAAGCACGTACGATACGGCCTGAGACGGGAGCGTGCCAACGGTGGTACGACAATGCTGATAGGAAGGCTTGGTACACTGTTGCGCCGTCGAATTGTGCGGCTAGAGGGTCATGGCCTAGCATGTCGAGAACCGAGTACGGCTGGCTCTTGATCCAGAAGCGGTCGCGCAGCTTGGCGTGTTGTTCCACGTTGTACACTTTGGACTCACATGCGTTGGCTACTACGTCGTCGTTATCCGGTGAGGCTACGGGTCGTGCATCCTCGCGCAGCTGTCGCGTGAAGAAGTCTGGCGATATGTCAATTTCAATTTTGGAGGAATGTCACGGACGGGATAACTAATCCCTGTCAGATATACTTACCGTCCCAAGAAGTGTAGCCGTAGTATTTAGCTGAAGGGTCGCAGATATACATATCCTCGAACCTGTGCGACGTCTTCAGCGGTGCGTTGGCTACCTCCATCAAGTCTTTGAGGCCGTGTTCAGAGAACCAGCCCTGTCTATGAGAGGCGAGCACTTCGGCTGATTTCGGTGTCTAGTTGCGATGATCACTGTTAGGATGGACTTCTCCCCATTTACCAAGACTCGGAGGTTTACCTTTAAGAACTTGCCCCATTCATTCAGGATCTTCTTCATCATCTTATTGACCTCCGGATCTAAGAAAGCGGCATGGCCACTATATTACTGAGTTAGCCAATGGCATATTTGCACACCCGAGTCCGGCAAGGGCGCTCACCTAGGTGTAGCCATCACATAGTCGAAGATACCTACCATGGGGACTCCGACCATGCCAACGCCGAATGCAGCATCAGTCCACTGAGGAGCTTGCGTGAAGATGTGGTTGAGCACGGCTAGCATGTGCCGGTAGTCTCGGATCTGCTTCTTGGTACCAGTCGGGTCTTTGTTATACGGCTTCTTGAGCGGTATCTCATCCCACATTTGGTTGAAGTACATATAGATGCGTGAGTTCCCCTCAATAAATTCCTTGAAATCTTGAAGAACGGGAATTAGCTCTTTTTGAGGAGCTTTGTCGACGTGTTCGATTTGCGTCTTGAGCCATTCGTGTTGGACACGATGATCCGCTGGAAGCCAGGCGCCATGACTGTGAAGAACAATTATTAACAAAATTTCTAGATTTTAATGTCGATATCTGAGGCGATCGCTAGTGAACTTACCTCTGAGTACGATGTTCCTCAGGGATATCGTGTTCGTCACCGTGTTGGTGAACCATCTTGAATTATATTATATTAAACCACAATGCCAAGTCTTTAACGAAGTATCTAGGACTGTTCCTGAATTGCCAAGAGCCATGGTCTTCCATAGTCTCATATACTGTAGGGATGCGGGGTACAAATTTCAGAAAGACTAGCATGTGGTGAAGTTGAAGACTTGATCATGATGTAATGATTCGACGTAGACTGCAGGGTGATCAGTAAGGCCCCCTTCTCCCCCAATGAGGAGAGAATTGGGTTCCTGCGCCTCTAACGTCCAAGCTAAAGTAGAATTGGCTCCGGATTAAACGTTTAGGTTTCCAAATCGTAGGTAATCAAGACGTCACTTAATGCTTTGTTCGGTGGAATAAGGTAGTTTAACAGGTTTTTGTAAGAAAGCCGCCTAATTTCCGGAATCGATGATGTAGTCTTCTGTGCCTGACGATTTATACTTCGTATTGGTATCTACTTTCAATGACGACCTACAACCAATCGCGAAAGTCTGATCGTTGACATTATTAAACCAACATAAGTGAAATTGGTCTTATACTTTGTTTAACCAACGGAATGAAATAGTTCTAGGACGCATTTCAATCCGAGTAAACCTAGTATGATTGATGGAATTATAATCTCGGTAACCTGATAGGACTTCGGGCGAAGCCGTTACTCTATTCTAAACCCGTGTTAAGCCCGGGAAAGAAAGTTATGAATAATGCATAGCTCGGACAAGCAAGCATTGCTTTTTCGGTGAGAAGCAGTCCTAGACCATTCTTAGGTGAAAAAAACCATCTTTGCCACCGCCGATTCAGTAAAGCGACTTCAAGTTATCAATATGAGTGGTAATCTTAGGGGGTCAACAAAGAAGGCGGCGTTAAAATAGATGGTCTTTACATGCTCATATTTGGAATAACTTCATTAAACAGGCCGTTCCCAATCCATGTTCTCAAGCCACTGCATAAAATCATTATCAGGTCCTAAGAAAGGAGCGTCGATACCAAAGTTCAGATCAGTCATAGTAAAATCAGTTGCGCACGGTATGTGAAAGCCGTAACTTTGAGTCGGCTCGTTCGCCGGAGCGCCCATAACTGCCTCGTTAACTTGCTGGTCTTGATCTTGATGCGTAGGTTGTTCACTTGAAGCTTGACGTTGAATGGGAGGGTCAGGAGGGCTCAGAATCCTATCAAGTATATGAGAGATGACCTTTCGTCCCTGGTCGCATATACTAAAAGATCCGTCACTAGGATCGACAGCCCCCAGCCCAGCTGCGAAAACGGCCAGATCTTGGATGGTCTGACTTCTAGGGAGAAGAGGGGTTTTCGGATAGACGGGGAGTTGCTCTTGTTTTAATAGCTCGACCGCCATGACGGCGGCGCTCCGCATACCTTGTACTGCGAGAAGAGAAGCAATATCTGTTTTAAATAGCGTCCCTAGGTCATGGCGTTGACTGATTAACAATATATCCTTTAGGATTGAGCGCGCAAGGCGTATGAGCTCCTCCGAACTTGCCCCAGCTTTGCGAATCAAGACGCGCTGGAGCAAAAGGTCGTTTGAACGAAAGGATTGATGGATTACAATCATGAATAATATTTCCGTTGGCGGTCTTCCCTCTATTTCTATAGGCGAGTCTCTTATTTTCTTGATGAACTCTGGGAGTTCCTCTATGTATCGACGGTGTCTATTTTTGATATCTTCCGCGCGTTGTAGGATCTCGTCGCGTGTATACGGACCTAAGGCCAGGTCCAATATGTCTTCTCTTTGTATAGCGAATCCAATCCAGATTCTTATCCAAGTAACGCGACGCACTCTTCCTGATGTGTTGAATCCTTTCTCATCTAGACTAGCAAGTGCTAGAGTTAAATCGTCTCCTCCGAGGAGTAACTGGGAGACCGCAAGGTCCAAGGGAGGCTGGAGATTACAATAACGATGTGAAATCCGAGGAGGGCGACCCGTAAACGTCGAGATACCGATCTCCGCGCCATACATCTGGCAAAGCAGCCTTTTTCGTAGTTCTGCTAAAAAGAATGGAAGCCGATCCTCTTCTTTGACTCCCCGGTGCAAGCCCATCGCAACGGCCGAAGCTACAATCTCACCACTCAGTGTATATGTAGCATGACTAGCTTCGCCCTTAATCTTAGCTGTTAGAGAGTAATTCTCCATGAGAAGCCAGGTGAACATGTCACCCAAAGCTCCACAGTCGCGACAAAAGTTTAAACAGGCCTCGGCAATCTCGTTCATCTGTCTCGCAAATGAGGAATGCGCCGAGTTATGTTTCTTAGAACCGCGACCGAAAGGCTCGGGAGTGTTCGCAGACTGGCCGGCGACTACAGCGATGAGGCCGATGACCTCCCATCGTATGCTTGGTCCAGTAGCAGATCGTGCCCACTTCAATGCGTATAGTTAGCAACAGAATCTCCGATTCATAGAGATGATATGTTTAAATCGAGTAAACGTATATGAATCCAAAGTTTCAAATAGGGGCGAGTAAATCCTCACTTTAACTTAGGTACTTACATGCTTAGCCGTCGTATTCTGGTTAAAGATGACTGGAGTTTGGGTATTACGCCAGATTAATTCACATAATCGCCGAATCTTTTCGGGATTTTGATCTCTAAGCTGTGTTCATAGAATTAGTTTCTTGCACAGCTCCTGAGGTAATTGTATTTTCTATACGCACAACATCTCCGTGATGCATCCCGAGACCCCATAGCCACTCTTTCATTATGGGCTCTATGCATATACAAGCTTCGTCTTCGCATATTTCGTACCAGCGCGATACAAGACGATTGATCATGTGCTTGTCTTTTAAGAATGAGAGGAGTTTACATCCCTGGATTATCCGGTCGTGCGATAAGCTCATTTCTTGGACTTCAGAAGATTCTAGGCCTGGAGAAGAGACATCGAAGCTACCAAGGCCGTCCGTAAAGATAGAAATATAGGATGTCTCGCCAAGGAAGCCTATGTTTATGGTACGGTTGGCAGACCCATCCCGACTTTGCAATGGCGGAGCGGATGCCGCTCGATGTACTTCGCGAGTTACTACTTCAGTAGAACGTGCCGGCGTGACCTGAGATGCGAGTATATTAGGTGATTCCACAGTTTGTACCTCAATTGACTGCACAGGAATTGCGGGACCGTCATCGCTTCTCACTGCGAATCGCGTCGAGGGAGTCGTCTTTTCTCTTCGACGAGCCTATCCCAGAACACCGTTAGCTTAGTGTACATATGAACATTTATAGATGTTTACTGGCTAATGCCTTTAGATGCGGGATAATTAGTATACTGAATGACCAACCTGAGTAAGGGGATTGGGGTGATAGATGCACTGATCGGCGCACTGTCTCTTGATACATCTGCCGCAGGTTGGGACGACATGATCACACTTCAGCTTAGATCGTCTACATGGTTCACACGATCTAGATAAGGCGAAGAGTATAGCAGGAACAAGCCCCGACTCCCAGGCCGCGAGGTACATGGCTTGATGAGATTCTAGAGGACATCTAGTTTACCTACCTAAGGTATGTACCACACGTCTTAGGGAATCTAAGCTTGATCCCGCGGTATCCCCCGAATGTAAGCTTGCGTAGGTATGAGATGGAACAAGGGTAAATGAGAGGAGACGAGGGGGGACTAGGGCAAATGCATACTGTAATTTTCCATTGCGTCGGTATTTTCCCGTTAAAGCACGATGTGAATGCATAGGCTGCAAATCTATAATTTGACCACCAAGCGGCTGCTGTGAACGATTCATCGAGGCTACTAAGACTCCGAGATACCTCGGATTTGGGGTCCACCAGTGTCGGAGTTGATGTGGCCAAGATAGCTGATAGAATATATCGAGAAGAGCCTTTTACTATGGTGGAGGATCAATCTCGCCCCTCTTGACAGCTACCGATGGCATGAGTTTGAAGCATCTCTGCTCATTGCTTAGGCAGAGAGATCGGAGTCCAAGCGACCACCGTTCATAGATGTGATGTGATGAACTCCGAGCTTTCCTAGCTGCTGATTGGTGGATAGACACCTTGCTTTTCGGCCTTCGGCATATTAACAAACGCGGTCACCTCGGTGAATGACCAGGGTCGAAGCAGGGGGAAATACATACTCTTTATCTATGATTATGAAGGTATTGTAGAAGTCATCACCACTATATCCGTGTAAGTCAACTTTGTTAGAAAGAAAGTAGTTTTAAGCCTACCACGTCTAATGTAAGCATTTTGAATTATCCTTATCAAGGAAACCTTAAACAAACAACTGGAGAAACGCGTAGGTGTTTACGCAAGTCGTCGTGGTCCGTGAGCGTAACCTTCTTCCGGTCACCTTTGACATCTCGTTGAACCAACTTTTAATTGCTTCACGGGCATCATTAACTAAAATATATCATTATTAATCTAGCTCTTAGTCTTATACTAGAAGATGGAAATCTACAGTAGGTATATATTCATAATTCTGGTCTAATCGCAACATATTCCGAGAGAAGTCCTCCCGCGATAGCTCCGCCTGCCAGCCAGAACCCATATCTGAACCACCACCAACAGCTTGCTGAGTCCTTCAACTCAACGTTAGCGATCATAGCACCTAAAGAAAGCAAGGAGCCGCCACCAGCGATTACGTGGAATGCGACTCCCATGCTTAGGAGACTTCCGCACGTATATAACAGTGTGATCATGCAGCTAAGGAGCAGCCATAGCAACGGTTTCGTCCGATCCTTAAGCAGAACAGCAATGCTCTTCAAACCCATCTTGATGTCATCCTTGACATCTTGATGCGCATAGATCGAATCATAAATAATTGTCCACAGGATGCTTGCGAGGAAGAGGCACGTGGTTGACGGTTCTATCCAGAAGAACTGCTTCCATCCGTTTCCGCTCCCAAAAGGTCCTCCCATAAATGGCTCGAGACCCATTGCGCATGATCCCATCATGATACCCCAGGCCAAACAAAAGCCGAGTACCAATTGCGCAAAGTTGGTGTGCCGTTTGGCCCAGGGGTAGTAGAACGTACCGACAATATTCGGGATGGCGTAGATCGCGCTTCCGGGAGGCATAAGGAGTAGAAACGAGGCAGCGCCGATGGCTTGTGTCGCAGTAAAAACGAAAGCGGAACGAGGTGTGATAGCACCTCGAGGGATAGGACGCTTGCTCGTACGAGGTATCGACTTGTCGACGGGCGCATCGATGAGGTCGTTCCAGCCATGGGCCGCGTTCGAGAAAAAGAAGCTACCGCCAAGCATGATTGAGCTCGCTCGGAGCACCTGGGAGATAGGCGATCGCTGGATAATGGCGGCAAGTATAATGCCGAAAAAGTGTGGGAAGTATATGAGGAACAGGGCGGCGGGAGGACTCAATCGTGCCAGCTGGACGTAAGGAACCCACGATGAAGGTAAACGACCAACCCAGCCGCCGACATGTCCACCACCATACTGCTGCGCGAGCGCATCATTTTGGAACTCGGCCGTCTCGTTGGCTGAATGTGGTTTTTCGTTACTCGTCTTACCGCTCATGATAGGGAGAGCCAACGGAAGGGTTTGAAAGGACGTGATAGTTATGAATAAGGAACCGATTTCTTCTCCTTTTTTTTTCTTGCTCTTTTTTCCGGGACGGGTTCGAAGAGCTAACTAAGTTACTTACATTCCGTCCTTGCCGCGACTACTTCTAGGAGACGCTAGTTACTATGTAGAATAGTTAGCAACGTCAAGGGTGGCAGGGACTTCTATCCCACGGACGACAGCTATCCTTCACCCCACACAAGGAGGCTCCCGTCATCCGTGCCTACGCCACCGGGAGGTATGAAGCTTTAAACATTTCTTATAGGGCTGAACGATACCAATGGGGGTAACCAATCACTATCAAGTAGGAAAAAATTGTATGTATGATTCTTCATGTCCCCTAAAGAGCATGGGGTACTTCTCAGGGAAGGAAATGATAGACTACCTAAGGTTAGTAGATATTTCCTAGATGATCTTCTAAGTAGACTCGGCTTCTCATTAAGCCGATAATTTTGAAGCGTTCTGTGATGTATTCGTATACATAAACAATCTCTGAAGTCCGTGTTGACAGTTGAATTAGTCGGTCCTACTACCGTTCTGAATGAGAACTAAGAGCCGCCAATCCCTGCTCGTCCACATAATCTCCAGTATTTAAAGGCAGACCCAAGAACATGCCCATTGCGGATTTACTATCTATTTCTAATCCCCAAACCAGATTAGAACTTGTCCTAGTTTTAGTATGTAAAAGAATTCCAGTCTTGATTAGTTTACCTACGTGACCATAAGTTGCGGTTAGATTAAGTGTAGTTGCCTGCCTAGGTATCTATTAGATACACTACCATATCTTAACCTTGGGTATCAACTAAGGATAGACACCTTCAGTCAAGTTCACCGATATAATTTTTTGGAATAGCTCCTAATTATCACGTCCCCACTAGTCCTAGAGCATCTCCTGCGACAGTGTCAAACACATAATCATGCACTGTCTACAATCATATGTCGTCGGCTACGCTAAGGCAGTAGCGAATGAACTGGGAATTTAGTCTTCAGGGGTGAAGCCAAATTGAGGACAGAGGAGGGAATATCGCCTGTTTCGTAATCCATATCCATGTCAACGCTATCAATAGAAATCCAATACAAAATCACTGGTGATGGAGGGGGCTATTAATTTAAATTACCTTGTATTTGATAATGCTATGTACATACTGCAGTCTGCGATCAGGTATACGGTAGGTACCTAACCTAGACCACTTAACCCTTTTCGGGCCTCGATAGCATGCTCTGATCATCTACATAGTACGTAGTATGGAACTTAGGGCTGGACAAGGTCCCATAATCTTCATATGCTTCAATAAGTAGTACTAGGGTCTTCCGGGGGGTTAGATCCGCAGTGGATTACTTCTTATACTTGGTATTTAAACTATTCCATAGACGCCGAGTCGGCGTGAATAGCGAGAGCGAGCGACCTCAACTTCTTAGTTCCGGGCAAGAAAAAGGATTATGGTCTGTCTTACCGTATTCCGGGCTCTTGCCGGCTTCCTACTTTTCTTCTGCTCCGTAGTAGAAGGCTCACAAGACCATGCCGTATGCAACCACATCAAAACCCAGCTAAACAACGGGACAGTCCAGCCGACTGCAGACACATATGAGGCTTTAAGCACAGAGAACTGGTATGGTTTAATATTCTCTAAGTCGAGAGGGCTAATTTGACTCATCTCATGATAGGTCGCAGACTGTCTGGGCGAAGCCATCATGCATTATCCAGCCATCTAATGCCGAGGAACTCTCCTACGTCGTCTCGACTGTGGTCGACTGGAAAGTGAATTTTGCCATTCGATCCGGTGGTCACTCGGTCGTACCCGGAGCCGCAAATATCAACCGTGGCGTCCTGATTGACCTAGCGAACTTCAACTCAGTAGATTACGATGCTGATAAGAAAGTCGCTGTCGTGGGTTCAGGATTGCGGTGGAAAGAAGTTTATACCTCATTGGACCAGTATAACGTGACAGTTGCTGGTGGTAGAGTCTTGGACGTCGGTGTCGGCGGTCTAACTCTTGGAGGTAAGTTTTGCTCCCTTCCACTTTCGTTATCATAGACAGGTTATTGATAGGTGTGGTATAGGCGGTCTTTCGTACCTAACCGACCTATACGGCTTAGTATGCGACAACGTGGTTAATTACGAGGTAAGCACTACCATATTTTTCTCTTCAAATACTAGAATAGTATTGACTAGGATTGTTATATAGGTTGTGACTTCAACTGGAGCCGTTGTAAATGCGAACGCAGAATCGAATCCAGATTTATTCTGGGCTCTAAAGGGGGGTATCAACAACTTCGGTAAGATTTGATACGTATACTTCTACTGTGCTAGAGACTTAGTTGACTTACATATGAATAGGCGTCGTCACTAAATTCACACTGAAAACTTACGACATCCACGATGTTTGGGGTGGTGTCAGAGTATATTCCTTAGACGCTTTGCCGGCATTGTTTGATGCCATGTACCAATATCAGTCGGTTGAAAATAAGGACCCATACGCGAACATTATGCTGCAAGCTTTCCCGACCAACGCAACCATTGGTGCCATAGTAAATATCGTATACTTAAAGCCAGAAGAGGAGCCGGAAGCATTCGCACCTTTCCGGAATATCACGCCTCTAGCCGATTTGACCAAACTCCAAACATTAACCGAACTAATGCTCGCAGCACCTCTTCCGGAGTTGACACGGTAAGCCACGCAATAATTCAGGACTCTAACCTCTCGGCATACTAATCTATTCCTATAGGGTGAATTGGTTTAGTGCAAGCTTCGCCACCGACAAGGAACTATTCAACAAAGTGGGAGATATTGTGACTAAGGCTCCAGAGTTAGACAGCCTGAAGAGCCTAACTGCAGGGTCTCTAGCATTCGGATGGCAACCGATTTCCAGCAGTGCCGTACTCGCTGGACAAGTAAGTGGTGGTAACGCGCTTGGACTAAAGCCCGTTAACCAGACTTGGCTTGTTCTTGACGTGGGCTGGTGGTCTCCCGAAGATGACGAGCTGGCGCACAATTACACGCAGAGTATGATTAACAAGATCGAAGACGCATCTAAGGCTAGCGGGCACTACGTTGACTATATTTTCATGAACGACGCAGCTGCGGACCAGCCTGTTATTGAGCACTACGGACAGGAGAATGTTGCAAAGCTGAAGGAGACGGCAAGAAATTACGATCCTGATGGAGTATTCCAAACTCTAGCATCAGGGGGGTTCAAGTTACCTAAGTCGTAAGACCGTTCTTGTCAGTTGCCCCTAACGGCTAGGAGGTAGCCGAGTTGGTTGGTAATAGAAGAGCCAGCTCGAATATAGTGCTGTATGCATATCAATACTACCTACATAAAACCAGCTTCTTGGTAAACCTTGGGTATGTCAGATGTAAGATGTAAATAAGCACTGCATATGCTAGGAGTCTCGAATATTAATATGCAAAATCGGTTCCGAGCGTCATACATAGTAGCCCAGCCGTTGGAGGCCAGCCCCCACGGCTTCAACGCTAAGCCCCCAGCCGAACGAGGAAATATATGCCGGCCCTAGTAGAAAGTGGATTACCTACACCAAGTACCTCATGAGTAGCAAATCTCCAAACTTTTAGGATGAACTGTTTTTGTATGAAGTTGATAATATACCCCTATCGGACTGAGGTTAGAATTGAATTAGCTGTGCCACAACTTTACCTTAGCTTTGCAAATCACACGGTTGTTGTACGTATACGCAGATCGTCTGTCAATAGATTTTACCGTTGAGATGCCAAGGACAGGGGATACCTAGCTGAAAGACCAGATGGCGTCAGTCAAGCAGAACTAGAAAGTCGAAAAATGTAACACAGTTTAGATCCTTCATAAATTAGATCACATTTCCCTACGCTAACTTGGAACTCGGACGCTTGAGTTGCAATGCCGATGTTAACGAACCTATCTAAGAGTAGTCGCCGGCCGGTACTTCAAGGTATGCCACGGCCCTAATGCCCATAATGTCCTAAAGCACAAACAATAATAAGCTTAGGTGATGGAGCGGAAATGATCCATGCGCTGCTATGATACGCAGTAGCGATGGCTGCGATGGATAAACTACCTAACCTAGATAGACAAGACAATCAATCGAAGGGTGACAAAGACGACGGCGAGACTATTCTAATACTCTTGTACTAGTTAAAAAGAAAACCGATTCATTACCACCCAAGGTCTAAGGACCAAGGCCGTACATTAACATCTATGAATTACAACGAATCGAGTTGCTTCAATAGGACAGAGGTATAGAGTAAATACTTGTCCTACGCTAAGTTCGGACTGAGTACATCCTTGTAGTGGGTTTTATGGAGAATAGCTTCGGTCTCGGGCGATAAAACTGGAAGACACTCTTCTATTCTCATCCAACTCGAGCCTACAGAAGTTTCTAGGTGCTAAAAAAGCTATTACTACCTACAGATATCATCCAGCTTCAGCTATATATAAATCTTCCACTTGTGATAAGGGGTTAGTAACACGAAAGTCGTGTTCCGTGAAGTATGACCGGAGATCCTTATTTAGGACGCGTAATTATTGCGTAAGTTGCCTGCTCTACGAAATGGTTTGCCAGTCGCTTGGGAGTTCTTTACGCAATATAGCAGCGAGAACCTTGCTAAAAGCCACGATTATTATTCGGCCCATATAGTTTCGAAGGCGGAATAACTACACGTGTGATCACTCACCCTTCTCATCCCAACCGAGCCTTCGCTTACGACGTGACCTTTCTTCTCCAGCATCCACGGGTCGTCGCAGTCGCATCGCAGAAGCCACCGCTGCATTTCCACCCACATCAGGAGGAATATCTCCAGGTGCTCGAAGGAAGTCTAGCCGTAGAAGTTGAAGGCAAGGAACGCATTCTTGTCCCCGAAGATGGGGAGGTTACCTTTCCTCCGTGGACAAACCACAGGCTGTACTCGCCGGTTACAAAGGATACGGACGAGAACTTGAAGACAACGAGATTCTTACTTTCAGCTGAGAGTACCCCTGAACTATTCAAGCTTGATACCGTCTTCTTCGAGAATTGGTATGCATACCAAGACCAAATTGTTGTCAAGGGCGAGAAGGTCGACTTGATTCAGGTTATGAGCGTGGGTTGTTCCTTTAACACTAAACTCTCTAGACTTATCGTTGACATGTCGGTAGATGTTTGATGCAGGTGGTTCTTACCTTTCACTCCCACGCTGGATACCGTTCAGCAAGACGTTGGCGTATGCTTTGGGTGTTGTAGTAGGTAGATGGCTTGGGGGTATTCTAGGATATCAGCCGTTCTATCGTAAGTGGACAACAGATTGGCAATCAGCGTGCTACAAGATGGAGATGTCTATCTTTCAAAGGCGGTTTGCAGATAGAACCAAGACTAAATAGAGGAGCACTTCTTGCTTCGCTGTACATGTAAAATCTTGGAAATTTCCTTATAAATAAACTGATGCTCAATTTGGGGAATCTAAAATACTATTCGACAATAACTTCATTTCTCTGCGCTCTTGAAAAGCCAGGGTTCAACATGCCGCGAAATCCCGCCTCCCACTGCTGCGACTCGTTCAAAGACTGCTCGCAATGGCGGTGTTCTCCTTGGTGACCTTTGCCCACTCGGCGCTCTTAACCCACAGCTTCTCCTGCTTATCCTCGTTATAACTATCAGGGGAACTGGGCTCTTTCTTTAACGTAAGGAGATAACCGCGTTCTCCTGGGTAGGTATTGTTTGTAGCAAGATCTATCACATCTGTACCTGCATTTGCTGCTGTGCGGTAACTTGGGTCTGCGAGACTAACGAGTGGCCGCAGAGGCTGAAGCACAAATCTTTGAACAATGCGGAGGAATAGAGGCGTGTTCGTGCGTAGAGCGCGCGAATCAGTCAGATTGCCGGGATCAATTATTATTGCTGTGATGTTGCGCAGCTTCTCATCCTGGGAAACAGGTTAATTTCCTCCTTTTCATATCTTGACGGAATAAGGAATAATGAGCAAGTAAATCTAAACATACCTTCTCGAGATGCCTGTTCAACGCGTATCCCCACATGAGAATGGCCAACTTTGAATTTCCGTATATATTCATGCCTCGTCCTAGCTTGTCGGCATCCGGCTTAGCCTTCAATAAAGAATCCAAATCGTCCGGGATAGCCGGCGGGTACTTCTCCAAGCCGTTTTTACCGGGGAAATGGGCGTTGCTAGTGAAGAGTACAATACGGCCACCTTCAGGTCTGAAGCTACCTAGTAGTCGAAGGACTAGAGCAACGTGGGAAATGTGGTTCACTTGGATCGTCTTCTCGACTCCTTCTGCCGTGAACTCGGGATCGCCAGACAAATTCCAGTAATAGGCATTGCAGACAATGCTAGCAAGCGGCGGTAGCTTCTTTTCCGCAATCTCGGTAGCAATTGTGCTTGCAAAGTCGTGTACAGCAGTGAGATTGGCTAGGTCAAGTTGGCGGATGGATGTCTGAGCCTCGGGAAACTTAGCAATGGTCTCGCGCAGTTTCTTGGTGTTGGGATCTGTATCCTCTGTCTTACGAACGGTCAGAACCGCCGTGTAGTCTGGGTACTTGGTTAAAAGATGATGCACAGCAGGGATTGCAAGAGAGCCGTTTGCTCCGGTGATGATGATTGTGCCTGTCATGGTGTAGTTTAATGAAGATGTTTACAGGTGCCTATAAGTAAATGGATGTATTTCTGCGTTTGGTATAAGTGTAATAACAATAAGAATATAGGTATACGTAAAAGCTAGCTCCTAGGTAGTATATAATGGTAGTTACCTAGGTAGTTAGTTAGTATATAACGAAGCTTCTAAGAGACGCGAAACGATCAAAAGGTTCCAAAGCCTTAGGTAGGTTAATGACTTTATAGGTAGGATCCTACTATTGTAATCAAATGATCTAGGTAGCCTACGAATGATAAAGGGCTAAATGGACAGATACCCAGACAGCTTATATGAGCTTCGGAAACTCTTCACATAGCAAAACTCCTCCGCCCGGCCTCCGCCCCTTGAGAACTCAGAACTTGAGTCAAATTAGTCATAAAATACCGTATGAAGTAACCATGGCGATACTGTACGGAGACAAAGGGAGGCTAGTTTTCAGCGTAGCATGTAAGCAAGGGATACGGACAGACGGAACAATTATTATGAGTGTAACTTTGAGAGTCCGGGCTTTTCGATATAATCGTGTCTTTTATTTAGAAGTGCCAACTATTTTATAAATATAGTAGATGAATCGCACTTAAGTAACAGAGTTAGAAACATTATCATAAATTTAAGAAGTACTTAACTAGGCTATACTATCACGTACGCTATCAACTTGTCGATTAGCCACGGTGCACCTCCTTGCTGAATTCGACAACCAAAGCTCATCAATACTTCATAGCTTGTTATTAGGAATAAATAACCAACGAAAACAAACAACTCTGGTAAGTTGGAGTGGAAGTTATTATATGGTAGACTCTCTAATATGTACTGCCTATATGTACTGCCCTTGCTTGCCCCAGGCATCCTATTAAATAGTGTATAGGGCTTCAGACGTAGATCTTCGCCAGCTTACATGCCGAGGTCAGGAATAGATGATATATTCCGATAAGGAGACTGTCAGCCTGTGAACCCTTGAATCTGCTGTGACGTCAATCGGGTCTAAGCCAGTACCTAGTATATCTTAAGCCGCAGGACGGTGACGGGATGAACTAATGCCGATAGATAGGTGAAGGGAACAAACTTAAAATAAACTAGGTTTTACTTTATCCACTGCGTTGCTTAAAGGAATGGCGAAGCTATGGAATTAGGTACTGGATTGAAATTCTGCATGTGGGGATGAACAACTGAACATTGAACTGAAGTATGTTTTTATTGATATATGCATACCCACCTATGCCCGAACACGTCATAGCGCTTTAGCGGAGCTATGTATCCTTAAGCTGATGGGTGCATTGGAGTACGTTTGTCCAGGTTTAATTTGTTTAGGTAGTTTTGGTGGAGCGATGCATCACAGCTTAGTGACACTTCAAAAGATAGCAACGTCTTTTCTAGGTATTGTTGATGCCAACATTGTTGTAAACATTGTTGTAAAGCAATAACATTTTGCATTTCTCAGTCTGGGCCAGTTTGCGCCGGCTTAAGCCGATTAGAATGTTTGTACAACAACATATAAATAACATATAAATGGGCTGGCAGCTGTGACAGAGTCGTCACCTGCCCACAATAGATTGGAAAAGATGTATGATTGGAGGTACAAAAGTACCATGTACTCACAAAAGCCTGTAGCCCATCATCGCATCACACACCGAAATACCTAGTAGCAACTGCCCAAGATTGTAACCGCCCTGCTGCCATACGTAAAAGTACCTAAGTGCGGTACACGGTACACACATCACACATCACACTTCTTTGTCACTTTAGAGATGCATTTCCATATTCTTCCTTCCCAACAATACCACTGAGGACTACCTAAACCAAATTGTTAAACAACCTCCATCATCGCAACTATCGTTAGGTCCTCCTTTACTTCTTTGATTTTTAGCGATTTGCATCTAATTATTTCTAAGGGGGAAGGAAAGCGATCTCTGATTGTTTCTAATATCCGTTTATTTATTCCCTTTTTTTTTTTTTTACTTTCCGGTTCGAACATCGAAAACCTGATGGTCTGAATACTACCCCTCGATCCACCACCCCGTTGAATCCTTCGATATCACCATCATCGCCATTTCGCCAACCTCTTCGAGACATTACCGATCCTAACTAATTTCGAACTCCTTGCCCGAATAAATCGCGACGCAGTCTTCTACAGACTTGCCAAAATGCGACCGCCGGCTCCTTCTCTCGATGTAATAGCCGCCCGTAACTCTGCTGCTGCTACTGCTGCTGCTGTTGCTGTTGCTGCTGCTGCTGCTGCTACCGCCGCAACCGCCGCCGCACCCAATGAAGCTTCGGGCCCAAACATGCAGACAATGAACATGTCCGACGACACGAGGGATTCGAGGTCTTCATCGTCGACGAACTCGCCCGTCCCCCCAGATAACGAAGAGTCCGACTTCTTCCACGTAGCAAATGATTCCCAGTCTTCTTTAGGAGTAGTACCAAACTTGCAAGACATGCAAGTGACCGACCCAGAATGTCTCCCGACCGTGGCAGCCCTTCCCAGCGAAATCCTCATCAGCATCTTCTCCCGCATCAACAGCCCGGGTGAACTCTTGAACTGCATGTTGACCTGTAAGAGATGGGCCCGCAACGTGGTCGAGATACTCTGGCATCGCCCGACCTGCACCTCGTGGTCGAAGCATCAGTCCATCTGCGCGACTCTAGGACTCGAGAAGCCTTTCTTCACTTATACAGACTTCGTTAAGCGCCTTAATCTAGCTGCATTGGCAGATAAAGTTAGCGATGGTAGTGTTATGCCGCTTGCCGTCTGCACCCGCGTTGAGCGTCTCACCTTGACCAATTGCAAAGACCTGACTGATCTGGGACTGATGCCCCTGGTGAGGAGTAACAAGAACCTCCTCGCTTTGGATATTTCGGGCGATAACAACATCACCGAGCGCTCTATCGTGGCTATCGCCGAGAACTGCCGCAGGCTTCAGGGTCTGAACGTGTCAAACTGCAAACAGATCTCCAATGAAAGCATGGTTCAACTCGCCGAGAATTGCAGGTATATCAAACGGGTAAGTCAACTCCCCTCAATACGCCTCTCAGGTGGCCTTTATTAGTTTCGATACTACTACTCTATTTGAGGCGCTGCTAATCATGCCCGATATTTAACTGGTAAACAGCTTAAGTTAAACGATTGCGAACAACTCAACGATAGTGCGATTATTGCCTTCGCCAATAACTGCCCAAATATACTCGAAATCGATCTTCATCAATGTGTGAATATCGGTAACGAGCCTGTTACCGCCCTGCTTGCTAAAGGACGATCCCTGCGAGAGTTGCGACTTGCGAATTGCGATATTATCGACGATGGCGCATTCCTATCCTTACCCTCCAAGATCTACGAGCACCTTCGTATCCTCGATCTGACATCGTGTACCCGGCTTACGGACCGCGCTGTCGAAAAGATCATTGAGGTTGCCCCGCGGTTACGAAATTTAGTCCTAGCTAAGTGTAGCAATATTACCGATTCTGCGGTCTATGCCATATCTCGTCTCGGCAAGAATCTACACTACGTACATCTTGGCCACTGTAGACACATCACAGATGATGCGGTCAAGCGTCTGGTGCAATCCTGCAACCGCATTCGTTATATTGATCTTGGCTGTTGCACCCACCTCACGGATGAGTCCGTTGTACAGTTGGCAAGACTACCGAAATTGAAGAGAATCGGATTGGTGAAGTGCAGTAGCATCACGGATGAAAGCATGTACGCATTAGCTGGAGCAAACCGTCATGCCCAGTCCCGACGTAATGCGTCAGGAAACAACGCTTCCCGAAGACACGACTATCACACTGGTAGTTTGGAACGAGTTCACCTTAGCTACTGCACAAATCTGACACTTCCGGTATGGCTAATCTTATTCCAGAGATGCTATTCACACACAGGTCGCTAACACTACTACAGAGCATTATCAAACTCCTCAACTGCTGCCCGAAACTTACTCACCTGAGTTTGACTGGTGTACCTGCTTTCCTGCGGGATGATCTGGATACTTTTTGTCGAGACGCGCCTCCAGGTAATTAGCTTTTCCCCCTAGATCCCGCCCGTATCCCGATGTACTAACCGGACATTTCAGACTTTACCGAACACCAGCGAGCAGTATTCTGTGTCTTCTCTGGTCAAGGTGTAACGGGTCTCCGAACCTACCTAAATACCCAACCCGAGTTTGCCGAGTACCACTTGCAACAGCAGACTATATTCCCGTCACGAAGAGCAGTCCAGATAAATCAAGACGCAGCTCAGGGTCAGGTGCAAGGACTTATTCCCGTACCAGCCCCTGATATGGACGGTTTTGATGATATCGACGGAGTTGAGGATGACGATATGGGCGATGGTAGCGAGATTGCTCTTGACCCTGGTAGCTTCGGCGGAAACGATAACTCTACAAACGGAGCCAGTTTATTAGTCCCTCCGCCACCGCCGCCTCCACCACAAATTGGCGCCTCTCATCAACCACCTCGTCCACAGCCGTCGCATTTAGCTACTATTACTATAGGCGCTATCATGGCGCCCGCGACTCAAGCTGGCACAGGCACGTGGATTCCCGTTAGTAACACTCCAGGCCCCAGTACTGCCGGCCAGAGGATTTTCGTCAACGTAGACTCCTCAGGACCTAGCACAGCTTCCATGCAAGGAGACGCCGAGGAAGACGATAGAGGCGATCGATCATAGAATTGTTGCTGTCGCGTCGTTATATGCGAACAATCTTAACGTATACGTTCGTATGATAGTATAGCCCCTGCCTCCCTGTTTACAAGAATACTTCTTATACTGGACGTATCGGAGACGGTATACGAATTGGATCATGCATCAATACTTAATATCCGCCTAATTAGGCCACGCCCCATGGTTTACCTAATGCGGATAACCAATGATCCTTTTACGTTAGTACGCGTGCGCCTTCTGTCCTGTCTAACTAAGTAAGACCGGAGTCATCTTAGAGTATTTACGGTTCAGAGCGACGCTTAGCCTAGGGTGGTGGATGAGCACCTCCTATGCATCTAGCACATCGCGGGAATATTAGCATTTAGCTTGACTGGTGATCGTCGCGGAGCCACGATAGGGCTGTGGCTGACCACCAGCATTATGGCCAAGGCACACATGCCTTCGAAACTAATTAGAAACTCTGCCAGAACTCGCAAGGCAACAAGTGTACGAGGTTAATGGCGAATGTCTAGGGAATTGAGATTATTTCTATGGGAGTCCCGACATACCAAGCGGGATCTAAGCTGGTGGCAACAGAACGGTCAAGACGGATGGATCCATGGAACCGTGAGGTGGATATTTGCTCTACTTGTTTTCTAGCAGTATTGCGACAAATTAGACACGGCGGGTTGCCATAGCTGGCTCGCCCACCACGAAGCAGAAGGGGATGCTATGAATAGAATGGCTTCTGTTTCTCTCTGATACTAGGCCTTATTCTACAATATATTAAGTAGAAAATTCGTAAAGGCTTGAATGTTATTCCGTGTGAGCAGCCAGCAGTGCAATTGTTAGATCCTCGGACTACTAAAACATCTATATCAATAATTCATCCTCGGAGAGTCCGAGTCCGGGACGTCGTACTTGGGCCGTCGTACTCGGAACCGAGTAGATGTCCGAGACACTATCGATAAGCCATATCGACGGCTATCACCATAAGAAATCGCCTTTTAGTCCCGAATCTTGATGTTGTGGGCACGAAGTTCGCGTTAGAAATGTGGTGTCACTCCTTTGGATATGACATGTGTCTCATAAAGGACACTGAAAACATCATCCGATACGAAGTCTCCACGATGGATATATTAGACCCGTTCGCCGCCGTTCTATCGGCCTATCCCTCGCATAACTATTAAATACGACGTACCCTACGTGTCTGTTTCTCTAGACTATTATGTCAACATCAACCCCTAAAATCGCCATCATAGGCGCGGGACCCGTAGGTCTCACGCTTGCCGCCATTCTACATCATAAAGGGACCAAATATACCATCTTTGAGCGTGAAACCAGTGCTACAGTCCGTGCTCAAGGCGGTACTTTGGACATTCATGCCGAGACAGGTCAGCGCGCCCTTGCTGCTGCCGGCTTACTGCCCGCGTTCAAGAAGATATCACGCCCCGAGGGTGAAGCTATGCGTGTCGTGAAGAAGGACGGTACCGTACTTCTCGACGAGAACGAACAGCAACAGCAACAGCAGGATTCAAAGGATTTACAGAATGGACAAGGAGAGGAAGATGGCCGCGGACGCCCGGAGATCGATCGCAGGGACCTCAAGGATTTACTCATCGCGGCCTTACCCGAGAGTACTATTCGTTGGGGTAAGGGTATTTCGTCCGCAAAGCCGGTTCCCGGCACGCAACAGTGGATGTTAGAATTCATCGAAAGCGATAGCAACACTGAAAACTCAGAATCTGGGCCGTACGATCTCGTGCTCGGCGCCGACGGCGCATGGTCCCGCATTCGACCTCTACTCACCGACGCCAGGCCACTGTATTCGGGTGTAACAGCATTAGACGTATGGATTTCGCCGGAACAGCTAGCGGCACGACCCGACGTAGCTGCATTCATCGGTCAGGGATCGTGCATGATGCTTTCCGAAGACAGATTTCTATCACTACAGCAACACAGCGATGGCAGTGCGAGGGCTTACGCGATGGTGCGGACGAATAAGGAGATTGGCGGGGAGGTCCTTGATGCGAAAGCGCTTCTCGGACTCAAGGATGACGAAGAGGTGGATTGGACTGATGGGAAGACAAGGAAAAGATACTTGGATAGATATTTCGGCGATTATATACAGGAGGCCCGCAACGCGGTCCTAGCTATGACGGAGCAGCCGGCTCTACGGCCGTTATACATGCTACCCGTGGGCCACCGGTGGGAACCTCGTCCCGGAGTATCGCTGCTAGGCGATGCGGCGCACGTGATGACACCGTTTGCCGGTGTAGGCGTTAACGTGGGTATGATGGATGCGTTGGAGCTAGCGGAGGGGATCGTGACGTACGTTAAGCAGCAAGAAGGAAAGGGGGATCTAGCGCAGATGCTGAGGAAGTACGAGGAGGGCATGTTCGAGCGCTCGCAGAAGGACGCCGCGTTTACGGCCAGTATGATGGATATCGAGTTCAGCGAGGATGGGGCCGAGAAGGTGGTTGAGGTCATGACTGGTGGTGGGCCGTCTGCTTAAGGGAATGGTATTCCGCCGCGCGTATTGTATATCGTCTGGGGTATCGAGAATCGGAAAACTGTATGGGCTGCTAACTATACAAAGGTCACTTAGGTAGATTAAGTAGGTAGGTAGGTATCTAATATCCTAGAGCGTCTCCTATATATTAAATAATAATTAATATCTATCCTATGTGAAATAAGATTTTTAGTTTATCTACTTTAAACTCCAATGATATATATATTGACTAGGTACCTCTTAGGTACCTAAGGTATTCAATGTGAAGTAGTTATAAAAAAAAGGACAATGCTATATTATATAAATAAAAAACCCCCAATACCCTGGCTGATAATAGTAAGGCCAAGTAATATTTCTCTAGAGGGAAAGTAATAAGTAGTTATAATAAATAAAAACGAAATATCACCATGATGATCTTGATTTGTTTTTCTGTTGGTTAGATACGCCTAATAGCTATCATCCTAATGTCCGAGCAAGAGGTAATTTATTTCTATGATGCCGATATAAAGGGTCTTTTGAAGTCAGCGGTCAAGATATCAAAGCTCTCCTGGAGAATCATCACAGAATCAAGGTAGTGGCAGGCAGACGGGGCTTGGAAAAGACAGCGGAGGGGTGACTTTGGAGAATATGCAAATAATTCTTATACTAGGATATAAGATGAAACGTACCGATCGAACGGGAGACTGGGGGTGGTGATAGTGCAGTCAATACTTTGGAATAAATGTAGTAGTTAAAATCAATGGCAAGGACTATTGTGACAGGTCAAGCTGCACAGCCATTGGAGGAATATGTCTACTCTAAGCTTCTAGATTGCCGCGGGTAAAACTAGTACAAAAGTTAATAGCTAATAAATGAGCCAGGAAGAGCACTTCGGCAGTCAATATTACGATACGATACGAGGTCTACCCCATGGGGATCTTGGCTAGGTTTCTGGCCTCGGTCCGCCACTCCGGGACCAACTCGCTTATAGCCTCGTTGAAACGCTCGTGATAACAATAACGAAGCCTGATTAGTGGAAAGAAACAATTCATATTGGGGTCCCCGGATCTTGACCCCCCACATAGAACTGGTATATAAAAGCCGTGAGGCCTGCGTTATAATTTTGGGTTGAGACTACCTAGTTACTACTATTCTACGACAACCGACAAACTCGCCGTATAGGTACCGAACCGGTTATAGAACACCTGATTCTACTCGCACAATCCCCGACCTATTAATCCCGACAAATATCTTGAAAGGATTCGAGACAGCATAGCTACGTCGGCATAATACATTATACTTATGAGGCATACAACTACGTGGCACGTATGGAGGATAGTAATAAGCATAAGATATGATAGTGGAATCTGGCCGGATGCGGTGTTATGAAGTCGGACGGACATATCTCGGCCGGGCGAGACACCGTGCAATCGCGACTCGTATCCCTTGCTCAATAGGATGTTGTCGGCCTTGACCTAGCATTCCTCTCGCAACCGGGCATCGCCATGAACAAGTTGATTCAACGCCAGGGTGATTGAAGATCCGGTTCCGGAACGATTGACCGTAGTAAGTAAGGTAAACATCAACAAATAGGACATATTTACAAGCATGTCACGGGCCTCGGTATTCCTAGAGGAATCTAGATTCTCAGCACATGTCACCGATCGATCGATTCGCCGTCTTCTCATCGTCGGTAAGGGGACAAGGGAGAGGTGAAGAATAAGGACAGGACCATTGTTGGCGATAGTGGGACGGGGATAAGGGCCGGAGCGGTTGCTACGAACCATTCAGCTCCATGGCTAACCATGTTAAAAGGGAGCCTGCGATTCGCGGAGGAGATGGGCAAACAGCGCCATTCCCCAGAGCTAGCAACGCGGGCAAGGTATTCCTCCCCAGCGCTAATCAATGTTCCCCCAGGTGGAGGTTAGTTGGGTTTGTTAAGTTTGTTGTTCGTCGTCTGAAGAATTACCTAGTCACAGACTTGGAGTCTGGGCTGTTTTTAGTTTGATGGAGACAATAAACTATTATTGGCCAGTATCTCATCTAATTGCTCTTTTCGTATATCTCGGCCGGGGCTAGACTCTTAGACTGCTGTTTCTGGTCTTGGCAGCGGTGAAATCCATACGACATTAAACATGTGTAATCAGATTAACTAGTTCATTTGGCATCTAGTAGTTCACCTAGACTATGTCTATAAGTGTGTTAATGCTGAAGAATCTGCGTCATGTTCGCGCCTCCAAGTTCAAATCGCATAGTCATAATATACTAGCATTGCTGCATTATTATAATTGAATCTGGTTAGCGTATTGCCAACTTTTAGTTGCATGTCATTCCCGTTATTGGATATCAAGGTATTGTTGGAACTAACTACGTGAAGTCTTCAATCTTTAGACGCGATGCATTTGCAACTGCACGTTAGAAATAGTAACATTTAGCATGAGATCTAAATTATCAAGACATTCTTTAATATGCTGCGCTCATAGAGTCGTAGTGCATGCCGATTCTCCACCGGTAAATGATGTACAGCTATCGCGTAATTATCACATATCACATCGAAGGAATTCCGAGATTGATATCAAATCCCGATTTCCAACTACACCGCATAGAGCATGCCAATACGATGTCGGGGTAAACTGCTTACACAAGGAGAACGTTCTTATATATGGTTTTGACATTTGCATTTGTATACACGATACGATACCTACACCTAAATCCCAACTTGGCTGTGAAACTAGACGTAAAGAATAACTCCAACGCCGTAATTAGTGACTAGGACAAATAGGACAAATATGACTAGGTAGCTTACTCCGCATGGAGTAAAAAGGACTTCAAGATTGCTACCTTTTCCGTGAGGGGTAACGATTTACACCATCATCGCCAGATTCATCTCAGCTCGTAGTGGAATAGCTTGGAGCGGATTAACGGAGAAGCGCTGCTCTGACCTGCCTGTTTAATTCTAGTGTACATCTCGTACGGTCTACTAGATTCTTGTCTTCTTGTAAGCTGCATTGGATATTATTGACCTGTGCCCTGGAAGGGCAGAAGGGTTAACGTGAGAGAAAGAACTTGGCTATTAGAAGCCTCTTACGCCATGCTCACCGAACATCAAGTTGCAAGACCTCCATACTTCCAGTCAGCCAGTCTAAATAAGCGCCTTGTCCCGGGAAGATGGAAGCTTCCGGTCTGGCCGTTTTGAGTTACACTACCCAGATGCTTGAAGAGATCAGTCACGTGTAGTGGTCCATCACCAAGAGACGGGATCAGGAAGATGTTGGCTTGACTTTAGTGTAATAGTATTAAGTGGAAAAGGAGGGGAAACCCCCTGGGGTAAAGAGTGTATGGTAACAAATAATAAGCGGCCTGTGGAATAATATGTGGGTAAGTTGAATGTCTTGCTCCAATGATAACCCCTGTTTATAATCGCCTACATATGTACATAGGTACATGTAGGTACCTAACATAAAATCTGGCTTGGGAGTGGAGTCCATCTTGGGTCTGAAAAATTCCTGTTAATCATATTTCACCGAGCCGAGAAAAACGACAGAACAAACCGAACCACAGATGACCAACTCACGTGGACTCTGCATCTTTACCATGACTTTTGACTACACACCATTGTTAACAGCAGAGTTAACACAAAGATCTTAACCCCAAATTTCCATTTATTAAGTATATCGTCTTTATGAAGGCGGGGCAGATGCGAGCATTATGAAGACAAGTATCACTACGGTAGTACTAATACAAATCGAGATTAGTTGAGAGGGAGAAGATTACACTGTTACAGAAGCAGGGAAAGGAATGGCGGAGAAGAAGGGGAAACGGCGCGGCCCACGTACTAACCACGAGAATGTACACGAGCTAAGTAAGATGGGGGATAAACTCCTTTGTTCTCCTCATAGTTTAACCCAGTTCCCCGCAATGCCCACACTTGATGATAATACGGGGTTGAAGCCATCGTCGTCATTATTAGGAGTCATCTACTCGACTTAGACCAGAAGCGGTTTAACTTTTTTTTATTCTCCTTTCTTTGGAGTTCATTTCCCCTCGTTGTTTCGTCTCTCAGAGATTTCTTCAGCTTAGGGTATAGGTAACACGGGCTGCCGTTGATTTATACAAGTACCTACGGTAGCTAGACTAGCTGAAATACAAGGGGCTTACATAGCTGTAAAGGTTACCAAAAACGTACATTATGTTATCCTACAGAGCCTCATACCACGATTACAGCGGTACCTCTGTGAGACATCCGCTTTCTATAGAAGGTATGTAGGTATTTCATGTAAGACGACTGCAAATAAGCCACTGGGCATCTCATTGGCTTGTACCACCACACAATGTGCGGTGACCAAGTCACACATACCTAGCCTATCGAATAGAAACAGGGCAAACTATGGCATAAACGAGCTCGAATTCGGAATCAATGTTAGAGACAAAAAGGACAAAGACATCTCGAACGCCCCAATAATATGGTGTCGGACAAGCCGAGTATACGGCGGCGGCCAAGACAATTCCAAAAGGCTTACCTGCGTAGATTATCTTGCTTCATCACCTGATGTTGTGTTCACGCGAGGAAATGTCGTCGTCAAACGACCAATCCGTCTTCTCGGCTCTCACCCTCTGACCCTCTCAAACAATACGCACACTTACTTCTTATTGTTACATATCAAGCCTGCTGCCGCTAACCGGTTCCGTCAGCAAACATCCTTGACCTGCTATAGAAGGCTCTATCCACATACCTGCCATCGTTCTCTGCCAAGATATACCCATGGTGGAGCTCGCCATGGCAGTTTGGCCGCTTAGTACTGTCTAGCCTCTTCGCCACAGCTCACTGGCGGGATTTTTCGAGAGAGAACAGACGTTAGGCCGCGTCTGGATATCGGTACGCCGAGTCCTCCTAGCTCCTAGGTAGGCTAGCAAGCCATCGCTAGCATCCTTCGCGTGTCTGGATCCTTGCTCCATGGATTATCCCGGCGCGCGACAATTCGCCCATGTGGTGGGGGGACCTTGTATCCATGGGGTTCTCCCCGTATGGGGGTTTCGTGCGAGAGAAGAGAAGCTGGTTGTCGATTGAAGATGCTGGTATTGGGATCTTCGTTGTGCTTACGCCTGCTAGCTGGTGTTCTTTGTCGCTAATATAAGGCTTGGGTGATACCCTTCTTCTTCTACTTCTATTCTCGTCTCCTCTCGTGTCTGCCTTTCTCGAGTCAAGGTGTCACTCCCTACAGCCGTCGACAGCCGCCGAGACCAGGACCAATTCATCCTCTCGTCTGTTGATGGTGGACCTCAGCCCTCTTCTACCATTAAGACATACTCCTATCACCTGTTACCGCTTTAATTAAGCAGCCATGTCTGAGAAACCCCAAGCCGACATGTAAGTGTTCTGCTCACCTTAGTTGGATTCCTCAAACCGCACAATATCTAACTCATAAGTAATAGGATCGAGCCTAAGGGTGTCGAAGGGCACTACTTAGAGAATGGCCTCGATGCTACTGAACATGTCGACCTAAACGCCAATCTTGAAGCGAAGTAAGTGTTTAATTGTTACAGATATCTCGATGTAGATGAAGTTGCTTGCTTAATCAGCGCTGCTACCGCGTACGAGGTGTGACTAACATGTGATATCTTTTTTACAGGATCAAGAATCCTCTCAAGGGTATTCCCCGTGAGCAGCTGATGCGTGATGTCGAAGCCTTCGCGCACGAGAAGGGTCTTGTCGAACACATTCCGATTCTACGAAGGGGTGCACTCGTCGCCCAGAACCCCCACGACTTCGACGACCTGAGTGGAGAGGAAGCTCTCGACGAAGCCGAGAAAAAGGCTCTCCACGATGAAGTTCTACACCGATGGCGCATGCCTGCCCGACTTTTCTTAACTATCGCGACTTGCTCTATCGGGGCCGCCGTTCAGGGCTGGGATCAGACCGGAAGTAACGGTGCTAATATCTTCTTCCCGGCTTACTACGGCATCGGTGGCAGCACCACCAGAGAAAGACTGGTAAGTTTCATTTCCATGTTATTTCTGCGTGGCATAGTTAACCTTTTACAAAGTTGGTCGGCCTGGTAAACTCGGGTCCTTATATCGGAAGTGCTTTCATCGGATGCTGGCTCTCGGACCCCATCAACAACTGGATCGGTCGTCGTGGTGTTATCTTTGTCTCTGCTCATTTCTGTCTCTGGCCTGTCATCGGTTCTGCATTCTGCCACACATGGGAAGAGCAATTGGCTTGCCGTCTACTAATGGGTATTGGAATGGGTGTAAAGGCTTCAACTGGTTTGTCCTCCGCCATCCTTAACCCCCCTAATTAACCTGCTAACGTCATGTAGTTCCTGTTTATGCCGCTGAAAATGCTCCAGCTGCGGTTCGAGGTGCTCTGGTTATGTCATGGCAGATGTGGACTGCTTTTGGTATCTTCCTTGGAACAGCCATCAACCTTGCCGTCTTCTACCATCCTCTCAACTGGCGACTAATGCTAGGCGCTCCCTTTATCCCAGCCGTCCCTCTGCTATGCCTGATATACCTCTGCCCTGAGTCCCCTCGTTGGTTGATGAAGAAGAATCGCTACGCTGAAGCTTGGACCTCAATGAATAAGCTACGGAACAACCCAATCCAGGTTGCCAGAGATATTTACTACATCCATGCTCAGTTGTCCATCGAAAACCAGCTTACGAGCAAGAGTAACTACGTAACCCGTTTCACACAGCTCTTCACCATCCCCCGCGTGCGCCGTGCCAGCATCGCCGCTTTCACTGTTATGATTGCACAGCAGATGTGTGGTATTAACATCATCGCCTTTTACTCGACCACTGTCTTCGTTGATGCTGGATACAACGATTTTCAGGCCATGCTGTGCTCGTTCGGTTTCGGTCTCGTCAACTGGCTCTTCGCTTTCCCCGCTTTCTGGACCATCGACACTTTCGGACGACGATCTCTGCTCCTCTTCACTTTCCCTCAGATGATGTGGACTTTGCTTGCGGCCGGTCTGTGCACTCTGATGGAACAGGGAACAGCGAGAACTGCGCTCGTCGCTCTCTTCGTGTTCATGTTCGGCGCTTTCTACTCCCCTGGTGAAGGCCCTGTTCCTTTCACCTACAGTGCCGAGGTCTTCCCCCTCTCCCATCGTGAGGTTGGTATGGGCTTTGCTGTCGCCACCTGTCTGTTCTGGGCTGCTGTCCTCAGTATGACATTCCCCTTCATTCTTGACAGACTACACACCGTCGGTGCATTTGGCCTGTACGCCGGCTTCAACCTCGTAGCGCTTATCATGATCTTCTTCCTCGTACCCGAGACGAAGCAGCGCACTCTCGAAGAGCTCGACTACGTGTTTGCCGTTCCTAACCGCAAGTTTGCCCAGTACCAGGTCACCAAGGCGCTGCCTTATGGAATCAAGCGCTGGGTCTTGTTCCAGCGCAACGCTGTGCTCGAGCCCCTTTACCACAAGGACGACGAGGACCAGACAACCCCCGTACGTGAGGACAAGAAGGCCTCCTCATAAGGAATAAAAGAATGCTGGGAAAAGGAGTGTGTTAGCTATGGATTAGTCCTACAAGTGGTAGTTGAGGAAAGGACTTACGACACAGGATCGTTTAGGTGCAAACTTTTACAAAATACCCCATTTTTATTTCTCTATTTTTATAGGGATTTCCTATATACATAAGGTAGGCACTCATCTACCTACCTTATTGTTTTAACACGGTGATGTGTCTCTATTAAACGTCTCTATTTCTTAAACGTGATTGTACTTGCACTTCCTTGACCCCGAGTGATCAGCATGGAAAGTTTATATTTTCTATAATTAGAAGATGTTAAGCTAGAACTCCTGGGTACATGGCACTACGTTGATGCATGGGGTAGTAATCGTCGAGTGGTGAATGGTCAGCCCTGAGTGTTGATGCGGACCCCGTCCGATATAACAACCCACGCCCCGGATGGAGTAGGTAGCCGGTGTCTCACATTAACCCCCATAACCAATTAGTTTAAAGAATACCTAAGGTATATCCCATCTTGAGCAATTGTTTTCTTTAGATCTTGGATTTACGATGTTCGATCTCCCACTTTTCTTTGAGCACCCTCGAACGTTCGCTGTTTTTAGTAAAGCCGTCATATACGGCTGGCCACCCACCACTAAGGGTCCGGATGTCGACAGGACGGCCAGTTTTAACATCCATATAAGTCACGGAACCTTTAACTTCGGCAACGATAGCCTGTTGCTTGAGTGAGAACAAGGATGTTGTTCCAGTATTACGAGTTGGCTCTATGAGTTCTTGGCGATATGCTGCAATAAGCTGTAGGTTTAGATTAGTAAAACTCGAATTCAAAAGCGGTAGGTATCAAAATGGCACGGACCGAATCGGGATACTTGACTTGTCTCCGAATATCCAAATTATATCTACGGATGACGGGAATGACGGTTTTGGCGTTGATCATGTCATCATACTCTTGCTCGCTGAGGAACTCATCATAGCTCTCCATGACGCGATAGAAACACTGACCAAAGAAGTGCATATACTGCGTGTGCATAACATGTCCAAAGGGGTCTTGATCTTCGGCCCATACAACTCCGCGCTCAACCATTGTTTTAGGGTCGTAACCCATAGCCTCGAGAGTGGAAAGCGCCTGGCTACGGAGGGACGCATATGGGTCTCCGTTAGGGTGGGGACCCGGAGCGCCGGCGGAAGAGTAAGGCGATTGATATGCCGATTCGGCTAGTCGCGAACGGCTGCGACGGGTACTGGACGCCATAATAAAGACTTAGGTACCTCCTATTTTATATTTTAGAAAGTGGGTATGACAAGCAAAAGTACCTAGGTACCTAATCTACATGTAACCAGCAAGAATAGGTAAGTAGGTAATGGGTAGTTGCCAACAAATTGAATTGACCGCTTTATATAAAAGAGGTATCAGCTACTCTAACTCTCCACTTATAGGTAGACATATGTAGCGAACCGAGGCATAGGTAGCTAGGCATAGCAAACCACAGACCTTAGTGCGATGCTGTCGTGTACAAAAACTATTCCTATCACCTCTAATCGTAATGCCTTGGGTAAGACATCTTTCGGTTCTCATTTGAGCGCGATTATTCTAGTCCGGTGTTGTGTATCGTACCACCTACCACAACCGACTGCAATTTTCAGATTGTAAGCAGTTGCTATTATAGAAACAAGATGGTTTAAGGGATGACCAGTTTGATTACTTTAATTGGGGGCAAATGGGAATGGCTGCAATGGAGCACTGCCCATCAGGCCATCTTGGCCTATATTAAACCACTCGAAGCGATCAAGCTCCTCGGTTTCGGTTTTTGCACTACCACGCGATTTAAAGCTAATAGGCGTTAAATAGTGGCGAGGGGTACATCATTTGGGAAGTCAGGAATGCCTTCAAAGAGTTTCGCGGATGCCATAGTTAAGGAATTTTAGAGCGCAAGTCAGTAGCAAATCTAATACGTACAAGATTTGCCGCATAACTATAGAAAACTCTTAGTTATATGGTGTTGAGATCTTGGTGTCATGCATTGAGTCAGCAAGAGAGAATTATGGTTATATGAAATAAGTACCTTATATAAACGTCATGCATGAAGATTGGGAACCTGGAGCCAGCCCCTTTTACCCCTATTTAAATATGATGAATCCTTCCCAACTAAACTAGAGAAACATACTATTTAGGATTTACTAGTTAAGAGGCAGTTATTAATCTAATACATATGTCACTACCCTCTACCCTTTTGGTTGTTTTTATTCTATCTCCCTTATGCTTGGTAACATGCTAAGTGGGATAGTACTTGTCTAAAATGCAGTAGAGAGATCAGTTCTACAGAGGAACAACGGTTCCGTATTTCTAGTTCAATCACCGGGGCATGATTTATATACCTGGCTGTCGTTTGAAATCCAGTGTTTATGTGTAGAGTTCTATATACATTTTATGGGCGGTTCAAGTCATCATCCCCCTAACCACCCTAGCAAAGCCTCATGAAAGCTATCTGGTTCTTGAATTTGAGGCGCGTGTCCTAAATCGGCGAATTCTATCAAGTCTGCATTTGGTATGGCAGCAGCAGCCTGTTTCCCCAACACATCATAGTGGCCTAATTTAGCCTGCACCTCCGGTGGGCTCCATTGCTTGCCCAGTGCTGTGTTATCTTTGTCGCCTATCAGCAAAAGAGTCTGGGGCTTTAGCAAGCCGAATTCATATACCACTGGCGCACTCAAGGCCATATCAGTAACAAGTGCTTGGTCGAAAGCAAATGTAGACGCTTGGCTCCCCTGGTAGATATTGACTAGCATATTCACCCATACGTCGTATGAGTCTTCCCACTTCCCTACATAATACGTTGATTGCTCATATGCTCGGATAGACGTGTAGTTGCTTGCAGACTCGGAGACGTATAGGTCGTCGATGCTTTCATACGGCACACCGAGGGCCTTCCAATCCTCCAATCCAAGGGGGTTCACCAGGACAAGCTTCTCAACAATTTCAGGGAACATCAAGCCGAAGCGCACGGATGTCATGCCTCCCAGAGAGTGGCCGATCACAGTCACATTCTCAACGCCTAACGCATGTAGCAAGTTTCTCGTGTTATATGAGAGCTGTTGTAGCGTATATTGATACGACTTCGGCTTGGAGGATTTGCAAAAGCCAACTTGATCCGGCAAGATAACTCTATAGCCTGCTGCCGAAAGTTGTCTAGCTGTCGCCTCCCAAGTAGGTCCACAGAAATTCTTTCCGTGTAGGCAGATAGCGACCTTTCCATTCGGTTCAACTGTCGGTGAAAGATCCATGAATGCCATTTCAAGCTCTTGATGTTGCGACGTAAACTTATACGTCTTCAGAGGAAAAGGATACGTAAAATTCGAGCCATTAAGGTCTCCCTCGGATGGCGCATCTCTTATTGAACCTGCGTCCTGAGCAACTGCGCGCCGAACGAGTTCGATAGATCCAGAAAGGATTACTGCTACAACCGTGAAAATCCTCATGTTGTTAGTGGAGTTTATAGTCTATCTATCCTAAAGTATCTGTGCATTGGGTCCTATGTGCTTTTAGATAAAGCGGTGACTAATGTCAGCGTCCTTGACCTTCAGTTTTATTAGCCTGCTTTGTAGCTAATGTTGCGGTTATTAGCATCGAAGGTTTGACAAGAATCGGCTGGTTAAATTTGATGACATTTACTTTGTTGAAGGCTAGTTTCTGGTGTATTTTGCTGTACCTCGATAGCAAACAATATGATTTTAACCCCTCACTATGAAATCAGGATTACCGGGATCCGAATGTCAACATTGTACCGAACTCTGTCTACCCATGTCTTCTTCAAATTCTATATATATGGCTAGAATGTGAGCTTATAATCGGTATAATGCACTGCCACGTATGCAGAGCATCGCCCCCTTTTGCAAATACGTGCTGCTTTACACTGTTTTCCATGTCAAAGCCCGTCGTCATTCTTGACAGCTACGAATTACTTGTAGAAGCACACAAAATAGAGGAGACCACCTTTTATATAAACTTGCCTATATCTCATGAATGCGTAATAAACAAGTTGGTTCGAGGTCGTACAGACGTTTGTTGATGTGATAGCCTAGAAGTGTAGTAAAGGGTTTGTTGACGATTCCGAGTGAATTTCTCCAATTAACTTACTACATCCAACATCGACAATGTACGGGCGTATATTGGTCTTGGCTCAGCTAGAGTTACAGCGGAGATATCGCTTAACTAGTGGAAAGACCAGCTTCCGCATTGCGTTATTCGTCCGATGTAACCTTGGATCTCCAAAGCCTGAAAAATTTCGTTCCGGTAATATCGGGGGTGTAGCTTTAGATAAGGCATGAAGATCTTAGTCTACGTGATTCTGGGGATAATTTTTACGCGGCACAAAAGCCCCCGAGTCTAGAGGCTTGGAAATCAGAAAACGAAGCAAAAAAGCACCTTCTAATGAGCTCTCCTAAAAAAAATTTGCCTTGTTAAAATTTAATGCGCCTTGGAAGTATTAGGCATTCCTTCAAACGATTAGTTGAAATTCGACTTTTTAAAGTATTCTAAGCAATGAGTAGGCTATATTCGCTTTTATCACCTTATTAAAATAATAGTCTAGTACATATATTAGTACCGATGTACGCGGGTGTGAGTTTGTTGTATCCGGCATCGCTACCTAATCTTTGGACGTGGCAGTTCATTTGTCATCATCTCAATTATACGGACATTCAAAGATATTTATCAAACTCTCTATTCACTACCTAGGTAGTTACTCATTCTCTCGATCAGCTAAGAATCCTGATATATCAGCACTATAGAGCTTGAATAATGTCCGTTCTAGCAGATATTGACATGATATATGCGCCGTTGAGCAATACGGATATCAGGCTGCTTAGGCCTTAGGTATCTTTGGAAGCGGGAATGAGGAGTCTATCAGTTTCTACCTCCATACAGTCCCGTTCTCTATAGACTTGAAGTATACAGCATTATCATATCTCTGGGGAGATCAGAGCACCAAGGAAGTGATAACGATAAATGGGCATCTGTTTTCTGTTGGGATCAATTTGTACAAGGCACTAGAAGACTTATCGCAGCAAGGATGGTCCCCTAAAAATTCTCATCCCTGGGTAGATGCAATTTGTATCAACCAAGATGACAATAGCGAGAAATCCGAGCAAATACCGCGGATAGCACGTATTTATCGTTCGGCTTCTCGGGATATTGTTTCGATCATAGCGACGAATACCTTAACTGAAAATGTTGTTAAGCTATTGTCCGACCTAGCTGATGGTCTAAAGCCCGTTTGAAACGGGGGGTTTGACCCTAACAAACACAGGCAATCTTTTGACGAAGAGTCCGGCGGAGACAGCTGGAGGCAGCATCCCTATGCCTTATTGAGGAAACTCACGAGACTACCATGGTTCTCAAGAATTTGGGTGAGACAGGAGGTAACACTGGCGGCTGAATGGCCTACTATGGTAATCGGCAAATATCAAGTACATATGCTTGATCTATTCAACTTATTGTCTATGATTTCCAATGATAGGTTAGTGTTTAGCGAGCCTCAGCTTGGGAGCCTTGCCGATGCACGGATGATGATTCACGATACAGAAGTGATAGAGGAAGCTGGAATACCCCTTTACAGGATTTCCTCTTCACATAATTTTGTCATATAGAGAGGCCAAAGCGACGCTCCCACATGATCAAGTCTATGGCTTTCTTGGTCAAGTTTACGCCTTCATCGAGAAGACTAATAGCCGCTCCCTTCCAAGCCAGCTGAACCCAGACTACACCAAACCATACGAGGAGGTTTACCATGAGTTTGTAGCGTATATATTTGAACAGAACAGAGATTTAAGACTACTGGAGACAACGTCTCGGAAACTTAGAGGGATTCCATCCTGGGTCCCTGATCTTCGATGTCTGAGATCAAGTATGACATGGATACCCCACACGTCAAGGCCAACCTAAAGCTGTCGAAGTCTAGAAGAGAACTACAAGTAGAAGGCATTAAGATTAGTATCTGTCAAGCACTACTACTGCCCATGCCTAAAGTTAGCCTATACGTTTCGCATCTCAGGGACCGTAACAATGATATAAAGGAAAAAATCATCAAGCCATCTGCAGTAATCACAAACACGCCCTATGAAGTATTACGGGAGAAATGGTTCGAAAATATTTCAAAGGATGACAGATCTCAAGGAAAGGAATTGTACGAAAAGCTGTTGGTTTTCATTGCGGAGCGGCACAACGAAGATTTGTCTAAATATCGTCTAAGGAAAGATGAATCTTCACTTAATCTCCTCGTATTATTAGACAAGATACAAGTCCTGTTTCAGAATGGGAATTTTGGCATTTGCAATAGACACGATGCTGTCATAGAAAGGGGCGACATACTTTGTCTATTGAAAGGTGCTCTTCGCCCTTCAGTTCTTCGCCCACTTGATGGCGGGTATGTATTTGTTTCGTCATGTAAACTGACCGATGCTACACTCGATCATAGTGTGAGGACGGATTGGGTTCAACAGCACCACTGCGAGTTCTTTGATTTAATATAGCACGTAAGGGAGTAAAGGAGGTCGGAATAATCTACTAATAGGTCTAATTGCGATTGCTTGCACATTGGATAGATAGGGACAGACTAGCATGATAAACCTATATAACAGTTAATCTTGTTTATAGAGAATATTCGTTACGTTAGCTGTCAAGTTTTGATTATGTGATGTCGACTTAGCCAACCCCCACGTTTTGATTCGCTTTTCCTACTATCTTCTCTTGGCGCGAAGCGGTTGAGGACCTGTATGCACTCTGGTTGTAAAGAAACTTCCCTCGAGAGAACTAATGGTAGACAATGCAACTATAAAGAAAATGCATTAGTGTAAGCTACCTTAGAGTTCGTCATCCTGAATCGCGAGGCCCGGCAGACCGAATACTGAAGGGTTTGTACGGCTGAGTAACTTGACTGTAATGCCAGAGCAACGCGTCCCTAACCAATAAAATAGCGGAATTAAGTAACGATACGACCATAGGCTCGTACTTTAGAGACACACCTGTTCATATCGATTGCCAAATTGGGAACCTAATATTCTCATTATTAGACGTTGTAGTAATATTAACACTTAGCACTACAACAGTGTCTTCCTTTTTGGGTAGTTCATATGATGACGAATTGCCTAAGGAAAGAGAAAATATCAAATACGAGTATCATATAACTACACCTACTTGGTCTACACGGAATCCAATAATCTATAAAAGTATTGGTAAATTGATGTGTTTTTCTGACTGCATTTATGTTCGAAATGAATTCGCATGTTGAGAGTAATGTTGTTGATATAGAGATTCCTTGTTTTGTGTTTTTTGCGCTAACCCCCCTGTTTCTATCTATACGGATACTATCTCGACTAAAAACTGGCTCCGGGATTGGATGGGATGATGGGACGATCATAGTCTCATGGGTATGGTGAACTCAAGTCTAAAACAGCATTGTTTATATTAGTTGACCTTTCTATCCTCTAAGGCCTTCGCGCAGACCGTCTCGGGACTTTTAATAGCCGCCTGTAAACACGGGTTCGGACAGCATATATATAATATTCCAGCTCAAGATCAAACGTTGGCGCTAAAGGTAATCTACGCACGAGTGATAGAATTTCACCCTGTCGAGATAACAAGCTAACGCATAAAACAGCTCTACTATGTTGCCCAGGCATTCTACAAGCTCACGTTAAACCTAACTAAGGCGTCTATCCTCCTATTATATCTCCGCATTTTCCTTCAGCGATGGTTCAGGATCTCATGTTATGTCTTGCTGGGTATAATTTCGAGCTATATGCTGGCAACTGCTGCTTCGTCTATATGGCAGTGTACTCCAATAAGCAGGGCCTGGGACAAGTCTGTACCGGGAACATGCATCAGTATCACTAGTAACTGGTATGCGAATGCGGGCTTCTCGATCGCTACGGATATTATAATCCTTGTGCTTCCCATGCAACCCATTTTCCGGTCTAATCTGCCGCCGAAGCAGAAATGGGCGCTGATGATTGTGTTCGCTTTAGGGATCTTGTGAGTTATGAATCGTTTCTTATCCCTGACACTGAGTAGATATAATGAAAAGGGGGAGTGGGCTGACTTGGTTTATTAGCGTAACCATAACGAGCATCCTGCGCATGCAGACAATCGATTTCTCGTCTACGAGCTCCGATCCTACCTATGATGTTGCTTCTTCAACTTGGACAGTTATTGAAGAGAATGTTGCCATAATCTGTGCGTGTCTTCCTATGTGTAAAGTACCGCTCAACTGGCTATTTCCGTCGGTATTTATGTCGACATCAAAGCGCACCTCATCTAGCTATAAGCCGAGCCAACCGACGAATAACTCCGGTCGGAATTATTGGGCCCCGACCCGCGGTGACAGCGAGATGCTGAGCACGCGTGTGACATCTGTTCAGGGATGTAAGTCTACCGGTAGTAGCAATAGTCAGGAGTATATGTTAGAAGAGACTGGATCACTAGATCGTAGCAGCGATGTGGAGGAAGTTCGGGGTATTCGGAAAGTTATTCAATATGATATCACAGTACATACATCCGGTGGTAGTAAAGAGTCGGTCTGAATCCTAGGGTCCCAATTGGAATCATATATTTATAGAAATATTGGTATGACAAGAAGGTGGTGTAAATAGACCGGTAGAAACAATAGGCTTTGCGAATAAGTTGCCGTCTGTCAAGTGTATGTTGTAATGAGAATGAGCGCTCCCGGTAATAATCACGGTTCTCAGTGTGTGGTCTGCTTTTATCGTTAGGGTGGAACTTTTTAGCAAATGGCTCGAGTAATCTTCTCTCACTTATATTTGGAAGCTGGGAATATATGTCACTGGATTCGAGTTATAATGAATTCTTCGTGCTTTCGGTACGATACCTATGAAAAGGGGTTAGGAAAAGGGGTCAAAGACTTAGGACCTAGGTAAAGGTATATGTAGTAAACGAGAGTTATACCTATAAGCCCGACGATGACGTAGTCTCGCTCATGTACCCATGTACCCATATAGGTTAGGTACCTGCCTACATGTACCTTTGCTAGTGGATGGGAATAAGCTCTCGGATCCAATTTGAAGCTTCAATTGGTTTTACGGAAAGCAACACCTCTTTCTCCATTGTACACCGTTGCCCACAATGAAGCCGATATGCACCTCACAGACCGGTCTCGTACTCAAATCTCTTATATCGCGCCAATGTCTATATTCTAGCCGCCTACGTTTCAACCCGCAACAATGCCGCACATTTCTACGACCTCAGCGGCCAATTCACCGAGCGGTTGAGAACCTCAATGTCAGTCGCATGCGCACAGAATCCCACGACTACTACGTTCGGCGGCGAACTTTCCTTCTATGCGGCGCAGTCTCGGGTTTAGTTGGTATCTGTTACACCTCGTATCTTCTCTACCTAAGGCTTCAGAAGCCGACAAAGTTCGACAGCGGGTTGCCGGATAAGCTCGACCCTTTCAGCACCGAAGCTGGTTCGAAGCGCAAAACGGTTATCCACGACAGAGATGGCAAAGAGCTTGTACCTACGGGAAATAGCACTGTCCCTACATTTCCACGAATCCTTGACCTTGCGATTGGTGTTGCAGAAGGACAGGAGATGGTCAACGGGGTAGAGTACACATTGGTCGGCCTAGGCGTGAGGACAGTGAGTTTCTTAGGTATCCAAGTGTATATGGTGGGATATTACATCGCCACACAGGATATCGCTGCGCTACAGTCGCGCCTGGTCAAGGAGATCAATCCTATCGCGACGACACTAGTGTCGAATGAAAAGGACGAATTGCGCAAGGTGCTGTTAGATCCGGAGCGGGGAGAAAAGCTGTGGAACGACATACTGCAGAACGTACGACCACGCTCGCTATTCAGGATTGTGCCGGTAAGAGATACTGACTTCCATCACTTAAGGGATGGATTTGTGCGGGCGATCTCGGCAAGGTCGCAAGGTAATAGCCGTGATTTTGGGGATGAAAAATTCGGCGAGGCTATGAAGGACTTCCGAGGTTTATTCAACCGAGGCAAGGTGCCGAAGGGGCGGGAAATGCTGCTGGTTCGCGACGCTGCTGGACAGTTGACGATCACTTTCGACGATGGCAAGACCGGCATGGGAACAATTGGACGCGTCTCCGATGAACGAGTATCCCGATTGCTGTGGCTCAACTATCTAGCCGGCAGCAAAGTTGCATCTGAACCGGCGAGGAAGAACATTGTCGAGGGTATCATGGAGTTTGTGGAGAGACCAGTGGGCACGGTCGCCACACAGGTGGTATGACGCATATGCCGAAGTCACCTATAATTGGCGAACTGTACATTTTGGGCGTCGAGCAGCCGTGCATTGGTGTATATTACCCAGCATTCCACTTTCTACTGTACCATCTAGCGATAGTATCAGGGTCGTGTCAATTTGCCCATTCTTACTACCCATCTACATTTCGGCAATGCAAGATGGCCCCGGGTGATTCAAGTATGCTACTTGGCCGGGTATACTAAGGTAGGCTAAAGATCCGAATGCGACGATATCTTATTCACCTCCTCGATCCGAGTTGCTTGGCCCTGTTTCATCATGACGAAGGGAACTCGTCGTCTACCGGCGCCGGTGGTTGTATGATAGGCATGGTAGATTCAGACACGAGCGAAAAACACCAGATCACACCAGAGCTTATACCTGATATCGAATATCAGGAACCGATATGGCTGTATGCTACTCATACATAAATTAAATGGTCACGTTGTACCGAGTGTAAATGCAACCACCTGTTGCTGAAACCAGGAAAATTCAAAAGGCTAGTCGACTATGCCGTTCGAACACATCTGTTCCTTCTCTATTGTGCCTTTTCCCAATGTCAAAAAACCACCTAGACCACCTAGAATACCTAGATATTCTCCAAAAGACTCTTCTCGAACTCTCAGCCGCCGAACCTCTAACGTGTTTGACTCGGTCGAAGCGCTCGATGCCCATATTATCCTGCGTTGCTAATCGACAGGATGTTGGATACGGCAAGTACCATTGCTGTAATCCTCGTCCCCATCGTGCTGATCGCCATCATCCTGGCTATGTGGTACTGTCCCTTTCGGCACGTGAGCCACTCTCATCCTGGCGCACCAGCTCCCAGCACTGCTACAGCGACTGTCGAAAGCATACCCCTCCCTTCTGAGACGCCCTCGTACGAGCTTGAAGCACATCGATCCTTTCGGCTCTCAAGAATTTCCGAGGAAGGAGGCCCCATGAACCATTCAGTGGTTTATAGGTGACGAAGTTTCTTATATACCCTTTTCCGACGCACATTTTAGGAGTCCTTTACGTTCAGAAATTTCGTAAGCCCCTTGGCGTATGAGCTCAGAGGCTCGATTTACTTGTTCCACGCAATGCCATTTCCATTCTTTAGGCTATGGAACTTGTTTCTATGATCTTGGTTAGTAAAAAGTTTGACTAGCAGGAGATGTACGAATTAACACCCACACTAATGGTTTTCCTAGACTCCCTTGAAGCTGCTCCAGAGTAATCGCAGCCCGCGAAGCACTAAAGAGCCTCAAAGCTGTCGATTTCCTACGGCTATGGGGCTGCACATCAATGTTTTTGAAAGAGGTACTTTGCCAACTTTGCATTCGAGAGTAGTACTTAAAATAATTTCTTGGTCTGCTTATACGCTATACCAATGTACGTTAATACCAAGGAAACAAGCAAACAGGAGTTCTTGAACGGTAATTTCATAGGTCGTTTGTCTTTTTACTTCACTTAGGGTTTGATTCAAAGGGGTTAGTGTAAACTGCTGAGAGGATAAATGATCCAGTTGAAGGTGGATGGTGGAGCGAATCACAGCGGAAGTCTCTATGATATACTCACTCGCGAAATACAGGTATATATCAATATGAGATTCCTGTTGCCTGCTTATTATGACTTTTTGCATATAAGGAATATACTTTAGGGCTTGGAAAAGGACTATGAAACCCCTAATTCGACCGATATCCGTCCATGAATTAGGATAGATATAGTAAAGCGGCTACATTGTACTAATGCAAAACTCAACTAAACACATCGTTCTTCAATAGAAGCTCTGTCTTATATATACCGATCTATATTTAATCCTAGAGTAGTACTCTAGCTAATAACAATGGGCATCTATAAGATGCCTGATTTATAAGAAAGTCTATTATCATTGCTTGTTTATTCCCTGATTCACACCGTCGGAAGGACATGTTTAGACGCATACTCTTGAATACCAAACATGACGAATCCTTTCTTTGTTCCTAGTCGTAAGACGCCTGGGGACTTGTAGTGTTATCTCATAGCCCTTCATAACTTAGATCGGGAATTATTTAGTCACAAAGCGCCGACCTCGGTAAGCAGACTCTTCAGTTCGCCAGATTTAGCCTGCAAGTCTGAGTTGCCACCGATGTGCTTCTTTCCGATCCAGATGTTAGGGACAGTGCGCTGCCCCGAAATCTCCTGAAGCGCATCTTGGATAGCAGAGCCATCAGGCACCTCGTCCAACTCTACCAACTTGTACTTGGCACCTAGACTGTCGAGAAGGCGCTTCGAGGCGCTGCAGTACGGGCAATACGATTTAGAAAACACCGCTACAGAGGACATTTCTTGTCAGCGGGAGTAAAATCGCGCAAGGGGCCGATATAGCAGTGACTGATTTATATCAACGGAGCTAATCAGTAGGTAGTAAATACTTACCGACGGCATTCTCATCGATGATGCTCTGAGCTTTGGTCTTAGCTTCGGCCATGGCTTGCGGCGATATAGATGCAGAGAAAAGTCGGCGGATAAGAAACATGAAAGTCGCTAGTAGGTAGTCGATGTTGTTATCTATGAACTGGGGGGGTCAGTATCTTTTATAGTGTTTTTTTTTACTAAGACGTGATGGATATGGCGAATTGTATTTGTCATGGCCCGATTTCGTCACAGGGTCGCGGATGTTGTCGGTGGAATGTGTGCCGCGGACCCGGGATGAGAATTACCTACAGATACGTCCTCTAGATATGACGGCAGGCAAAACGTGAGATCAATTATTTGAGATCCATGTACGTAACACAGAGCCAGCAGACAACAGATTTCGGAATTTGACAATCGCGATAGACAACGTACCCATTCATATAAGTCTTGCCGAAGGGTACATATCCGATTTTGACAGCTAGAAAATGACGCAATTACCGAAAATGTGTACATACATATGTATGAAGAAAAAAGCGGTTGAGCGCTAGTACCGGACTTGGCTACATTATGGGGCTGGGGGGGGTTATTAACATAGTATCAGCATTAATGTTAAAGGGTGGATATAATGTCGGCGGTGCGTTATTTAAGAATTAATTCCTTAATTGATTAGCTAGTATATATAGTATAGTTACCCCCGGGGGTAATTATATTTAAAATATAAAGATAATTAAGTTTAAAATAGCTATTATATGTATACGATTATATTTTATTATAATTATATATTTTTTAAAATATTAATATATTAAAAAAAAATAATTTTTTAAATATTATTGTTAACGGTAATTACGGTTATTTAATCGATATATGTTACGTATAAAATTATATTAGGTTAAAAGATTATGTTAGGTTAAATAATTTAATATATTAAAAAAAAAAAGAAAAAAAAAATTAAAATTTTTATAATTTAATATAAAATTTTAAAAATATTATATATAAGGTATATAATATATAAACATATATAAAAATTAATTGAAAAAATTATATTAATATATTAAATTATAAATTATAATGTTATAATATTATAAGTTACATGTTTTATTATTACATTACAAGGTTATTATAATTATAAATAATTAAAATTTATTATATTATAATATATATATATATTTTAAATTTTTATTTAACTTATATATATTTAAAGTTAATATAATATTAATATTAATATAATATTAATATTAATATTATATTAATATAAATATTATGGCTGTTATTAACATTATGGTAAATATAATAATTATTTAAATATTGTTAATAAATTTAACAATTATAATAAAATAAATAATACTTTTAACATAATAAATATTTAAAATAATGTTTATTAATATTGGTTTATAAATATTTATAATAAAATTAATATAATAAATTTTGCAAATATTATATTAACTTGTTAATATAGTTTTAATATAATATTAAGGCTTATAATTATGTAATTATACTAACACTATTACTAACATAATGTCAATAGACCCCCCCAGCCCCATAATGTATATCTGGGTACCTTAAGTATTTATGTAGGTACGTACTATGTACAGCATCCAAGATGTGGAAATGGGGTAACCCAACTGCCCAGCTCATGTTAGCTTACATTATGGGGCTGGGGGGGTCTATTGACATGGTGTCAGCATACGTGTTGAGGTGTGGACATAATGTCGGCCATGCGCATGTCAAATGACTGTTACTACGGCGATTGGCTAGTATTTGTAGTATGGTCACCCTCGGGGGTGATTATATCCAGATTATGAGGATGACCAGGTCTGAAATAGCTACTGTACGTATACGATTATACCTTATTGTAATTGTATTGCTTCCAAAATACTGATATATTGGGAAAGAATAGCCTCTTAAAGATCGTTACCAACGGTAGTCACAGTCACCTAATCGATATATGTCATATACAAGACCATGTCAGGCCAAGAGACTATGTCAGGCCAGGTAATCTAATGTATTAAAAAAAAAAAAAAAGAATAGAAGGCCTTGTAATTTAATACAAGGCTTTCAACATACTTATATATATACAGCACAGGCATAGGCACATGTAAAAGTCAATTGAAAAGATTACTTGAACTACATATATTACGAGATTACGGGCTACGTGTTTTACCATTACACTACGAGGTCATTACGATTACGAATGATTAAAGTTTACCGTATTGCAGTATATATGCATACTCCAGGCCTTTATTTAACCTGTATATACCCGGGGCTGACATTATGTTGAATTCCTGACATCGTTGTGGACATAGTGGCTATTTGGACATCGTTAACAGGCCTGGTAATTACGGCGAAATAGACAGTACCTCTGACATAATAAATACTTTTACATGCTATCTATTCGTAGTGACTTGTAAGTACCTGCAATGAAATCGGTACAACAAGCCTTGTTGACATTGTATCGACCTGTTGACATGGTCTTGACATGGTATCGGGGCCTGTAATTATGTAATTCTACTGACACCATTGCTGACATAATGTCAATAGACCCCCCCAGCCCCATAATGTATGTAATAAAATGTCCTTGCCTTAGGTACCTAGGTAACTTTTCTCTTGAGATAAATCCACAGCCAGCCTTGTCTTTGTTTCAACCACTGAAGCTCCGACACCTGGCTTCTCACCAATTGGTGATTGATTTTTTATTAAAAAAAAGAAAAGAAAAAGCCCGGGCCTAGATAAGCTATGTACCTACCAATAACTAAATCTTCTCCTTACATATTCTACCTAATTGTACTGTACATACTCTGTACATATTATTCAGTACCGATATAGGCCAATTCCTCAGCAATTGGCAAAGAATCCTCGACCTTTATCGCGCATGCGCGTGTCTGACGGTTTTGCTTCCAACCAAGTTGCCATTGATGCGATCTCTTAGCTGTGGAACTGCCTAATGTTCGGTCCAATAAGAGGGAGAACCTCCTAGACGATTCTTTTACAGAAGATCCATAACCAAGCTACTCTTCGAATCGCATGACCCTCCCTGGCGGCCTATCGTGGGTTCCTCTTTGACCGAACTTCTCCGTCCAACAGCGACAACGCATCATCGATCCGTTAGATAGTCGAGCATCGTACCGCATACATCAGCAAATAAAGGGACTATGTAGTTAAAGTATACAAACTTCATATACAGATACTATACATCTCTAAAGTCCAGAGCCTAAGACCTACCTATTACCAGCCTATAGAGTCGCAACGGCAATCCGGTTTGCTTTAGGTACCTAGTTAGGAGGCGACAACCTACAAGGCAGTCGAAACTTATGCATAAGTCCTAGAACCATACGTATGCACCGCTCCGTCCCGATATTACCTGCATCCAGTCAAACGAATTCTCAAAAGATTGTCTGCCGCAAGTCTCGGTACCACTGATTAGATCTGCAACTCCGCAGCTACTTCTCCGCAAGTTAAAATAAAGAAACACGCTGGGTGTCCTCCGGGACAACCTGGCTCTTCAAGGTGGCTTCGAATCAGGCAATCTTGGCATCGGCTAGTGCCATCAAGAACCTTACTACATTATTACCACCTGCATTACAGAATTGCGTCCAGGCAACAGTTGACCATCTCTCCGAAGCCGTCGTCGGATCCAGCGAGTACCTTGCTTCGCAGGGAGTTTCGTATTCAACATTAGCCTACACTTCCGCTGTGCTCGCCTTACCTTTCATGATGATGTCCCGATTTTGGGGTCGTAGCCGCGACAACATATCGCCATACGCTTCACAAACCGACACTCAGGGCGTGCCTCATATCACCGAAGATGACTTTAGCTATATAACGTCCGAAGATCTTGAAAATACCCTACCATCTTCTTCCCGGGCCTATGACCCTCAAAGTCGACGAGCTGCACCTCCTGCTAACCTCGACGATGACGTTCTCCTAATCAAAAACAAGGGTGTTACATATCCTGTACATTTCCCTGCATATTCTATCGGCGATGGTAAACTACTTGTGAGAGATGTGCGGGTTCGCGTGGGATTGGTCATGGATCTCAGCGACCGTCGGACTCATCGTATGAAGATGCTCTACAAAGGCCGTCAACTCACAGAGCAGGATGTCCCCATTCGCGACTACGGTGTGAAGAACAATAGCGAGTTGTTAGTTGTAGTACCTGAGGGGAAACTAAGCGATGAGGATGACGAGAGCAGCAGCGAAGAAGTCATCGTCGCAGAGGATCAACAGAAGCCGAAGAAGACCAAGAAGAACAAGGGTCGGAAGAAGAAGAAAGATCGCATCGATCCCCGCGAAAGTACTGCAAATCTCGAAGTACCTGGGCAACGAGAACGGGAGAGTAGGAAGCCGTCCCCAGATCCATCCAGGGTATCGTCTCCCGCAGTACCTTCAGGGCCTCAAGAAAAGCTAGACGCGATCAGATCCCATTTCGACGCACAACTCCTGCCAGTTTGTCAGCAGTTTTTAGACAACCCGCCGAAAGACAAAAAGAGGTTGGAAGATGAACATCGGAAGCTAAGCGAAACGATCATGCAGCATGTGTTGCTGAAATTAGACGAGGTAGATACGGGAGGTGACCCGGATGTTAGAGCGAGGAGGAGGGAGCTCGTGAAGTATGTCCAGGATGTCTTGAAAGACATCGATGAGCGTCTACCTCTTTCCAGTAGACCTAAGGATAGGTGATCTATGAGCATGCATCTCTTCCTTCTTGCGGGTTCTAGAACTACCATATTTTCCGAGCTCACCTCTACCTTAGATTGCTGTCTAAGCTACTTCATCACGATAGCATCTCACTAGTTCTGCCTAGCACATATCTGATTAGCAAATGGCGGGTTCACAGGCCAGATAGATATCGATACATTATCACAAGACGGGTTGACAATGTTAATATTGTACCCAAGGAATGGTTACATAGAAGGAGAGAGAAAAATAAAGCAAGTCCAAATGAATAGGAAATGGCGAGATCCTAGGTACCTACCTATATATCAAAATATACATTTATATGGCTAGTGATCAATGATGCCATCGTGAGAGAATCACACCCTATCTAAACTCTATTATGGCAAGTATAAGGTAAGCAGAATAGGTACCTAATACCTACATGTAATATTATGTAAAATGCGTACGTAAGGTAAGGTATCTACATAGGTACATACACACACAGAAAGGAGGTAAATTGGAATAATTGTTAGGTTATGCGAGCCCTAGGTACATTAGGCGATAAACCCTCTCGCTTCCCGCTAGAGCCCCACCATTCCAAACTTGGATTAGCGGTCTTCTCCCACGGTGCACACTCTGCGATTGTGTGCCCGATAATTTTCATCATCCTGTGATGAACCTTTTCACATTTGCGACCCTCAACAACAACCGCGACTACTAACCAACAACAGCGAGGAATAATCCAATAGGTCTCAGACGCATTTCCCCATTGCGCTCTTGAGCTATTTAATTCCTCCTTCTTTCTCTTCTTTCCACATTCCTTCTCTTCACCCCGCGAACCATCGTGGTGACGATCCGGAAAGATGTCGTCCTTCGAGCCTGTTGTGAGTAGCCGACATTATTCATTCAGCATTATTCTTTCCTAGCGAGCGAGGGGGCATATCGAGTTGAATCAGTTGGTGGCCAGCTTGCGTTGCTAATTGGAATACTACACAAATCAAAATTCAATTATACATCGAGACTAATATGATATTCCTTTATAGGTCGTCATTGATGGCAAGGGTCACCTTCTCGGTCGACTTGCCAGTATCGTCGCGAAGCAGCTCCTCAACGGTCAGAAGATCGTCGTGGTCCGCTCCGAGGCCCTGAATATCTCGGGCGAATTCTTCCGTGCGAAGCGTACGTAACCTCCACTCTCCAACCGTATCGATCTTTTAGGAAGTTGTCAGGACCGCGATGAAACTGGACAAGAGCTTGGAAATCCTTTGATCGGTAGACGCAGAGGAGAATACAGCGGCTAACATAAGAAACAGTCAAGTACCACGCCTACCTTCGCAAGATGACCCGATACAACCCTACCCGAGGTGGTATGTTCGAACTCTCCCCCACGGCGATTCTAGATAGATCGCGACTCGAATTTCGAAGAATACAAGATATCTAACATCTCATAGGTCCCTTCCACTTCCGTGCCCCTTCAAGGATCTTCTACAAGGCCGTCCGCGGCATGATTCCCCACAAGACCGCCCGAGGCGCCGCCGCATTGGAGCGACTCAAGGTCTTCGAGGGTGTTCCTCCCCCGTACGACAAGCAGAAGAAGATGGTTGTTCCCCAGGCTCTGCGTGTTCTCCGATTGCAACCCGGCCGAAAGTTCTGCGCTGTTGGTCGTCTGAGCCACGAGGTCGGCTGGAAGTACCAGGGTGTTGTTGAGAGGTACGTTAAACATGGATTTGCCCCGCCATGCCATGTTCCTTATGTGACTTCACGGGAACATAGGCCACTACTATTTCTTAGCACAAATTGTACTGACTTATCGATGATAGACTTGAGGAGCGCAGAAAGGCAAAGGGTGCCGCGTACTACGAGCGCAAGAAGCTGGCGCTGCGACAACAGTCCGAGGCCAAGAAGAACGCCAAGGTCGACAGCAAGACGGCTGACGCCCTCAAGTCTTACGGCTACTAATTGTTTCTTCATCCTTCTGCATTTTTTCCGGGTAACCAAAACAAATACCAGGACAACTCCGTCTCATATTGCAACTAGATCCGGCGTGTGGGTTAGGGAAACTTGATCATATTTGCTCTTGTCATACTGCGAAATTCGAGGGAAGGCAGGGGCGGTCATAGGGTTGGGGATATGTTCACCGGCTCTAGTCCTGTGTTCTACGAATTCGTCGTCTAGACACCGAATGAGAAAAACGAACTCAAGAAAGAGAATCCTTGTGATACTGGACTGTGATGCGTTTTACGTGATTTCGTTAGGTTAGCCACGCCATTAATTACACTAATGGTTTTAGGGAGACGACTCTCACAGGGAAGCAGATTCGTTCTCTGATCGATTCAGACGCCTCCATATAAGTTTCCGGTCCAAATGCCTCGAGTTGATTTTGTCCTATCGCCCATGCAACTAGCTTTGGAATGGTTATCTCACGAGGTTCTTGGTAACTTACCACATTTTATTTGTCGCATCCCGCGTGGTTTCGTTCGCTCGCCGTTCTTCATTGCATAGAAATTCAGCGTAGCCACGTGTCCTCCGCCCTTTTTAGTGCTATTGATATATGTTAATTTCTCCCTCTTGTAAATCCCCCTAGCAATATATGATGGCTGTTGCAACTCTGGGGGAAGGAATTACTTGTCTGGAGTTTGCAGTCAGTGTTGATTGATGGCATGAAAGGGTCAAGATTAGTTCTCCCCAGATGAAGCTCCCTTCGGTTATATGAATTGTTGTTTCCTGGGAAAACTATTTCTGTGCCATAGGCTATGAGAAAACATATAATATTTAGGTACTATTTTTACTTATCGCAGAATCCGTGTATGTACATAGAGTACAGTGATTAAAAGGATCAATCTAGATATATAGGTAATATGCGGCTCGAAGCTTTTTCTAAAGGCCAAGACAAATAGAACTTTGTATATTAAATTCTCTTTGATTTCTATCATCATTTAGATAATAAGGTAAGTTGACTAACTAGTTCCCATAACCATTGATGTCTCAATTGCGAGTAAATTTCTTTTTTCTTGTAACTTCTTTCTTAACTACCCATGTACTTCCTCGCCGTCTATTATTGCAAGAGCTAGGTGGCTTGTAACCAACTCAGCCTCTTCTTTTAAAAGTCACGAAGAAAGGATACCATAGGCCTTGGCGTGTCTTGGAATAACCTCTCGAAGATCTTAAATCTTTTTTCTGTTCTAAATTGTGAGTTTACGAGGACGGGCTGTCTTGGCTAGATCACTAGGATTCCTATTTCATCCAACTTGTAGTTTATCTGAGAGCTCAGGCCGAGCTAATAGCTTGTTTTAAGCATCAACTTCATTCTATGGGGGTAGTGATTCATATAGCGAGGTTCTTTATGACATCCTTGCAATAGTATAAAAACACTATTAATATAAGAATCAATGGTGTAGCCAAAGTCTCAGCGTTCTTATCAACGCAATATTAGATTGTTACAAACGTAGACTAAAATTGAATATTTATTATAGAATGTATTATCCATATTATCGACACGACAAACCCATCTTGCCTTTACATTATCCGGAGCTATATATACTGATACTACTATAAGAAGTAGCATTTCTGAATAGTTTACACGATCTATTAAGGACATTACCATTAATCAATACTATTTGGAATAATAGAGGGAAAGGGTACAAATTTATAAGTACTTATTCAAACCCTTTTATGTCTCCAAAAGACTCACCAGGCACTGACTTCTCATGTATACGAAAGATTATCTTACCTTAGGTAAGGTACCAATTATCTGTATTGCGAATTCCTCCGGCATATGCGGGTGCTGCATACACTTAGGCAGCTATGTACGTGATTGTACCTATCTGTCATTTAAAAGGGCATTTACCTTAGGTACCTAACGAAATAAGTCCTATTAAATTCGCTGGATGCTTTGCTTTTCAGGCAGTCACGATGGTTTAGAAGGTACATTCCTAAAGTGGCTCTTTCTAAATGTTCCTCCTTCTAAAATTCTGTCAGTAACAAGTTGCCAATGAGACGGATGTAACTACTGCAAATTTCCAAAGCATCTTTCTAAAATCTTACGCACTGATACCTCAGTTGAACTTTTAGGTAACTTCCACGACAGCCCGAAACCACGTCAACACTTGACGGGGTAACTACCTCCTACTTAAGATAACATCGTAATGCGTCACCGAGCAGACTTTTTCTGCCAGCTGCGAGTTTCCCAGCAACACCTTCTTCCAAATCAGACTCAACCTACTTCAGATTACTAAGTGTTTTTAACTGCACTCCTTTAACTGCAATTTTTACAATTCTGCACAATAACAAATCTTTCGCGACAAATAAAGCTACCTAAACAGATAGGTAACCCCAGTTACCACCATAAGAGTGTAAGTTACACTCCTAAATAATTCATAATTCTCCAACATATTCCCATAATAGATACCTATCGGATCAGAAGGCTTCAAATACAAAAACATTTTCATCATTACTACCATCAACTATAATTGAACATAACAATACTAAAGCTTAAGACTACTAGGATCATTAAGGGTCGTCATACCTCTAACAAATCATACAACTATGGCAATGAACATTCAACATGACACGCCATCTGAGGATGGTCAAAACAACTACCTTGGTAATCGTTGGCTGGCGCGAAACAGATGCGCTCCTATTACCAACGACCAAAACTGTCGACTATGGATTGAGCGTCTACCACCCGACTGTACATACCAAAACCTGCTGTCCTCAATCCGGGACGTAGGCCCTATATACGCCACGCACATTGTACCCCCTATGGCCGAGATTACAGACGTCGGAGTACATCCTATTCCAACGTCGGCAGCCTCCGTAACTTTCTTCAGTCACCATGACGCCAACCTCTTCCTGGCCAAACATGCGGCCAGTCAATTCACTGTCAATGGATATAGAGCTACAATCCTTAGGCACCGTGTCCGAACAGTCTCGGTAGATGTCAACGGCCAATCTCGCGTACTAATCATAAGAGGCCATCCATACTGCGTTGATCCCCAATGGCTTACTTGGCTCTTCACGGAAAAGTTCAAGGTACACTACGACACAGACTATCTAGTCTATACCCCAGGAAGAGTCACCAGTGAAGTCATTTGGGCCTTTGGAAGTTTCCGAGCACAGGCTCATACAATCTATAACCGTCTAACCCAACAGCTTTCCAACTCCATGACAGTTACGTATGGAACAGACCCTTGCGGTGGTGGCAATGGAACCTAGGGTGAAGCCATTATATCCGATGGCGTCCATACTAAAAGGACAACATGAAAACAATAGAGACAGTTAAATGGTGCGTTACATCGCCGTACGTATAAGACTTAACAGGAAGGTATGTTACCATCATAACCTCGCACGCTGAGAGCCAGGACATATTTACTAACCTGGGTCCTAGTCTCTCAAGCAGCATTGTCTACAACTATACGTATAAGAATACTTGTAATTGATGGAGCGAAAGAAATTCGCAGTTACCAGAAGTCTGATAACGTTCCATTCTAGCAACGACGCCATCCGGCATTCAATCATTTCAAAACCCCTTAATTCTACTCCTAAAAACTTCCACAGACTAGGTATCAATTGAGTTTAGCATCAACATTTCATCCCGATTTGGACGAATCCTATGGGGCAGGGGACATAGTTACGATCGGCAGAGACTTTTATATCAGCGTGCGAGCAACGAATACCGTTTAGAAATAAGGATAAGGATCGCCCCCATAAACGATACGGGGTCGCTTATATACGGAACCAAGGGACCGACTCAGGTGGCCTTTGGTATGGCAGCAAAGATGGGTTCTCATTCATCAGCTAAGCTGTTGTGTGGCTATACTTTAGGTAGTTAATTGGTAATCTACCAATTCACTGCTTTTTGCAAACCACCTAATTCAACCAGCTATCTTGAGGTGTAGTTAACCGCTTACAGCATGGGACACTCGCCACAGGCTACGTGGAAGGAGACTACCATGGGCACGGTCTATGTGCTCGACCAATTTCCCTTCCATGGAGTAAACTCGTGGGGTCGCTTGGTGCCGTTTGTTACCTTGGCCCTGTTGATAACGCGTTAGTTGAACCACATCTAAAGCTGGAACCAAGATGACGGCAATTCACCTTTTCAGACCTCTAAGATATCGTGTAATGCCATGCTCAAGGTCGAAGAGCGTTACATCGGTTTTCCAGATGGCCTGCTATTTCATAGGTATATCACCAGTTAGCCATTGTTCTGCTGGGAGCTTGACACGAAAGTAAACATTTCACGAGGCGCCTAATATCCGACAAGAGAGAGGTGCTTGAAGACCATAAGGGACACATTGGCCTTTAGGAGATAGTAGGGGACCGGAGGTAGACGACATAAGATTCGCATGTTTAAAGGGGAGTGATATTGGGAGAAGAATAACCTAGTACGCTAGTACTTACGCGGTGTTCTACACCTGAAAACTGGGCGACGAAGTTTCCGGATCGCTCAGCGAGAAGAATACGCTTGATTAAGTCATTCAAGCAGTTGATGATACGCATAGCGATGACGATATCACGAGGCTTCATGGCCTCTTCGGATTCTTTGGGCCTTGTCGAGTTGAAGCAGATAGCCTTGTAGAGATGCTGTCGAGCCTTGGCTGCTTTCATGAGGCTGAGGCTAAGATCGAAGGGTCTTGGAAGGCTTTTGATGAAGTCGGCGTATATGTTGTGAAGTTCCTTTTCCGTGAGGACTAGGTTTCCATCTATGCCAACTTCCAATAGCTTCGTGGCACGGCTAAGGACTTCATGGGATGCGGGCTTGAGAACTTGGTTGAAGCGGTTGAGTGCCTGGGCGTTGACAACAATGCAATTATCCGGAATGATGATGGCTCGGGCGCCTGTGGGATACCACCACACAGCTCTCGGATTAAGCGTGCTGTGAGTTGAGATGGAGGAATCCATTGTAAAGTAAGGGTTCTTGTGGTGGAATGATGGAATGATGGGGCTGGAGAATAGTTGAAGTGGAGGAGTTGCGGCGCGACAAGAGAAGGATAGAAATAATTGGCGGCAGGACAAATGTTGTACTTGCTGGTCCTTCCAGTGTTGCCTCGCGACAGCCTTTCCGTTACCTAAGGCAAGGCCGCAGTAATATTATTGAGCCAACTTGCCTCGTGATCTTTGGCGGTGACTAAAACGGTGTGCAGTTTTGCCGGAGTCTTCACAGCATATCACATAGCATGCAATCAAACTTACCATAAAAATTAGTTAACGAGCTAAAGCACATTCAAGAAAACATTGTCCTTATAAATAACACCTCACATGTCTTTGACTTGATTGGGACCAAAGGGGGCTTACCGTTGTTCTAGAATTAGAGCAGACGCACACAGAACTGGCCGCCGGATCGTAAGATAGCGATAGTTGATCAATAAAACCGCGACTTTTCCTAAACCTCCTTTCACAGTTTCGAAAGAAATTCTAGTTCAAACAAGGCGGTACGTTAGCTGGAAAAGGAAGATTCCATGTGAGGGTCTAATGGGAGTTTCTAGATACCTTGAGTGTGAACTGGGAGTTGTGGTTAAGGACTCAGGTCGGCGACTTCCTTTAGTAATAATAGCTGGTAAGTAACAGCCCCGGTTAGACTCAGGTCGGCGATTTCTCCAGAATTTGAGGTTGAGGATTCACGTCAGTACTTAATGTTGTTAAGTAGCAAGACTCAGGTCGGCGACTGGGATAATAAAAATCTGTTAATAATTGTCCCTCCAAAAACTAAAGGTTAAGGACTCAAATCGGCAACTACGACAAGTAACAAAATTCCATTGGCGTGACTACTTCAGATGTTAGCGCTGAGAAGTTAGGTCTGCGACTGCCTTAGATACCGAAAGAGCTATCTATAGTTGCCCACTGCCTACCTACCTACCTACCTACCTACCCTACCTAAAATAACAAAAGTCTGTCGGCGGCAGGAACGCTAAAACCTTAAACTTTAATTGCACGGGTTCTATCAATTGAAGGCGGCATGTACATGTATCAAATTAAATAGGTACTTTAGGTACCTGTAAGTGCATTCAAAACACCTAGCAAAAACTTTGGGGGATTCAGGGGTTCGATCTACCAGACATCTGATGCGAATTACTTGAATAGAGTTAACCTAGCCTAAATAGGTCTATAGGATCAAGAGGTATTAGAGAGAGAATGCTAGACCCCCGTTAGCACTGATCAGACTACCTGTACACCAGCCCGATTCTGGGCTACACAGCATAGAAACTATGCCCGCAATCTCATGATCATATGCTGCCCGTCCACCAAACTTCTTCCCAAGCTCCTGCACCTCCGGGGTATCTGTCGGTCGAACCGATACCAATGGTGTGACGGGATTCCACCGGGCAAGCGTTTGCTTGATATCGTCCGGCGCAGATAAGTACATGTCCGTCATGACGGGGCCAGGGTTGATAGTATTGACTGTGGCACGCTCCGCCAGCTCGCGGGCCATAACCCGTGCTATTGCTTCCAACGCGCCTTTGCTGCCCGAATATAGCGTCGTGGCCTCGGTGCCGATTTTGCTGTTGATACTGGACATCATGACGATCCGGCCAGACCTATCCGTGGGTAGGTATGGCACGAAGACCTGGGTTAGTAGGATAGGACCTAGGACGTTGACGGAGTAGATCTTGTGGAAGTCGGCCTCTGTTACGTCTTCAAGAGGCCCGATAAAACTAATGGCGGCATTATGAATGAGGATGTCGAGCTGCAGCTTGCCCGTCTGGGGGTTCGTAAAGTGAGTCTTAGCTGCTTCGACAATTTTGTCACAGCCTTCCCTGTTGCTGACATTGGCCCTGACCCAGATAGCTTTCACGCCATGAGCAGTTTGCAGCTCGCTGCAGAGATCAGCGGCTGCTTTGTCAGATGTTTCTGTGGCGTGGTTCACGATGATGTTGCATCCTTTGCTAGCAAGATTGCGTACGATGGCAGCACCGATACCTGTATAGGTATGTTAGAGACTCTTCGCTGCATTGTATTTATAGAAGGCCACTTACTTCTTGCCGAACCAGTGACGAGTGCCAGTTTCCCTTCATGGACCCGGGGGATGTTGGGTGAAATTGTTTGAGCTTGTGCCATTTTGAGAGAATATAATGTAGGTGATAGGTAATTCTATGAAACGTGCCAGTGTTGGAAGCGAGATTTCTATGTGCATAGGTAGGTAAAATAGCATGCCCGATTTTCTTTATATCCAAGCAACAGGCTTGTTGGACTATTACGTCCATGGCTAGCTGTTATGGGCCATTGGTTCTAAATCATCTTCGGAATATACCGTAAGATATTGCTCGTTGATTGTATGCGGTTACGACGGACCCGGTATCTCCTGTAAAGTGTAATCCGTAAAGATGCGTAGGTCGAAACGAGGGTTCGGTACCAACCAATGTGCGTATGTGTATCTCTTAGAGACCTAAACAGGGGTCTGTAAACTAGCGTTGTTCGCTATGTACCAACCGTTTTTATATAGATCTACATGTAATAGTAAGTGATCTATTTCTATACTATGCAAGTCGCTACGGAATAGTTCGAAGGTTAATCTTAGAATTATGTAATTTTGATGGAGAAAGCAGATAGAACAGCTGGTAGCGAGCGGCGCTAGCTTACAGACCCCTGTTTAGGTCTCTAAGAGATATGCAAACTACAACTCACCAGGATCTTCAACAATACCTATTTGTGGGGATTTTTACCTAAAGAAGCGAAGTATCAGCACATTCGAATTATTATGGCAAGATATAACTTCAGATGAATCTCGTGGTTTCTAGACGAGCTTTATCGTCAATAATTGCCTATTTAGGCAAAGATTAAGCCAGAAACTTCGAACCGTCTTGTATTTACCATAGTAAATAAGCTGTGCTAATACTTAGTTATTAACTATTTCAAGTAATTATTTCCACAAATATTGTTGAAGATCCTGGTGAGTTGTATGAAACTCACCGCATATGTATGTACTCGAATATTTAGCTACGTCAGTTTTAATGGATGTAACATCACAGAATGGCGTCAAAATAAGTGCCTAACAAGGGGAACTTGGTATGTTAGTACTTAGAAAATCGGCACCTTTTTTGACGCTTTTCTGCATCAGTACATACTGTTGGCGAGCTTGTGCCGCAAATATCATTGTCATAAGAAGATCTCAATATAGAATGAGGGACGCAAGAACACGTTGCAGCTCGCTAATCTTTACGATACTACGTACATGGGTCCCTATTTACTACATACCTACAACGCTTTCAAACGAAAGAGTCTAGTTAAGAAGATGTTACGAATCTAGATAACTAGAGTAACTAGGTACATGTGTAGTAGTTTAAACGGAGTCCCGGATCGTGAGATACCCCTGTCTCAAGTAATTACTCCCACGTTACTTGGCTAGACAACCTCCGTCGATGGGCATAGCAATACCGGTAACGTAAGATGAAGCATCGGAAGTTAGCCAAAGAGACCCCTGTGCGACTTCCCGAGGTAGGGCAAACCGATTCAGGAAGCTGAAATTTTTAGAAAATTCTTCTTCCGAAATCTCCATTGCTTTGATAGCAGCAGCCGACATATCGGTCTGTTTTTCATTATTAGCATTTTCGTCTAAAGTCTTGGTGAGGTGATTAAACGGGATCTCTTACATAAATGGCTCCAGGGGCAATGGCGTTGACCCTGATGTTATGAGGACCTCCCTCCATAGCCGCATGCTTGGTCAGGCCGATTAAGGCATGCTTGGCAGCCGTGTAAGCTGGCATAGTTGGCTGTGGCTTGAAGGCATTGATGGAAGCAATGTTAACAATCGTGCCATTCCCGCCTTGCTTGATCATCTGCTGCATCTCCCACTTGCAACAGAGCGCCGTGCCCTTTAGATTGATATCTGTGAGCTTGCTCCAATAATCCTCGTCGAAGTCGATAAGCGGTGTAGTGTCCGGTGTCAGAGCGGCGTTGTTAATCGCAGCATCAAGCCGGCCGAACTTCGTTACAGTCTTCTCGACTAGGTTTCTTACTTCTTCCGACTTTGATATGTCGGCTTTGACGAACAGGACGTCACCAAACTGAGAAAATTCTGCGGCGACCTCCTGTCCTTCCTTCTCCTTGATATCGCACATGACGACTTTGGCACCGGCTTTGAGAAAGACTTCGGTGGTAGCCTTTCCCATGCCCTGCGCCGCGCCGGTTATGATGGCGACTTTGCCCTTCAGGACAGGGAAGATTTCAACTTCTGGAACGATAGGAGGCATAGTGAACGGGTTTGTGTATAGTGTAGCGTTGAGAGTAGTGGCAAATGAGTCCAGACTTGTATTAGTTAACTCGAGTGAAGGTGTCCGGGTGATCATGTAAATATACTATAGTAGCGATGGCTGCCGGGGAGGTTGTGACTAATTACTAAAGGGGCTTAGGGACTGAAATGGACAGGGTTCCAGGGGCACAGCTACAGCTAACAGCATATGCATGAAGCTTCTTCAGGCCTAACCATGCGTTAGTATAACCTCCCCATGCTTCGTTCTGGAGCCTCTAATGTTGTAATGTTTCATTCAACCAGGAGCCTCCCCGGTACGATTAAGATATCGAATTGAATAACTCACCGGTGTTAATATGTATTTATTATGTAATAGCAATAGTAGTTAGTAAACATGATGATGTTAGCTACTAGAGTTTTTATTGAGCTTACAGGTCGCGTCTCTCTTCGTACTTTCGCCAACCTTCACCAGACTCAACATTCCCCTAATACCTGACAATGGAATCTATTGACGAGTCTAAGGGTTCTCCAGCCAGCAATGTGCTTGCTACTGCCAAAAAGGATAGTAGCGATGCAAGCAGTACCAAGGATGATGTCCCGACTCACCTTAGAGGTACCAGCAAGCGGGCGGTTCAGGTATGCCAAAGAGCGCGTCACTAATGCGAAGCCATTCTGATCTTGATAGGTATGCGTTACGGCAGCTATGGGTGGCTTTCTCTACGGCTTCTCGGCGAATGCTATGAGTGGAACATTGGCACAGACCAGCTTCATTGCCCAATTCCTGACGACTCCCGATGCGACTGCACGAATGGATGGGTTGTTGGCAAGTTTCCTAGGTGGTGCTTTCTTTGGGGCTGTTATACAAGCCCCTATATCGAACAAATGGGGTCGTCGAAAAGCCAATCTTGTCGCTGCCCTCATCGCAATCTTGGCTGGCGTCCTGCAATCGGCATCCTATCACATTGCGATGCTCCTTGTCGCTCGCGTCCTATGCGGTATCGGTGCGGGAATGGTAATGGCTAATAGCCCGGTCTACATGAGCGAAGTGGCACCCCCTCACACTCGTGGGTTACTAGTTGGTCTTCAAGGCGTCGGTATCGTCACAGCCTATATCGCATGCTCGTTGTGCGGGCTAATATTTAGTTTCGTCCAAAATCCCGTCCAGTGGCGTCTGATATTCATAGTTCAAACTGCCTCGGCAGTTATCTTCGCCTGCTCGCTCATCTTTGTTCCGGAGTCACCACGATGGCTAATGGAAAATGGCAAAGAGGAACAGGCTAAAGCTGAGCTCGAGCGGCTACATAGCACTAAGTCGGATCCAAAGGGTACTCTTGCTCGCGCCGAGGCGATACAGATTAAGGCTCAAGTTGAAGCAGAGAGAAATCTTCCTAAGGGGTACATCTATATTTTCACAACACCACACCTTCGCAAGCGGGCGTTCTGTGCCATCTTGTTATGGGTTATGGCGCAAGGCACCGGGATAACCGCCATTGCCAATCTAATACCAGTACTAATGGGCGGCCTTGGATTCGGGACGACTCTTCAACTTGGTTTGGGTTGCGCATGGACAGTTGTCTTAATACTTGGGTGCGTGGTGAACGTAGCTTACGTGGATAGAGTCGGTCGTGTTAGACTTCTTGGTAAGTACTGGTTGGCTTGCCTCCTGTCGCATTCACTAACAGTGCCGAACTAGTAATTGGAGGCATACTCAACGCAGTAATTCTGTCTATCATGACGGCACTAATTAAATTTTACCTCGACACCGCCTACCAGCCTGGAATCAACGCCATAGTTGCCCTGTACTTCATCTTTGGGTTTGCCTTCACTTCGACGATCGAATGTACAGCGTATGTCTACGGCTCAGAGATATGGCCTACACACCTGCGCAGTGAAGGCTCTACTCTTGCCTATGCATCTTTCTTTGGCAATGGTCTTGCGTATAGCGCTCCGGTTAACTTAGCGCTAAAGAATATCGGTTGGAAATATTATCTCGTCTTCGTAGCTGTCACCGTGGTGTCTACAGCCTTTCTCGCAATCTACTTCCCAGAGGTAACTTTCCATCTTGCCAAGTCTACAGTGTATGCTACTAACGTTCTCCATAGACCAAGAACCTGACGCTGGAAGAAATTAATGCAAAATTTGGGGATAAAGTGGCAGTTGATTTGAAAGACGCCATTGCAACCGAAGTCCGGACTGAAACTAGAGGCGACAAGGCACAAGTCTAATGTAATATTCAAAAGATTAGTTATTGTGATCTTGATCTCGTGGAAAGGGGGGGGGGGGTGGAAGTGATGAGAATGCAGCTTGAGCATTAGCAACTTCTAAGTCATGTAGAATAGTGTAAATTATAGCAATCTAGTTCTCTAACATCTAGTTAACTTATAATTAAGACAATCCGATTTTCTTACGTCTATCAGCATATTCTATGCTGAATAAAGAGTTTCTAATATCTTTAACAAGATACCTTTACGTGATGTTACTTTGTGTTTTATTATTTTCTTTTTTACTCCCTAAATATCGTAAGCTCGGATTGTTGTAGGTCGGGGTTCCGTAAGGCACGTATGAAACATCTTGACGGGGACGTTACTACATAGGCTCGAGCGTATATATTATCCTCTTTCGTAAACGACCAGGGCTTCAATTAAAAATAAGCTTTGAATACCTTTAAGCTTAATGATAATAGTACCGAGGTTAAAATTATACGGTTTCTCACCCAGTACAAGATTTCACGCGTACCTAGAAGAATAACCCCGCGACGCTGCAGGAAATGCAGGGGATTGCATATGACGACCAGGTTCTCCTTACTTTGGTGGAGTTTGGTAGCGAGAAGGAATACCTAGTACTAGAGTGTCCAAGCGCCTGGCGGTCCCTCTTCGGGCGCCACACCTGCAGAATGATGTCAAAAAAGGTGGCTCACCTACCAGAATAATTATTAGGTAGTAAAGGTGCGCCAGCTTTTTTGACGCCTTTCTGAACGGGACCAGGTATGCGGACCGAATACGGTAAACGGTTAATACATAATGCCAAAATTAAGGAAATAGGTCAAGGCTATGCCTAAGTTTACAAAAGATATTGTTTGTGGTTATTTTAGATGACCTTTTACGTGCGTACGTGACGTTATTAGCTTATTAATTACTTACGTAATTATTGAGGTATTTCTTGATGTATTTCCCAATAATTTCCTCATTAATTTCCTTATCAGTTTCTTACGTAATTAACAAAGTTTAAGCGCAATATTCTTTCGAAAAGATAACGTAAATAGTTGAGCTTATATTGCACCCCTAGCGTTACTATTACCTGATTAGATATAGTGCCACCAATTTTCTTGATTTTTTTGGCACTAATGTATTAACCGTCCACCGTAGTCTATTAACCTAACGCACTCTAAAGAAAGAAGAAACATTTAAGTCATTTGGTGACATTCGCATTCCACACCGAAAATCACCTAGTTTAGGTACCCAAATAGTCTTTTGAAACTAGCCATTAGACTTCTTACCTAACCTAGTTTTCTAGTATATGTAACACCACCTGCAGAACATCCATAAATGTTTAACTTGATACCAATAACAAAAACTACGTATACAGGTCGTTAAGATGATAATCAGTAATGCCCTCCACATCCCCATATGTGAACCCACATGTATCCCTCAGCAAAATCTTTTAGGAATATATTTATATTTATAACGGGCGGGGACCACGGATCTTTTTCAAGCCATAAGAACTACGGATAACGAGATCGTCACGTACCTTTCAGTATATGTAAATACACTCACGAGGTCTCGGAATTTAGACGAATCGGATTTCATCAACTTTCCAAAATTCCCTACTAGAGGGTCCAAGCGCCTAGCGGTCCCTCTTCGAACGCCAGCGAAGAGGGATCGCCAGGCCAGAAAGGCGTCAAAAAAGCTGGCGCACCTTTACTAACAATTATCCTGGTAAGTGAGCCACCTTTTTTGACGTCCTTCTGCCCGTCATAGCGTAGAAGCGGCTCAGGGATTGTGCAGCCGTGTCCACTCTACCAAGAAGCAGTTGTCAATGATTGGACAACCGGCTTCACCTAAAGTTGATCATCATCTTTTCCGATAGACGAGGGCCGCTTTTCCTGCCAGTCGAAGGATGATAACCTTGGTTACGAGTTACAGTATCGATTCACAGTCCAACTTTATCGGCCCAAAACAAAGCCTCGAAGTTTCGGAACGCGCATGGCCCAGGGCTGAAATGGTGAGGAATCTAACATTTAGACTTTGCTTTGTTTTTCCGTATGGAGTTAGGTATCTTGTGGTGAGTGGCTACCAACAGTACGTTTCAGGATCTTGATCCATCCGATCCTGGGCTCATGCGAGTTCCATACGAAAAGGGCTGAAATAGAGCATTTGAAGCTGTGTTCTGAGCTTTAAGCCTTACGTAGGTTTCCATGGGATAGGATAACACGCGAGGCTTCTCCAGACAAAAATTCGCTCTTAGCGACTGCAATTGTAGATTCGTTAGTTATTTATCATGTTAAACTTGATGTCTATCACTCAGTGTTGTTCCAGTCCTTCCGGTACAAAATTAACTTGATGGCGAACACCAGGATCTCAACAATATACGTTCTATTTTAGCAAAGATAGAGAGAACAGCTGAGGCTGTTAGGTGTTCTTAGCGAATTAGCCTAATGTATATTACTGTCAGGGTCTGCTGTTTGGTCGGGGGTATTATGCTTGTATGTACGGATTAGTCTGGAAATTAGACAGTGAAGAGTTTTGACAACCACTGCCCCTGCTCACACTCCTAGGCTTATGCCATGTACATATGGTACTTCAAGGGTTAGCAATGTCCTTGCGCTCAATAGCGTGGTTGATAATCATCATATTACGATGACTCCCAAAGGTGCCTGATCAAGAAAGAATAAAAAAATCAACTACAAATATCTTTGACTCTAATATTCTACAGAAGTATTCGGATTACTGGCCGGTCCATTAACCTATGAATTCAACGATCTGGCAATCGGTGGCGTCTCCGGGTATTTCTCTTTTCGGTACTTAGATCACGATTCGTAATGCCTCTCGGAAACCAGGGCCCAACGGTCATCGCCGTCGTGTGCACGGAAGCCATACTCGCTGGAGGCTTCATTGGTACGCGAATTGCCATTCGTAAAACATCGAACAAAGGTATTGGCATTGACGACTGGTTTCTTATATCAACTTGGGTAGGTGAATTCAAATTGGCTCCTCCGAATCATGCAGTGTGTTAACCAGGAAGCAATAGATCGTACAGGTTGCATTCGTATGTGCCATAACGGTTTCTTGCCATTATGGCTTCGGTCAACATAACACGGATCTCTCCAAGTCTGATGTGCGAATGGCTACTAAGTCGGAACTTGTTGCTCAATGCATTATTTCATTTGCGATGGGACTTAGCAAGGCAGCTGTCGGCATGTTTTTAATGCGCATTGTTGTTCAGAAATGGTAGGGTCCGGTCCAAATTCTAACTCGATGAGTATGCTCACAGAAAGATATCAGGCACAAAGTAGTACTCTGGTTCTGGATTTCCACGATGATGGGTTGGTCTATTCTGCTTTCCATCACTGTCTTTGCTCAGTGCGTTCCATTCGAGTCTCTCTATGACGAGCGTGTCCCGCGCGAATACTGCCCTCTAGATTTAACTACAATTGCATACATCATGTGTTGTAAGTACCTAGTAATAATTAGAAAAGCTAACCGAGGCTAACGCGACACAGCTTGGTCTGCTGCGATGGACTTTTTCCTAGCAGGATTCCCTTGGATGGTACTTTGGAAGTTAAACATGGGAAAAAAGGAAAGGGTTACAATTTGCGTCTCTCTCAGTTTAGGAATATTGTAAGGCGTACTTCAACAGTGAACTATATTTTACAAACTAACTTCAGATAGGGCAGGAATTTGCGGAGTTGTTAGAACGTCCGGTCTCTATGTTCTAAGCCATACCGATGATTATTTGTGTAAGTTGAGAGCCTACTATATTCATTTCGTGTCTAACAGTCCCTGTAAATGTAGTTGCCACCGCCGAATCGGTGATGTGGACCAGTAGCGAACTTACCATTACACTTATCTGCGTATCTGTTCCAGTACTCCGACCGATCTGGGTTCGACTGCTCGGTGGGACCACCTCGGATCGATATTACAAGCAGAGTGAAGGATCACGTGGTTTAATCACGATAGGGAGGATGAGAAATACAAGGCATGCAGATGCGGAGATAGGCTTGGGTGCTATTCGGCCTGATATAAAAAACGCGAATGTGACGACAATTGGTGCCTCCGGGCGGAACTCGGACGACGGCAGTGAGCGGACCATACTGAGGGACAATCAAGCTATTCAAAGAACACGGGAAGTTACTGTTGCATACGAGGATAAATAAATACAGGGGGGGGGGGGGGGGGCTGAATAGCTACACGACTGTCGTGGTTACTCTACAAATTTAGAACCACGGTTAGTAGAGAAGCCCTCCATGGTATCGAATATTATGGTAATGTTATGTTGAGCTTCATTGAATCTTAGCATAGGTACTAGTTTGTTTACCATCAAGATATACCTTAGGTACCTCTTAACGGCATACTAATGGAACGGCGTGTTACCTAGATTTCTTTCAGATATACGTCTAACCTAGCATATAGTTTTAATATAGTGGTTCGCTCTACCTAAAGCACTTGCGGCCTCCGAGTCGTAATTTCAATTGCTTCTTGTTATCCTAAAGCGTAGAAGCACGAGGAGTTCATTGTTTTGGTTAATTGAGAAGCACTTTAAGTCATGGCACTTAAGCTCATTCCTATGCCTCCATCAGTTATCAAGCCACAGCCTACCATGTAGCTAGACACGGGGCTGCACATGAACGAGACGAGATCAACAACCTTCTCAGCAGTTGTAAGGCGCCCCATTAGTATTCCCGACATACTTATTTATCCTCGACCAGGAACAACCTCCATAACTTTCCTTATCATCGAAGTATCTACGTAATGAGCAAATGCAGTTCACCCGGATCCTGATATTGTCAATAGCTTTAAAAGTACGGGTTAGCAGCAAGTTCGAGGTCACGGTTGGGGCATAGCCTGGTAATAATTTATATGATAGAAGTAAAGCCATGTTTCGTAGTCGCTTAGAGACTTATGCTACGCTCAGGCGAGATAGGATGGAGTTGCTTAGGCTCCTATAGTTTCATTTTTAATGAAAACTGACTTGTGATGAGAAGTTACCCTTGAACATTTACCTGAGGAGGTACACGAATAAATATGTATAGTACTTGTAATTTCGGGAAGTATTCCGCCGTAAATCTGCATCAGATATTTATACCTGTTATGACCAGAAAAGAGTAAGACTCTAACTTAGAGACATATAGCTTACAGCAAAAGAAGTTGCGCAAAAATCAATGCGCTAAAATGACTCTATCATACCTATACTATCGTATAACTAACTGGTTCCTCAGCGGCCACATCGAGGTGAACTACCAAAGCCCGAAAGTTAGGATTTGTTGCAACAGCCTGTGCCAAGGATGCTGCCTTTTCCGCGGCTTGTATGTTTAAATTTGCTATAAGGAGTCCTTGAGCGCCTTCTTTGGCAAGTCCATCACAAGATCCTTTGCCACTACCTCCATCTTTCTTGATGTCACTAGGTGAGCAATTATTACAATAGAAATGAGTCGAGTTGCTTACCTCTGCCAGTTACCAAGCTATGCCCAGCGATTTCCATGTTTATGTGACTAGAATTCACTTTACAATAAGGCGTAGGGAAGAATAAGAGTGACGAGAAGATAGAACTCCGAAATAGTGAATGCTGCCCAGTTTAACGGTTGGTACGATCAAGTTGGTTGGAGCCTGCAATGGACAAATAATCAGTTGGTTTAACAGAGATTCACTCTCCCTTTGTCACGAGGTGGAACGAAACAGCATGGAAACAACTTCGTTGTTCCGCAAGGAATTCTAAACTACCTATAAAGATCTCTCGTCTATACATACTGAACAGTTCTTTTGTTCTAGATGTCTCATCTAGAATCCTAACACCCTAATAGCAATGAAGTATATACAACGCAATAAAAAACGGTTACGTTACATCTCTACACAGTTATTTAAATTAAAAATAACTTCATTGTTCAGCCGATGGTTAATTAGCGTATATATTTCAGTATTATCTTCATTATTTTATTAATCACCGAATACCACACAGCACAACAATTAACAACTTACTACATTATCGCAGATATATTAAAAAATCCCAACCTTCTCCTAAATTCTTTGCCAGGAAAACATGTGTTCAACAAAGGGTAACGTCGGCCACATGGCCCAACTTGTCAACTCTAGGGACAAGATCTACTCGTGCGCATGCAGAATTTGCAATTGCATCGATAAAGTAGTCAGCGTAGGCGATTTGTGCGGCTATTGCGTAGTCAGTCACGCCTAAGTTAGGAACATGATATTCGATATTATCTTTATAAGATAAATATTCTCTTCTCTCAAGATTACATAGATATAATTTTTCAAGTAGTTATTTTTAATTGAGTCACGTAATCCTAAAGAATCGGCATAGGATACCACTACTTGTGAAAAATGTCACTTGGTTTATTCTTAGTCAACTTCGATGTCACTATTGTTCATACTACTCGAGTGTTTATCATAAATAACCTCAACGGTTCTAGTCGAAGCAGCTGGGTGGTTACAGCTTGCCTCCTTACTTATACGGGTAATAGTCCCAACTAGATGTATATAGTGTGGTACCTGTTTAAAGAAAGATTGCACTGTGGGCGAAACTCGGTGATATGTCTAAGAACTTTAGTACTTTCAGCGTTAGGTGTATTATTCTAGTACCCTTGCACTACAATGTCGTCTCTATCGCGGAGTTAAATTGGAAGGCAGAAAGTAACTATATTGGTCTGAGAACTACCTATACCTAAGCACCTGCCTAGGAATGGTTGAGGGATATCTAGGTATGTAGGTGACTATAGAGCATTGACTTCCGGCACTGTGAATAGGCTCGTCAAATTGAAATGTTTGTAGGAACTCTAAACTAACTATAAAGGTCTTTCGTCTAACTATACATATTGAACAGGTCCTTTGTTCTAGATGTCTCATCTAGAATCCTGACAAAACTAGCAATCTCTCACAAGTCCTGGTAAATGCTTCCTCGATCACCAAAAAATGGATCTCTCAGTAGCTCGAGAATGTGGCACTCTCTCGGCTTAGCAAGCTTCCTGAGCAGACTACCTGGCTCGACAATCTCGAAATTAAGAAAGCGCCTCGGCAGCCGTACAATTACAACACCTCGATATCCTCATTGAACGGGCCTACGACGTGGGCGTTGAGGTTTCCGTGGTTCGACGTTTTAGCACCAAGTCTGACATCCAAAATGGTCTATCGAAACTGAACAGATTTGGGGATCTGGCAAGGCAGAAAAAGCAACGAAATGAGCACCTAAATAAGAGAGGACGGAAAGAATGGGGACGCTTGAGTATAGACGACCCTTAGTTGCATGAGGAATATTGATGAATGCATTTCTTATGGTCTGAGTGTATGACCTTCACTATTGAGGTCGTCTGTCTTGGTTTCTAATGGTCTGCGACCAATTATTCTACATTAATTGATCTATGCATGAGTGACATTTGCCACTGTTAGAGATTGCCTTCTAAGTCCCTAAACCATCCAGAGCATCAGAACTTGAAGAAACTTCAAGGATGAGTTTATCGAGATCATTCAAACAACCGCTAAAGATGTTTACGATATAACTCATTAATAGTGCCTAGGTGCTCTGTTAAAAGGCTATAAAGCCGGGAATGCAATCTTCCTCGCGAAACGGCCAGCATTGTAATTGTCTAGGTACCTAAGATAATGTAAACGTCGGAATACCGATAGAGTTAAGGTTTAGGCACTATAGCAAGACAAGGCTTTACTTAGTTATCACAAGGTGGAGCAAGAAGTATGGAAACAACTTCGTTATTCCTCGCGGAACCCTAAGCTAAATATCGGAACCTGTGGCTACCAATACCGAAGATAACCTTTGTTTTAGATGTCTCATCTAGAATCTTAACAATACGAGCGAGTAAGTCTATTGGTGTGTTACGAGCTAATGGATAAGGAATATGATTATGGCTTGAAGAGCCTATTTGTATGGATTCCTCATGTGGTTGATACCGAGAATATCTATCATAACTTTGGTGTGATATGCATGAAGGATAGGTAGATATATATCAGGCCGAAGTAAACGCTCTTGTGTTGGGCTAGGGGAACTAGAAGGGGGTGTTGAGAATTTCAAGGGAAAGAACACGGCCTAAGCTAAGTCAGTAGAGAAAGAACAGAAAATGGGGGTTCGAGTTTCTACCTTAGTACTCCGATTATTCGGCAAAAGAGTTACTTGAAATTTCACAACTATTGCCTTACTACATATTCTATTAATATTGTCTACAAGATACCTGTTTTCGACGACGAGCAGCTCGTCTTAGTATGCAAATCGCATAGCAGTTCTCAACGTTTGATACAGGATCATACGATTTATCAAGCGTTGTACGGGTACGCGTGAAGGAGGAAACCTATTGGAGGAAGTGAGTTTATCGTTCCCATGCATCTTGCATGTGCTGGCAACATCACTAGTGCATTAGTGACACCTCCGCTAAAGCAGTTGCGATATCGCTCGCGATATATGACGGCTGAGTGCGTTTAGATATCCGACGGTATGGAATGGCGTATGGCCACTTACATGTACATTACATCTCCAATAGAAGAGATTTCAGATGTTGACGATTATGTGGCAATGTGCTTATTCAGACGAAGATTGGGTGTTAATAGGTTAATAGATGAACTGATGCAAGTTGGAAGGAGTTGGCTTACATATTAGATGAAGTAGGAGAGGATCAGCATTTCGACTTCAATGTCGTTGTTAAAAAACGAAACATGATCACAAGCAAGAAGTTACCGACTGTACAACACAAACACCCCTGTAGACTGCAGAGCCTAGCGTAGGAGTCTAGGGGTCTAGTAATACCTTAGTCAGATCCACTTACCAAGGGCTATGCTCGAACTGCGCAAAGGGGTTGCATTAGCGTGGGGTTTAAACTAGTGGGGCTCAAATGACGGTCCTGATGAGTCTAAGATAACTTTAATCTTGTATAACTAGGTAGTTAGCCTAATCTTATAAGATCTATACGTAACCTTCAATAGGTACGCTACGTATAGTACCCCTTATATCATGTGACCATGACAGTGCGGCATACTCGAGCCGATAGGGCTGGTAGCCTGAGCGTTTGATTTAAGTCGCGAGGTCTAGTCGTATCCGAAGCAGTCTGTTGTTGTACATATGGAAGAACCCCACGAAATTGTTGGTATGGTTACATTAACTAGATCCTTGTCTGTGCGCATTATATGTGATAGATCTGATTGAGATCGAGAGAGTGACATTCGTACTACACGCCAGCCGAGGCTAATGACATGATGACCTCTTAAGTTATAAACGCATATATTTAATGACTTAGCTTAGGATGGTCGTTAACCATTATAATTACATGCAGCTAATGATATGCTATTCGTTTATATACGGGATATATAAGGGTGCTTACCGGCTATTAATTTACCTCATGCATGCAATGTCCTGCGCTGTGGGTAGGAGTAAAGAGGATACCCATGACGATGTAAAAAGCATGATCCGTTCTGCGTTAGACGAACTAGATGCCTACCTCGAAACTGATATGCTATTAACATTTTAGGGTTGCAATAGCCTTGTACCTACGAAAAATCTTGCGAGCAGATTATAATCCTCGATATACCGTCTTAGTGTCTCGAGTTATAGACGATCGATACGGCTGGATTAGTCGCCATGCTAACAAGTTAGTCCTTATGCGTCTTCAAATCCCGTCATCTTATACCAAACCAACCACCAATCATAGCCTTCTAGAACGAACCAAGTTCCTAAGAAGGGTAAGCCGATCGTGATGCAGTTCCCGCCACCGGGCTAAAGTACGATACATAAGAGAATACCCTTGCCTTCTCTGCATGGGATTTCAAGGTTGCTATGCCTATAGTCCCGGTGGTCGCCTCGTCCGGCTAATGTGATTAAGGACAAGAACGATAACACGCAGGAGGTTGAGAAAGCTAGTTGCCGTCGAAGCCTACGAAACTACCTAGAACTAGACCCGGCATAATGACAAAAGCAATAACCACCTTCCTGAATATCTGTGTCTTAACCTGGATTTGAAGTCAACTTTCCGGATGATCTTTTCCCAAATGGTGTTCTTATCCCGAACTTCGCCTCTATACACCTTGTTTCTGTGAAGGAATCGCATACTAATACCTGGAAACATAAGATACCTAAATGCATCTACAAGCACGCAATTCGGCCTTAGTAGTTTGAACGGTTATGTAGCTAACGATGCGCCCCATCGTCCAGGGATCGATCCGTTTACCCACTATCGTGAACTGCCTTTTGAGGTACCGGGATTCCCCACTCGCGATAGCGGATACACTAGTGACACTCCCAACCCATCGGCGGATAACCCAACATTATCTAGTCGTCAGGATCTCGTTTCCCCAGGGGGTAGGATGGATCCGAGGGCGCCAGCTTCCTAGCACTCTGCCTGGCTTAGGACATGGAAGACTTGCTGTGCCGGGCCCACTAGCGACTAGGTCCGCCGTCGAGTCCGACTGGCTTATGACCCTTGAACAGTTTGACATAGTATTGCCAGGACTAAATTCAAGATAATGAGAGAACGAAACGAAAACATTTTCTCTAATCTATCATATGGATATTCCTTCTTATCTTCCTGTTCGAGATGGTGGATAAAACTTCCACTAAGCCAGCACTTCGTGGGAAGCGAAGAGGTCGTGAGATTGACTCCTGGAGGCCTCTGAATGTCGAGCAGCATTGATCTAGACCGTAGCTAGGTAATATTTAGCATCAGCCGCTACGGCAACGTGAGCAATACTGCCAGATCCCACGTCAGCACATTAACTAACAGGACGATAGGATCACAATAACCATTTTATCGCATTTTCCTTACCTCCGAAAACTCTTCAAACACACAAGAAGGTACCCAGGCACTCTCCTGGATAATGCAGCTTATTTTGCATGGTCATAAGTCAGGTGTTTAGAGGCGTATATAAAGCCTCTATAAACCCTATAGTCGACATAGGTTGACGAGTTGAACTCGGATAAATAATATTCCCTTTGAAGGCTTGCGTTACATTAGAGGCATAATTTTACTTGACCCATTTGCGTGGATAGAGGAATGGGCGAAAAGCGCTCCTACATGTATTATATGTAGTTTTACGCTGGCTAAGCCAACCAATTGTCTTCCTCTTACGCTAGAATACGCTAGAATCTCAACCCTAGCATCATAGAGCCAACCTCGGTAACCATCCGGAGTGCGTTTACAAGGTAGGCTAATAACCTGTACAAAGAGGTAGGTAACATAGCACCACACCGTCACAACAAAACGCGAAGTTGCAAATGGGGGCCAGGCCGTATTGAGAAGGACCCGGCATTTCAGCGGCATGCCAACCGATAGAACTAGATAAACGAGCGAATAGAAATCGTAGATCTAATCCACAGGGTGACTTGAACACACCATGTACATCGTGTACTTTCATGACTTCTGAAATCCTACTTTCTGCGAGACAACCCTCCTCACTATTCATCACAGGGATGCATGAAACGTCAATCCTTCGTTCCAAAATTTAACGATGTAAGGTAGCTAGATGCCTATTCAGTATGGGAAGCGACCGACGTCGGTTGAGAAGTGGTATGATACATCTTCTAAAATGATCATCTCTGTATTATGATCAGTTCTGCTCACATATGCGATATCATAATTTCAGGATTTTAAGATATAGATACACATAAGTCTTAACGGTGTTCCCAGGATACCTCATTTCTTAGTAATGAGATAGTCTGAGTAATACAACAGATGTAATAAAACCTAGATGATCGCGCTAATTTATCTTTTTCGGAAATGTCTAGGTGTCAAAGGCATCCTCTACGTACTCAAAATGCCTCTCCAAGTGCTTATTGTTGGCGCCGGCATCAGCGGTCTATGTACTGCTGTCGCACTTCAGCAAGCCGGCCACTCTGTGAAGGTAGGATGAGATTTCTACTTACCAACGACCTTGAGTTAGGTCTATCAGAAGTGCCAACAGAATATAGGTCTTAGAGAAGTCTCGGTTTGCCGCCGAAGCGGGTGCTGCAATTCTCGTAACCCCTAATGGGGCGCGCGTGCTATCTCGCCTGGGTTTCGATTTCGCGAAGGCTCGAGCTGATGATATGACCTGCTTCGAGGTATTGAATGGTGTCACGCTAGAACCCCTTCACCGTGCGGATTTAATCAATGCTCGCGAGGAATTTGGGGCGCCCCTCTATACAGTGCATCGTGTAGACTTGCACAACGAACTTTTGCGTCTAACCTCCACTCTGGATCTTGAATTGGCATCGAAAGTGGTAGCAGCTAATGCCGAAGAAGGCTTTGTTATACTCGAGGATGGAACACGGCATTACGCGGACCTCATCGTCGGTGCTGACGGACTACATTCCGTTTTGAGGGGCGTAGTGCTAGGCGACGAAAAAGCGGCGAGATCTACCCCCTCAGGATTAAGTGCATTCCGGTTTATGATACCAACATCTGACCTACAGGATGATCCACACTTTCGTGAGCTGCAGGAAGTAAAAGGGAGAGGCAACAGTATTTTAGCAGATACGACCTCTCAGATAGAACGACATATGGTGTGGTATACTTGTCGAAAGTAAGCTTCCCGAATGTGTAAGAAAAACTAAAGTCTAAAGAATATGTACCTGACATTCACACAGCGGGCAAGTCCAGAATTTCGCGGGTATCCATGGAAGTACTCACGGCGACGACGCGGGTAAGTAGAAATATACATTATTAAATGCTCTTATACTAAAATCTGTTAAGATTTAAAATCTCTCATGCTAAGAGAGTTTGGCCATTACCACCCTAGTATAGCTCGTATCATCAAGTAAGTGTTCGGTTTCCCATCTGGGTGTAAATTATGAAAGTTGAAAAACCTAATGAGATACTGAATTTAGCGTGGCTCCAAACGTCACCGACTGGCCTCTTTCCTATCATGATCCGCTTCCAATTTGGCATCGAGGGAAATTCGTGCTAATAGGGGACGCAGCTCATCCAGTGTGTAACAGCCCATATCCTTTTTCCTCTATTTGGCGAGGCTCACATCAGGGTACTACAGATGCTCCCGTTTGGCGCACAGGGGGCAAATCAGGCCATAGAAGATGCCGGGGCTTTAGGTGCACTTTTCGGTAATAGAGAGTCAGTAGCAGATGTGTCCAGTCGTCTCGTTACGTTCGAACAAGTCCGTAGACTTCGCGCATCAAGAGTTCAATCACTATCCAGAGTCCGCCTCGGCAAGGAGAAAGAGGTTGAGGATCGAGTTCGTTGTTATGCTGACCCTCTAGGCTCCGGTATGTATTTTCATTGCCTCCCAATTAGGCCACTCTCTATATTTACTTTTCATGCCCTCATTGTGATATTCGATGGTGACTGACCTTACTAGATGTACCGACTTCGTTCTCCGCACGTTTGAAGCATGATTACACGTAAGTTCGACCAAAGTTGCTATATTATAAGACATGAACTCACTCCCCTAGCGTTGACGTATTCGAAGTATGCAAAGAGGCGTTAGCTCTGGAAAGACGAGAGGATAAGAACTGATTAGTAATACTTGTTGTCACCCTCACTATCGCTCTAATACATTATTAGTTTATGAGGTCTACAAGGGCATACAAGGGTTTACAAATAACCTGTTTTTAGAAACAAAATATGTATCTGTGACACTGTTATAGAATATATTGTAGTAGAATAGGTATTGATATTCAGTCATTGTATTCAAATTAAAATAATGGCCGACTGGGTCAAGATGGCACAGCACATATTCTGGTATGGATGAAATGAAAACCCGCTTTTCGCAAAACGAAGGGGGGATTGTCTAATCTGAGGTCCAGACTTCGCAGATTTGATCCGAACATCCATGCTTAATATATTAGAGTTCCGAGCTAGTCAACTAGCCTTGCAAAAGTACCGGATACATCCATGCCCAATCAAATATCAACCCAAAAATACTGTATCTCAATTCCAGTTGGTGGAAATGGATCCTTACACTGACAATTTGACGCTACCTCACGCTTAAAGATAAAGATAAAACGCCCATGAACGTTTACCACTACTTTGGTCTGGCACATTATTCAACATGTAGAGAGAGTGAGTATGAGATTATTCTCCATCTATGTACTACGGGGCCGGTTGCACAGACGATAGCGGGGCATTATGACAGGTAAAGTTAAAGTTTGTAGCTAACGGGCCGGCCCGGAATGATCCACCTATCAAAAGTCATAACGCGCTAAAAAATACCCTAAGAAAGGGCGGACTGACTCCTATTAAACTTGTATTAAAGTTTAAATAATCATGCCAATAACGTATGCTCCATTATCATGAATCTTATGAAGTTGGAAGTTCATGGAGGTCAGCATTTAACCATCCGAATCTTTCTGCGATCCTGATCCAAAGTTACCACATGTATGGCAAGCTAGCGATGCAGGACTTGGTATGCAGGACTTGGTATGCAGGACTTGGTATGCAGGACTTGGTAGCATTATATGCAAATCGCGAGCGCATCAAACATTACAACATCAGAAGTTCCGGCACGGAGTTTCTAGATTCCAAAGCAGGACTACTCAAACATTCTCGGGGGGATTTACCAAGGAACATATCCTAAAAGCCATGTTCATGTGGTTAGCCGCATATGCAGAGTAACCCAGGTCACAGGAAAAATAAACTCAACAATAGAACTTTGCTGACCAACCGTGGAACTCTATGTCCCGAAGTGTGAACTTGACACATTTTATACTCCACAAAAATTGCCTTGCCTTATAAGGAAGGCCCCTTATTGCTTGGGGCATCAACATTTTTGGTAATTTCGACTTATTTATGTGTCACTCTTCGGACCATGCCCGTGTATTTGGTTAGACATTGGTGATGTTATATGTTATATGAGAATTATAAAAGAAAAAGCTAATAAATTAAACCTTAGAAGCTAAATCCTTCTGACTCCGTGTGCTTGGCATACATTGTCTATCTTATATCCAATCTCGATCTACTCTTGGTAGGTATAGAATAACTTGTCAGGAATAAAACCTGTCGTGAATGTGAAACTGTTACTTATACTACCTAGTTAACTTATAACTTTCTATCACTATCGAAGGCTTCAGGTAACAATTTTGCCCCATTGTCACCTTTTCTTTTTAGTGTAGGCCGTACGCCAAGGATCATAGAGATCGTTGATGTGCCCAGCAATGGGTCATCTTAAACCCTAGACACGATTACCCATCATGCAATAATGCTTGCATTAGCCTTGAGAAAATCAGCTCGGAACCTTCCATTCGCGATATTACGGGGATTAAAGTGATTTTCGCCCCTGTAAAAGTCTCACCCGTAAGCCTTATGGTTGTACTCCAGGGGTTAGCATGCTAGATAAGGAAAGTGCAGAGAAAAAATGTAGGCATGGCATGACTATCCTGGTCCGGCGCGTGCACAAGTAGGAAAATGGGGGTCGCTGGTAGTCCTATGCGCTAAATAGTCAAACTCCTAGGGTAGTAGATGTATTACTACTACTCCGATAAGCCTTCTTTAAGACTATACCAAAGAGGAAATAGCCAAAGATGAAAAGCCGTCAACGAATAGCACGGGTATGCATAGCCAACGGACTAAACAAGTAGACGAACCAAACAAAGCCTAGAGATTGTCTTATACCAGGTACCTAATTCATTCATTGATTTTTTGAAGAACCGCGGAACGATATGATCTCGGCAAGGGTGATGACGATAAGTATATTGCCTTGTTAGCCATGTTTTTCTTACGAACCATAAATTGGTTATACGGATGTTGATCATCTAGGAAGTACCGCCTCCCACGTAGGAGCGACCTATCGTGTAAACATGATGTCCAAGTTTGTGAGCCCGCCGTCTTTATAAACACATGCCCCGACCCCTAAAACGTATCCAGCGCCTAAAAATACATCTCAACACGGCACCCGCATGAATCAACTTCATGATCGAGACGCAATAACAATATTGCTTAACATAATATACTTGAAGGCTCACTTACTTATAGAGCGTGTCGTGGCCTTGAAAGATCTTCTCTCATCTCGTGTAGTAGCGCCATCAGATATCAATCTTTGAGAAATGTATGCAGCCGCCACAAATTCGGCCGCGAACACCCTCTTATTGTTCGGGCCTCAGATCCCTCGGCTCGTACCGTCCCGTCTTAGAGACCTTCGGAAGGCAATCCTGGAGGATCCTAGTCTTGGATTCCTCGTTCAGATTGTAAAAGAGCTGCCCTCATTATGGGAGACTACGATTCAACTGAGCTCTCCCAACTTCAGGCGTCTCACAAGAGCTAAGCAACAACTACGACAATTAGGGACATTCTTTGAGAATCAGAACGAAGAGGCACCCCGGTTAAGTGCCCCTTGCAACTTACTTCTCGCCCCATTAACTGTTGTTTCGCAAATTGCCGAATATCTCCGTCTAGGCCATAAAGGCACCGTGCAGGGATTCTGTATTGGATTCTTAGCTGCTACCGTTATAGCAAGCGCGCGGGATAGAGACGACTTAGAGAAGTGGACGGCTACCGCAATTCGCCTCGCGGTTTGTATTGGGGCCGTGGTAGACCTAGACGAACTAGAACGGTCGGATGGGGGTGAAGATTCTTCCCGGTCCAGCTCTACGTGGTCGGTTGGATGGACTTCGAGCATCGAAAAGGGGTATCTTGAAAGGACGCTGGCGTCTTTCCCCGAGGTAAGTTATGATATGGCTATCCCTTTATTTGACTTTCTTCCCTGGCTTATATGGCTTTTTAGGCATATATCTCCTGCGTGACCGATATTGACAGGGTCACGCTCACAATACCAGAGGGCCAATTTACGAGCTTCGCCAGACAACTCGCAGATGGCGGCTTGTCCGCTAAACCAGTTGGCCTTTCCGGCCGATATCACACGACTAGTCTGGATAGGACTGAGATCGCTCAACAATTAAAGTTGCTATTTCAGCATAATGAAAACTTCCAGTTCCCGGCAGCTGAACAGCTGACCGTGCCCCTGAGATCTACTCTGGACACGGAGATTATCACGAAAGGGGCACTTCATGAAATTGCTCTAGACTGCATCCTAGTGGATGTATGTAGGTGGTATGAAACAGTTCAAGCAACACTGGATGCATGGGATAGTCAACCAGTTAAAATAATACCCATTGGCAGCAGCCCAGGGGCCGTGCCTCGATCTCTCAAATTAGCTACCGATACCCCCACTAACGAATACTTGGACCAGTCTCCATTATCAGAAACAAGCTCGCCTTCCAGCGGCATAACCACCGGCAACTTGGCTACTGGTCAGACGACCCCGAGCGGTTCTCTACCTCCGACGGCCGTGGGCACAGCTCAGCCCATCGCCGTCATTGGCATGGCGTGTCGATACGCGCAATCCGATTCTCTTGAAGACTTCTGGTCCTTGATCAACTCTGGTAGAAATGCAACCACGCCTGTACCTGAAAATCGGTTCAAGTCCTCGGACTTGTGGCGCAATCCTAAAGGTCCTTTCTTTGGTAACTTCCTACAGGATGCCGATGCATTTGACCATCGCTTCTTCGGCATGTCTGCTCGCGAAGCCGCATCAATGGACCCCCAACAGAGGCTGCTACTCCAGGTATCATACGAAGCCATGGAATCGGCCGGGTACGCGGATGGATCAGAGTCACCACATCGCCCTGTGGGATGTTATATCGGCGCGGGTTACGTCGAATACGAGGACAATATAGCATCGGAAGACGCAACCGCGTTCTCAGCTACTGGAGCTATAAGAGCATTCATCAGCGGTAGAGTCAGCCACCATTTTGGTTGGACTGGCCCCTCTGTTGTATTCGATACAGCATGCTCTTCGTCCGCCGTTGCTATTCATCATGCTTGTAAGGTAAGTATATCCACGCACTGTACACGCAGAGTTACAGGTTACTAACCACACTTTTTGAATCAATAGGCTCTTCAAACAAACGACTGCTCCGTCGCCATTGCTGGAGGTGTCAATGTAATCACAAGCTCTACTTTCTATCAGAACTTGGCAGCTGCCTCTTTCTTAAACACGACAGGTGCCTCGCGGGCTTTTGATGCCCAGGCAAATGGATACTGTCGTGGTGAGGGTGCCGGTGTGTTAGTCCTCAAGCCTTTAGCACAGGCTATAGCTGATAACGACCACATCCTTGGCACTATCACGGGGACAGCAGTCAACCAAAACTCGAGCTGCAGTCCTATCACTGTACCAGACTCACAGTCGCAAAGCGATCTATACCTCCAAGCCCTCGCCGGAGGTGGGGTGTTGCCTTCAGAGGTCTCCTATGTAGAGGCTCATGGAACGGGTAAGCTGAAATATCCCGGCCCCTGACTTATACAATATCCATCGCATATTCGTTCGAAACTACGCTGACGAAGGGTAAATTCTAGGAACCCCTGTGGGCGATCCTATTGAATGTGCTAGTATACGAAGCGCATTCGGTAGCCCAAATCGTACACAAGAGCTTGTGATAGGGTCGGTAAAGGATGTGATCGGTCATACCGAAGCCGCATCAGGAGTGGCGGGAGTCATCAAGACGCTACTTATGATGCAGTACGGCATAATTCCTAAGCAGCCCAACTTTACTCGTCTCAACCCAAAGATTCCCGCCTTGGAGCCGGACAAGATGGCAATTGCCACACAGGCTCGCCCGTGGTACGCAAGCACATGGAGGGCGGCCCTGATTAACAACTACGGGGCGGCCGGAAGCAATGCCGCTATCGTTGTTCGTGAGTATCGCCACAGCTCGGCGACTGAAGATGTTATCAATCAATTGCCAGAAAATGAGAAGATTGAATATCCAATATTCATTTCGGCGAAGACAACAGAAAGTGTTCGTGCATACAGCGCCGCATTAAAAACATTCCTGGACCGAAACCCCTCGATTAAACTAAGCGATGTGGCGTATAATCTGGCTCGCAAGCAGAATCGAACGCTCGAATATGCTTCAACGTCGACTGCCGCGAGCCTTCCCGCCCTCCGGCAAGACCTAGAAGCCATTGCCTCTGGCTCACGTTCTGTGTCGCAGAGGAGTATAGACAAGAAAAAGAAGACAGCTGCGGCACAGTGGCCAGCACCAGTAGTGCTTTGTTTCGGCGGCCAGACAGGCCGTAGCATCTACCTTTCACGGGATCTCGTCCAGAATACACCGTTTTTGCGAGTTCATCTCGAAAGCTGTAACGAGGTTTGCCAGAGTCTAGGCTTGTCGTCGTTCTTCCCGCGCATATTCGATCCGACCCCTGTAGATGATCTGGTCTTCCTGCATGCCATGTTATTCTCAGTGCAATATGCGAGTGCTCAGGCCTGGCTGGACGCTGGGCTGCAAATAAGTACTTTGGTAGGTCACAGCTTTGGCCAACTAACAGCGCTTGTCGTGGCCGGTAGCCTAGATCTTACCGATGGCCTCCGCCTGGTTACAGGCCGGGCTCGCTTGATGGAGAAACTTTGGGGCGCGGACCCCGGCGTCATGCTGGCGATTGAGGGCGACACGGAGCGCCTTGGCGGCCTGCTCAAGAAAATTGCTGAAAAGCAATCCGTCGACGTGGCCTGCTACAACGGCCCGCGCAATATCGTACTCGCTGGTGATGCGGCAGCAGTAGATGCGGCCGAGAAGGTCTGTCGGGAAACGCCGGGCCTAAAGACGGTTCGACTGGCTAACAGCCATGCGTATCACTCTCGCCTTGCTGATCCCATTCTGGATGACCTCCAAGCCTTAGCCTCAACCCTTACCTGGAGAAAGCCATCAATTCGCCTAGAGACGTGCTCGCCCAACCAGAGTTGGTCCAGCATTGATGCTGCTAAGATTGCGAGCCACACCCGTGAACCCGTCTATTTCGGCGAGGCTGTCCAAAGGATTGCCAACCAAAATCCGTCATCCGTCTGGCTCGAGGCCGGTTCGGTATCCCCAATTATTGGCATGGTACGTCGCGCACTACCAGCCGCACGAGGCAGTGAAAAAGACGTGTTTCTATCGATTGACTTAGGCAAAGGCAACCCTTGGAGTAGTCTTGCTAGGGCTGCTTCTGGGCTTTGGGGAGCTGGGTCAAACGTAGACTTTTGGGCCTTCCATGGCACACAAACGGATCAGTATAAGTGGTTGGATCTACCCCCGTACCAATTCGCCAAGACAAAGCATTGGATACAATTCCGACCCTATGGACCACAGGCTGCGATTGAGACGCCACCGCCTATTACGAGTCTACCGGAATTAGTACGAAGACTCGGAGATGTGGACGGAGAAGCTATATTCGCTGTGGATGCCTCGCACGAGATATTCGAGCTAAGCGTCAAAGGCCACGCGGTTGTTGGTCAGAGCCTATGTCCGGCAGGTTTATATTTCGAGTTGGCCATCCGGGCCGCGAAAGCACTCCAAGGTGCCGAGGCGAAGAGCAGCTCTAAAGTTCCCCAAATAGAGAATATGCATATCCTTTCGCCCTTAGGACTAAAACCCAATGGATCTCTTCGCATTAGCCTTAAACAGGAAAGTAACAGTACGAAATGGTCATTCCGCTTCTTCTCTTCTCCTGAAGCTGGGGACCGACCTGCACCACCAACTCAACACACCAACCACGCCCAAGGTACTATAGCCCTACTCGACGCAGCCGTAGCGTCCTCCCGCTTCCAATCCCTCGGGCGCTTGCTAGGAAGATCGCGTTATGACCAAATTGCTTCATCTCCCGAAGCGAACCGACTTGCCGGTGATATATTGTATAAAATATTCAGCCGTGTCGTCAACTATGCTCCATACTATAAGGGGGTCCGTAATACGATCGCTTTTAATGGAGAAGTCGTCGGTGACGTAGTTATGCCACACCGTCCCGAAGCAGATCGTCTTGCTTCTGCTCTCTCCGATCCCCTAGCTGTCGATAATTTCTTGCAGGTTGCGGGCATTCATGTAAATTGCCTTCAGGAAGGCGGCGGCGATGACGATGTCTCTGTGTGCAACGCCATTGGAGAAGTACTATGGAGCGAGTCGTTACTACAGTCAGTTAGCCAAGATACACCTTCCAAGAACCGGACGTGGAGAGTATATTCCAACATGGAGGCCAAGGGCAAGAACACGCTCGTGAACGACGTATTTGTCCTAGATCCCACAACAGGTTCCATTGTCCTAGCCTTCTTGGGCGCCGAATTTACTCAGGTATCCCTCACATCACTACGGAGGGTCCTGTCTAAGATAAACGGAAACATAATCACTCCTGCACCATCTAAATCCTCCTCGCTTCCATCGACCACAAATAACGTCTTTGCGGATGCCGTCCTGACTCAGCAGCTACAGCTTCCTCTTAACGACATAACGCGACATGATGATCATTCCACGACGACGACCAAACACGATAATGGTGCTGCTCCCTCTGCCGCTTCTGGGGTCAACCAATCGGTCCGCAAAATGCTGAGCGACATCTTCGGAATGAGCATCGAAGAGGTTCAACCGGACGCCGACCTAGCTGACTTAGGTGTTGACTCGCTAATGATTACAGAGATATCTAGCGAGATTCAGAAACACTTTGGGGTGACTCTGTCTATTGACGACCTACAGGACCTGACTGATGTCCAGTCCTTAATCCGGATTCTAGGAGGGGAGTCATCTACCCCTACTCCTACTCCTGTAGTACAAAGCCAAAATGAAGTAACACATGACCATGAAGAGGATGACGAAGAAAAAGAAGAGTCTAACGATGACGGGGGCATCGCAGCTGTTGCTAATGACTGGCTCTCTGCAAACAGAAACACTTTCGATGAGGACGCGCAGGAGCACGACCTCATAGGTTTCCGCAAAGCCGTGTACCCGTTCCAGGCACAACTAGTCGTCGCGTACACCGTCGAAGCATTCGCCGACCTGGGCTGTGATATACGTACGCTTCGCGCTGGAGAACGTCTATCCGACTTTAAATACCTGCCGAAACACGAGAAGCTCGTAGCCCAAATGCACAGGGTTCTGGAAGACGCGAATTTAATTACGCTTAAAGACGGTAGGGCCATTAGGACGGATCAGTTGGTGACCCGTGCATCGTCTCAGGAGTTGCATAGCGCCATCATTGAAAAATTTCCCGAATATGCAATTGAACACCAACTCCTGCGCAACACCGGCGCCCGGCTTGCGGATTGCCTTACAGGCCGGCTGGACCCTCTGGCCGTTATGTTCGGCGATGCCGAAGCGCGCAAGTTAATGGGAGATGTGTACGCTACCGCACCCCTATTTCGAGCCGCCACATCATTCCTTTCGCGTTTTTTGTCCAGCGTGTGTGAGAAATTCCAGGGCAAGCGCGAGATCCGCATCCTCGAGCTCGGTGGTGGTACCGGCGGAACGACTAAAACTTTGGTTGATTTGTTTGAGAAGAGTGATGTGAAGCAAAGGATTGTATATACTTTCTCGGACGTCTCACGGTCACTAGTAGCTGCTGCCAAGCGGAGATTCGCCCAGTATCCTTTCATGGAATATGCGGTTATAGACATTGAAAAGGAGCCTCCCACTGACCTCCAGGGACGGTTCGACCTAATCATCTCAACTAATTGTATCCATGCGACTTCGAACCTTGTCCGGTCGTGTACCAACATTCGACATCTACTACGCGAAGACGGGTTGCTATGTCTCGTCGAGAACGAGGAAAATCTGTTTTGGTACGACCTTGTCTGGGGGCTGGTCGAAGGCTGGTGGCTGTTCGAAGACGATCGCACCCATGCCCTGATTCCTGCAGCGAGATGGAAAACGAAGCTCCAGGCGTCGGGTTTCCAATGGGTTGACTGGTCGGCGGGTTCTAGCGAGGAAAGTAAAATCTTACGCATCATAGCGGCATCGCCATCTGCCCAGCTTTCGAGTCCCGCGGTTAATGGTTCGGAGCAGGAGCTAGAGATATTTCCCGAGACGCAGGAGACAGTAATATTCAAGCATGCTGGATCCCTACCATTACAAGCCGACATATACTACCCACCAACACTACAGACCGGTAGCGATGCGCGACCTGTTGGTAAGAACCACTAGCTAGCCCTTTTACTCGTACCTTTTCTTTACTGACTACAAAGAAATTTAGCTTTAATGGTACATGGCGGAGGTCACGTAATGCTATCAAGAAAAGACATACGTCCGAAGCAAACCCAGATCTTGCTAGACGCCGGCTTCGTTCCTGTTAGTGTCGACTATCGTCTCTGTCCGGAGACCACCTTGGAAGAGGGCCCCATAACAGATGTTCGTGACGCTTTAGGATGGGTGCGCAACACATTACCATCCCTCGCTAGAAAGCGATCCGACGTTCGAATTAATGGCGATCGCGTAGTCGCAGTCGGCTGGTCAACTGGAGGTACCCTAGCCCTGAGCCTAGGCTGGAGCGCTCCGAGCACATGCCTACAGCCGCCACAGGCCATCTTAGCCTTCTACTGCCCCACCGACTACGAAGATAAATCCTGGTCGCGAGAGAATAAGCCTTACGGAGACGCGGTCATGACAGAAACATACAACTTATTAGACGGGGTAGAAGACTCGCCAATAACGGCATATAATCCCCCTACAGGATCACGAGCGGCAGGCGGATGGATGGCTAAGAACGACGCTCGCTCGCGTATTGTCCTCCACATGAACTGGCACGGACAGACAGTGCCAGTCCTAGTCCACGGCCTAAAGAAGAACGCACAACAGAACGGAACGCCACAGCTCCCAACACCCACGCCCACTCAGGTCCAAGCCATCAGCCCACTAGCACACATTCGAAATGGCAGCTATCGCACGCCTACGTTCTTGGTGCACCCGTACGAAGATGATCTGATCCCTTGGCAGCAAGCTCAGCGCACAGCCGATGAACTGTGCAGCCAGGGCATTGATTCAGAATTAAGACTTATAAACAATGCTGCGCATTTGTTTGATATGTATCGCAGCCATGAAGGGAATGAAGAGGCCGTTCGGGCCATTAATGATGGTTATGCTTTCTTATCTCGTCACGCTCGCGGTACTTAGATGATTTTAGATGTATTGTATGATTTAAACAAGGTGATGGACTTAAAGTTGAGCAATATGTTAAGAGTATAGCATGTAGCGGCTGTTTCATAGGACGAATGTCTCTTACCAATGAAATTTGCCCGACTTTTAGGAGGGTTATAGTGTTCGTACGGCTAAAAAACCACTAGTTGATCGATGCTCAGCTTCAACTTATACGCCCAACCCGTGGGGTAGATGACGTGTGTGGGGTTACTGGAATAGGCATCTGGCTAGGGCACTGCGAGCGTTCATTGGTCGCCCTATAGGTGGTAGCACAGGACTAAGTTCGCACAACTACATCGCCGTAGGCATACTATATCCGACTTAGCCGAAGCCATTCGGTCATCTAGTAATGTAACTACCTAACTAATCCAGTAACTTCGAATAACATCATATATGCTTAAGCAGAGATGGAAAGGATCGTGCCCGACGTGCATCATATTATAATCTACGTAGAATCAACAGTAGCTAGGTATAAACATGTCACCCAAACTGTTCTAATGCTTTAAGCATCTGCCAGATGTAGGTAGCCTAGTAAACAGGCGAAAAGGAATTCAATGGTCTGAATAGACTTAAATCAAGTCGTCCCAAATTGTCGGGATTTTTTTTTTTGCCGGGATTAGAAGATGATTTCAGGAGTCAAATGTTGGAGCAATGCGCAAGATAACACTGATAGGAGATATTAACAAATATGGTAAGTAAAATATAGATAATTAGGCGTTCATCAACCAGCAAAAATATATTACAATATAGTGTAATCCCGCGATAAAAGTGACCGAGGCCAACAGCAGTGTATATAGAGTACAGAAATAAGTAACCGGACTTCATCATAAGCCCTTTATCCAGTAGGAGGACTAGCTCATGTACAATTATCCCCGAAGCCATTGTCTTATATCTCTTTCCTGCATATGGTCACCATTCCACGTCGTCGGGGTTGTTAGGGCCCCATGTCCCGGACTGTTCTTCAGTGTTCTCCGGCTCAAGAGGGCCATTAACCGTCTCATCGGTACTGTATGAAGATTGGTCTGGACAGGAATCATCGACGTTGAGCTCATAGCGGAGTGGAGATGGCAAACCACGGGATAGACCGGGATAATTGCCGCGACCCTCCTGTGCCCGACTTTGGTTCCAATCCCTGTGCTCTTCATATCTGCGTTTTTCCATCTTTTTGTGACGCTTCACAGTTTTAATGAGCATGTGGAAAAACCCTTCCGTCTTGTTAAACAGTTCACTGGCGACGACGTTCAGCCTGTTGATATAGTCGGGACCGTTTAGCTCGCGTCTCTGTTCCTCGAGTTTGGCTATTTCTAAGAACTTTCTTTGAAAGGCCAAGTGTCTGATAACAATCTCGGTGCAATTGTCGATGGAGTTGGCCTGGCATAAGACATCTATCATGTCGAGCAATCCGCCTATATCATTTTTGTTTCGGAGCAGATCATGTTCTAGCCAGAAATTTACTATTGGCGATGTGACTATCCGAAGAGCATTCTTCCCCGATCTGAAGTGTGCTTCATGTTGCTTCCAGGGCCACTTGTCGACTGAATTATCCCATAACTCCCATGTGTTCCTAGTGGATTCGAAAGGTGGCCTCGATTCTTCCCGGGACGATGGAGAGGGACGGCGAGGGGACACCTCTACTGAACTTCGCGACGTTTCTGATCCATGTGCTTCACTACCAAGCTCGCTGGTCTGGCTTGATGGAGTTTTGGATGGGGTATGTGAAAAAGAAGTGCTGCTATTCGGAGACGGTTGCGGCCTCAAGCTCGACTCAATCTTCAGCGCGTTCTCTGGTCTAATACGAAGGTAGAGCTTAACCCGGGCTTCTTGTAATGCTTCCTGTGCCTTCCGCTTTTTAGCTTGTTCAGATGTCACTTCCCCCTGGAAATCCATAGCGGCGTGTGCTTAGATGCCTAGGTATAACTTTTAAAGCTGGGTTTTGATTAAAAAACTAATTATAAAACCCACAGTCTCCCTATCTATCAAAGTTAGAATGGTAAATATCGGTTACGTCGTCAGTCTAGAATAGGTGTCGTCAAGTCGATAGACTACCTAGATAGTCGGAATATAGAGATAATAATAGGTACCTACAAGTATAAATGGCGTTGGTTAGTACCTAATGGTTGGGTAGTGAACGTGACTTTATTGTCGCCCGAGGACGAAAACCAGTTCCGCGCAGGCGATCCTATCCCAAGCTTCAAATATCTAGCTGATACTGGTTACCTAATGCAAATGTATCTACATGGAAAGTGAGTCAAGCATACCTTGATACACAATGAGTCGCTAGGAATTCAAATGGGTGCACTCCTTAGGGGGGATAAGGACAAGGGTGGTGAATGTAAGTTTACCAGAGAGTCATCAAGCGTTGGCGTGCCAGTGTGAGGTGTCCGCTGACACTAACTGTTCCACACAAAACTAGTATCTTGCGCTGCGACTTCTGTAGCAAATCATGCGAAGCAACAGATGTAACAATTGCAAAATCTTGATACGAATTTCCTTACGTTAGGTACTTATCTAATGACAGGCTGTGGAAGGACAATGTACTTCTATGGTCACTGCTCCTTCCAGTTGGCGATTCCTTAAATGTCGTCGGATAGAAAGTGTGCATAGCTTTGGTCGAATACAGTTATAGTGGCTAGCTCTAATATTTATCGTAAACTTGCGATAATGGTCTTTGCGGATGCGATTTAAAGTGCCTACCTCCAAGTAGTTTGTTGTTATTAAATCTAATAAAGCTACATGTATACCCTCAACTAGTCCTTTGCCGTAATTCTATTGAGAATATAATTATTGAGAATATAATGCTTGAGTTTACCAAAGGTCAATAGCTTTGTATCAATGCTAATAAAGCAGAGGGAGTGGAAAAGCTGTTTAGCTTTAGATTGATGTCAACTAACTGATAGATAGGTACGTAAATACCTAAGTGATCAAATGAATTCTATTATTGCATGTAAGACTGATCTCGAACACTCAACCCCTTTTCACTACTATATGTAAATAGACTCTATTCATTAGGTACCTCCCTTAGGAGGTACATAGGTACCTTGGCTATCTATAAGGTACATGTAGCAGACAAGGGTTACCGTCCTTTGCTAGTTTAAGCTTACTAATTCCGTGATGTTACGCGATCGGAGTGATTGTTCGCCCGCTATTTCTACAACGCCCACTTCGAGTGCTGGTTGCATATAAAAGGTAAGTACGGTAATTTCACATTTCATCAATACGTATCCTGAATACACCAATCTTAGGCGGAGCAAGCGTAATATTACAATGGAACCTGGAAGATTAAAGCAGCTAGAACAGGCCGAAGAAGAACTGCGCGTGAGAGACGAATGCCCCTATTATATTGCTCATCCTTGTATAGTATCTTAGTATCCTAGAAACCACGGCTAATGTAGGTCTAGCGACGGCGTGAACGCGGCAAGATTGCGCAGCGCGCATTTCGGAAGCGCCAGAGCAACACGTCACGAGATAAGCGCAACGAGACCCAGAGGTTAAAAGAGGCCATCTCAAAAATTGTCCGGGTAGCCCGACATGACGATCGCCCCGAGCTGGTCAAAGCGATCCAGGAAGCTGCTGGAGTGACCGGGTTAGACGAACATGTTGTTGCCGAACTTTGCGATGAGGGAGGCAATCAAACAAGGCGCATTACGAAGCCGTCACAACCATCACCTAGCTCGAGGGATCTTTTATCCACGAACACAGTGTCATCGACTGGGTTGGGTACCAATACGCAAGGAATACCTCCCAGTATTGGTGCTCGGTCGGGTTGGATCTTGAAGTCTCGGGACTCGACTCCGCTTGGAAGAGGAACCGACATAGGATGGATGAGTACAAGATTGGACTATGGGTTGTGGTTTGACACATCTCGATTCATACGGGTAGACAAACCCCCTTCGGACATCATTCCATATCTCGGAAAGGGGATGAGCACCTTCGCCGGTCGGCTATTCTGGGCTTGCGGCGAGCTTCTACTAGAACAGTGCCGGAGGGCCGAGTTATACGCACATACAAATCCGCGGGTAGCAAGGGAAGCCAGGGAAGTAATCTGGAATATGGTCCAGCACTCACCGCCTTTACACAACGTACGATATATCATAGCATTGGCGGAAGCACGTCGCGAATTCCGCGACCGTGGTTATATTGAAGGGGACAATCCTGCTGGTGAAATTGATTCGGCATTCATTCTGCAGGAACAAGTCATGAACGACTATAAATCAAAGGGCCAGGACACCACTGGGTGGTTATCTCCGATGGCTGTCGAGCTAGAGCTTCGCAGATGCCTAAGCCTCGAATCATCTAGGCAACTCGATCGGGTGCTACAAATCTGGGATTCGAACCAAGTAGAGGGCCCTCTACTAGATATGATACAATCGCTTATATGGAAACTGGCGGCAAGTTATATTTGCTTTGGGGATGGACCTCGCTGGCGTGTCGACCGTGTCTTGGCCTTGTTCAGTGGAAGTGTCCAGAATGCACATGTATGAAAAGAATCTAACCTAAGAATTTCATTCTTGAGTACCAACAACTCGGGAATATTACGGAAGTTGTCCGAGGCAAACCCGACAACTTCTGACAATCCAGCATGGGAATCTAGAGTGCGAAGATGAACCGCGGAAGAATACAACCCGCATCCTGGACGCTGAAATTCGAAGGCCCTGGGATAAGAAGTATATTCGCACGAATCTTTGTGGTCTACGCACTTATCTGCTGCTTCTTCGGATGGAGTCCGGAATAATAAATCGGCATTCTCGACTATAGGCGAGAAATTCAGGGCTTTACAGCCGCTTTACTGTGCTCCCGTTCCCAACCTTCCTGTATTTCGTGCAAACATTCAAGCACTCTTGGACCAACCTCAGAGTCAATGACATCCTTTTGGTATCTGGTCAATTTCTTCAGCACATAGTCGGAGACAGATGTGTGGTCTCTAGCATCGGGTCGGCCGATACCAATCGATATGCGTGACCAGTATGCGCCGGGGAAGTTCGCAGGTTTTATGCTCGCGTTGACACTTTTAACACCATTGTGCCCTCGATGGCTCGCGTTCCACTTTCGAATTTTAACGTGGCCCAGATCTTCCTCTAAATCATCGTGAACCAATACGAGACTTAGTTCGGATGGTTTTAGCTGGTGATATTGTAGCGTCTCCTTCCAAGTTTTGGCAAGCCAAGGACCTGAAATATTCATCTGGGTTGGGCTCTGCAATATGGTATATGTATAGCCTGTTGAGGCCAAACAGGATTTTCCGCCATATCGTTCGGATGTAAATGGTGGTTGGGTTGGACTAAGTAGCCTTTGCAGTGAAGCAAGTGCAAAATGGCCGGCAGAGTGGAGGCATTCGTAATATGGTGCTTGATTGCCTAGGCTGACAATCAAGAAACGAGGATTGAACATATTCTGGACCAATCAGGCCCTCCTTTTTGAGCAAAGGAAATGTTGAAGGAATTGATGTAGAATGTAGAACTTCTCATAACCAGGCGAAAATAAGTAAAGTGGACACAAGTCTAGATTCAGCTCAGCCACTGATAGGTAGCGGGGTACCAAAGTACAGTGTGTACCTAGTGGACCTGCCTAAGTCCTAAAATCAGGTACCTGACGCAACCAGTAGACCGGGTGCCGACTAGCCGTATCTTGTGGCGCAGTTAATTCGCTGACGTAGGATGGATTCAGGTTCCCATCATGAATGATTGAATTCTATGGATGTACAAATGCTCAGCCACGACAGCCTGCGATCAATTGTCACCTAAACCAACCAAACCATCCTACAAACACGATTCGGATTCGTCAATCCTTCTTCAATTCTACCTCACCTTTAATATCAAATCGACAACTCCCAAACAATTCTAATTCTCCTACCATCTAGACCACAATTGCATATCTAAATTCTGACTATTCGTTATCGCCAATACAAATAGTACAGAGCAGAACGAAGCAAAGTCGCAAGCATGTCGTGGGCAGGTATGAACCTCCGATTATATCAGGCATTAAGTTATAGCGGAATCCATTGTTTCTAACTTATCCCTCTCATAGGATTCAAGAAAAATGTCAATCGTGCAACGACCCAGGTGATGATGAAGACGGGCCATGTCGAAAAGACAAACGATCGTGACTACGAAGTCGAGGAGCGACGATTTCGGACAATGGAAGCTGCTTCGCTACGTCTTCAGAAGGAAGCGAGAGGATATTTGGATTCGATACGAGGTGAGCGGAGAGTCTTTGAAACCGAGAGTGCGAAGTGGGCGGTATACTAAGAATATTTCGTAGCGATGACTGCCTCTCAAATGCGCATAGCCGAGACGATAGATGCCTTCTATGGTGATGCCGGAGCTAAGGACGGTGTTAGCAGAAGCTACAAACAAGCCGTGGAAGATTTAGATACAGAAACCATAAAAGCGCTGGACGGTCCGTACAGGTACAGGTCTGACGAGATGCGACACTGAGAGCACTGAGTTAACATCTGCTAGAACAACAGTACTAGAGCCTATCACTAGGTTCTGTGCATATTTCCCTGACGTCAATGAATGTAGGGTCTTCATTTCGTCCTTGCTCGTATTCACCGCTAACACCGCATCTAGGTATCAAGAAGCGTGGCCACAAACTGCTCGATTACGATGCGCTACGAGCGAAAGTCAAGAAATTAGCCGAGAAGCCCGATAAGGATGTAACAAAACTTCCACGCACAGAGAAGGAGATGGAGATCGCCAAGGCTGCCTACGAACAACTCAACGAACAGCTATCCACTGAGCTACCTCAGCTTATCGACCTTCGAGTACCCTACCTCGACCCCAGCTTCGAAGCCCTCGTCAAGATCCAACTCCGATTCTGTGCTGAGGCTTATAGTAGAATGGCTCAAGTTCAACAGTACTTGGATGCGGACACTAGGGAGCAGTACGCCCAAGGTCAACTGGACTCGAGAGTGGAGCAAGTATTGCAAGAGATTCGGGAACTCAGCATCAGCGGCACAGTATAAGAACCTCATTACTGTTAGGTACAAATACGCGGAGTTAGACGAAAAAAAAGAGGCTTTCATTAGGCGCGGTGCTTCTGGTCTGGGCTGGCATTTTCATAGGTAGGGCACTCTTAGGACAAGCCGCGGCACGATTCACGGGTTCATGTTAGATACCGAGCAGGACGACGGGCTTGCGAATAGCAGCCGAGTATTTTCTGAAAGTAGATTTGGTTTCTGCGTCTTCGAGGAGATGATACGCTCTGTGTTCCTTACTCAATATTACATTAGGATACCACATGTCGACCTTGTATTTCTATGGTTCCCTTCAATCGCAAGTCTTTTAGTTAGTATGGGAAATATACGTCAGTGTAAATGTTTAATCCGAGGGTGTCCCTCATCTTTAGATTATTCTCATCCTAAAGGTTGTGTAATTGTTCGTATCTTTATGAGGAAATGATATTGCATTGGGGAGTAAAGCCTTTATGTCTTTAAGCGTAAGCGTTTCGTTGAGGCTTATATGAAAGGGCAGGTTCAATGTAATGCAATGCCAGACAGATGTTAGGGGGCGGACTTCAACTATAACATGGTAACTCGTGTTGTAATACCAAAACGGCGGGCAATAGGTACCTACCTATACAGTTAACATAATGAACTGGCATGGGATAACAATAAATCCTGCATATGTTCTGGTTATTATAAATATTTTCTACATATTTTGGATATTCTCAATATACAGATTTTAGGCACAAGTGTACCTTGTCAATTTGGCAGCCTCTAGTTAATATCATAAATCAGGCCTAAGACAGCGAATATTTTCTACAGGGGAGACAATATAACCTACCACCATATCCAGTAATTAAAATAAATATTGGATAATGTTGGAAATTATGATTATGATCAGATGTATAACGAGATAGAAATAATAACAAATACCTATACAAAAACTACGCACCAGGGAAGCTTATTGATGACACGAATTTTAAAATATATATAATCCTTTTCTGTATATACAATACGGGGAAACACAATGCCGATGAAGTCTTATATACTTAAAGTTAAACCATCGAGCAACACTTGAGTCCAAAACATCATTTTACCTAAGGAATCAGAATTTCTTTCCCCTTTTCTTATCGATCTACTCGACCCACACAACAACGCTCAGCCCATCTTCTTGCTGGGGAGTGCCAGGTGTCGCAATCGGTAGGTTGGCTACGAGGTCACCTAGCTTGCCTGTCTCGGGGTCACGTGCGATGATAGCTACGTTGCTGCTCGTCTGTCCGCCGACGGCGACGAGATTACCGGCCTTGTTGATCGAGAATGTACGAGGGAACCAGGCGTGCGCGGGGGTGGCCTCGACGAACTTGATGTCGCCAGAGCTAGGGTCAATGCTGTATGTGGCTAGGGAGTCGTTTTGAGGACCGAACGTCTCGTCGGCTCGGTTGGCTGCGTAGAGGAAGTTACCCGAGACTTGGACTTCGGCAGCCTTGGAGCCGTTAGGGGCTACACTACCTTCGGCGTACGTGGCCAGCGTTTGGGTCTTATTTAGAGATAGACACCCCCCGTCAGGGTAGGACACAGTCCAGGCAGATACCGAGTTACCTAGCTCATTCACCGTGTATAGCCTCTGACCGTCCGTGGAACCGGCGGTAGGCGCCCACCAGGCACCGTGGCGTGGCCCGTCGCCTGCGCCAGCGACGCCCGGCACGCACGCTGTAAGGTCACCCGTCTCAGCGTCAATGCTAAAGATGCGGATTAAGTCTGCGCCTAAGTCTGGCACGATAAGGTATTTTCCGGTTGGGTCAAGCTGGGCAGCGTGTGGGTGAGGCGCATTCTGTCGCGAGTTGGGTCCAGGCTCGGACATGTTGAACTTGGACTGCGCCAGGACGGTTGAAGCTTCAGACAGGGGGAGCTTGTACCTCGTCAATGTTGATGGGTCACTAAGGCAATTGTTAATCCCTAACCGCGACGAGGGGACACGGATAGTCTCTTACTATTCGACTGTAGCGATGAAGCTGTTGCCATCCTTACCACCATATGGCGTGCCGTGAACGCTGGCGCCTGAAGTTACGGTTTGTCCAGTTTGCTTCAAGCTACCGTCTGACTCTACAGAGTAAGAGGCAAGTATACCACTTCCATTCCAGTCCTCGTCGACGCAATATACTACTCCCGAGTCCACGTGCAGCCAAGCAGGCAATGTTCCACATCCTGACACGGATGACTTATTGACTAAGGTAGCATTGCTGCCACTTCCAGTGAGAGAGAGCGAGAAGATCTTGCCAGTATAGTGCGATGCGAGTAGATTAGCTCCCAGCACTTCTGGTACTAAGCCCAGTGTTCCTAGAGCTAACGTCTTGAAGAATGCCATGGTGAACTATGTCTTACAATGTAGCGAGAGGAGGGCACCAAGCTAGAGAAATTTCGACGAAAGTGAAAGAAACGGACTAGGGATTAGAATTTTCTTTTTGAAGACGAAGCGAATGCGTTCGCCTTTGAGGTGACGGAGTCGTATCGCGAGGCGAGAACGCTAGGACCTAACGGGTACAGCCTCAAAGCAGAGTCGTGTTTTGCCAGTCTAGGGCAAGTTGTCGCGAACAGATTGCTGCTAGGCAAACCAGGCCGACGAGTTCGTTCCGCGAGCGCAAATGGCAACGACTCGGAACATCATCCCGATTGTGCAACGTTCCGGACGGGAGGAATTACTCTCGGTAGGGGGGTTGAGGCTAATTGATCCGGTACGTCGTCTGAATAGTCAACCCTAGCTTAATTAAAGACCCTGATAAAGCCATCTCGTTGGCTAGATAGCATCGCGTACTTCGTTCGATGTGACGATGCCCCAGAGAACACCCCACACTCCCCGCGACGATCCCGGAGGCACGGTCCTGCGTCCTGATGGACAGACAGCACATGGTAATTACGGCGTCTAATTACAGCCTTTCCGTTCTCGATTACGGGCGCGCAATACGCGGCTGGCGCTTAGGAAGTGTATCCTCTTGGCGGGAGATTATGCACCCCAACTTGGAGGTGGTAGACGCGTGACCTGGTAAAATTTCCAGAGAACCCTTGATATGCCGCACATTGGGCTATGCATGGTCCCATCGCGAGATGGGTCTTGACGACATTGCGTCTATCTCCAGGCTAGAGAGTCGGTAATTGACGCCGTCTAGGCCGTCCGCCTACCATCGGGGGACTTGCCAATATGGCGCATGATGCTCCGTAGGATCATTTGTTGGGGGTCAGGGTTTAAAAACTTCAATCTAAGCGTATCGTAGATGTAAAAGCCTCTTAACCCGACTTGCCGAGCTCAGACGCTCGGCACTCACGAGTAATGACGCAAGTTTCTAGGAGTTATCAAAGGGTCTTTAGTGTTGAAGTATCAAGGGACTAGAAGACGCATATATCAGGTGGTTTTTGTCAATATTAAGCGGTTGTTTGATCTGTACCCCAGAGTGTGGAGGTGCTTTTAATATAGACGCGCGCTTTGGTTGTTGTACTTGATTAGCTGCTATGTCAATGGGCTAGGTTTCATATAGGCTGTATATAATATCGTGCTACTAGAAAACTAGATTGGCAAGCCGAGAAGATCGCCACGATCCCACTGGCGTGGATACAGTACGCTTCGTTCGGGTCAAGATTCCTACGTCTCGGCTTCTCTATCAGAAAGTCTGACACTTAGTCGGTCAATCCCCGGGGGCATCCACCTGGAGAGCCTCCCAACTCCCGAGGATGACGGCCAAGGATGTTCGATATTAAGTATCGGACTATTTAGCCCTATATCGTCGTCAACAATACGTCCGCTATAAGTTAAGTATGGATAGCAGTCTGTGATAAAGTCACAGAGTCGTTCGACACGTCGTTCGAGCATCGCTGGGCTTCTATAGACGGAACTAGCCGAGTCGAGGGTATATCAATCTCTGAAAGATCAGAGATTTAGGACGCCATAGGACTCCTTGGTCGCATCGGTGGCATCTCAACAACAAACATCACCTTCATAGAGCTACTAACAGTATGCATTCGACAACGGCCTTCTGCCTCGGGCTCGTGGCCAGCCTCGCTCAGGGAGCTGTCCTCACCAGGCGTGCTGCTCTAGAGGACTGCCTCTCGAGTAGTGAGACAGTCGTAGATACGATCGGTTCTGACGACTACAACCGCGATATCACGCCTTTCAACAAGCGGTTAGAATTTACACCCGCAGCCATTGCCGTACCAACCACAGTAGAGCAGATCCAATCCGCCATAGCGTGCGGCTCAAAACTGGGGTATAAGGTTACCGCGAAATGCGGAGGGCATAGTTATGCATCTCTAGGTCTTGGCGGAGAGGACGGTCACCTTATCATCGAGCTAGATCGCATGAACTCTGTGAAGCTTGACACGGAGACCAACATCGCGACTGTGGACTCGGGTACGAGATTGGGTCACCTAGCAGCAGAGCTATACGCCCAAGGAAACCGCGCTATATCCCACGGAACATGTCCTGGGTAAGTGTTCAATCATAGCCATAAATGATAGCCGTAACTAACGACTTAGTGTTGGCATCTCTGGTCATGTCCTCCATGGTGGATTTGGCATGAGCTCTCACTCGCGCGGTCTCGCATTGGACTGGGTGGTTGGAATGAATGTTGCATTAGCAAACGGATCGCTTGTCCACACTTCGGCAACAGAGAACAAGGACGTATATTGGGGTCTGCTAGGCGCAGGCTCAAATTTCGGAGTTGTCACAAGCTACGAGCTTAAGACGTTTGAGCCTCCGGCAAATGTCACATGGTTCGTGGTTAATATGCCGTTGAAAACGAACACATCCGTTGCTGCTCTGGAGGCGATAGAAGACTACACCCTGAATACTATGCCAGCCGAGCTAAATATGCGCCTTTTCGCCACGCGCCAGTTCACCCAGCTGGAGGGTATCTATCAAGGAAACAAGACAGACCTCGAGGCTGCGTTGGCGCCATTACTAAACAAGACCGGGACGTCCATAGCGCAAGCCCAGACGACCACTTGGATCAAGGGCCTCGAACACTTCGCTACTATGAAACTTGACCAGACGTACCCTTACACGCAAGTGGTAAGTAACCTGACCTAATAACGTTGATAAAGAGCTGACCTCGCTGTAGCAAGAGAACTTCTACGGCAAGAGTTTAGAGCTGAAGGGGCTGAGCGGAACTGCGGCGAAGAACTTTGCCGATTATTGGTTGGACGTCGCCAAGAAGGAGACAACTCGGTGGTACATCCAGCTGGACCTCCAAGGAGGCAAGAATTCGGCGGTGTGGAAAGCTGACCCGGATTTGACGTCGTATGCGCACCGTGACAAGCTATATATCCTCCAGTTCTACATGACGACAAGCGGCGCTCCGGACAAGGCCTTCAAATTCGTTAACGATTGGGCGGAGACTACGACGGCTCCCCTAACGGCGGACGACTGGGGAATGTATTTCAACTACCCAGACACAAATCTAAACCGCACAAGGGCACAAGAGATGTATTGGGGGAAGAATCTGGCCAAGTTACAGCAACTCAAGGCAGAACTCGACCCCAAGGAACTATTTTACTACCCAGTGTCGATCAACCCCGCGGAGAAATCCGAGCTTCTGTAGCGTAGATATATTGCGTGGGGGAACATTCGCGTACATAAATGCAAGATACCATTTGGTGAGAAGTTTTGAGACGGATAATTTAGCGAAGCGAGAAATGTTTAGCATAGGGTTGAAAAGAGTCGTTTCCCACTATTTCCGATTGAAGTTGAAGATTGGGATAAATATATGAAGTACCTAATAAACAGGAGCAATTAGAGAAAAAGGGCGAAGTGAATTGTCCATGTATCTTCACTTTCAGCCACTATTTGAACATATTTCGTTTGGATAAAATTTGATCCGGTACCTTGATTGGACAAACAAGGATTGAGCCCCACGGGCATTAGGTAAACGAGACATGGTGTGGCTTGTTTCTTACCTTCAAGTCCAGGTACAATGTTGCTCCAGCCTCGGATAGTTTTCTTACAACTTGTCATCGCTAATAAATTCAGTCGTTTGATTATGTTTCAAAGCTTGACTTCTCATTTGCATTTGTATTATGGACCCTATAGAAACTGAGCATACCTCGGATCGTGCGGAACGAAGGAATATTAAATTTGACTCTTTTCCTAGATTTAAAGAAGCATGGAAACATTCCCTCGTAAAACATGCTTCAACTTTACACAATGAATTTCCAGATTATTACCTCTCTAATCCAGACTGTCTAGCAAGCACTACAACAGTAAAATCTTTTCGTCTCGGTTCGTTAATTCTTATTAACCTTCTTTTGAGAACTTTGGCTAACTGAAGCCTATAGGTACTGGCGCATCTATATTCTTGAAATCACTACTTCCTGCAATAACTACGGCTAAACATGAAGTTATTCTTGTTACTTGTTTCTGGGCGCAAGGACCCACTCTGGACGCCTTGAGAGAAACGCTGGAAAAGCTCGCTGAATATCGCCGCGAGCGCATCCGTAGCATCCGTTCAACTAGCCCGGAAGCAAATGTGTTCTCGCCGCTGAAAATACGAATATGTTTCTCATCTAGGTCCCTTTTTCAAAAATTATTCCATCCATTCTCTAAGGACGGGTATGTGTACCCGCCCTCAACATGGACGACGCGGTTAGGGTTGCCAAGCCCGGAAGTTTTAGAGGCTGGACTCATCGATTTGCGTGTTAAAAGTTTGTTCTTCTTACCTTTCAGCGTGATGCATCCCAAATTCCTTATCATCGACCGGGAGAGAGCCTGGCTTCCTAGCTGCAATGTGAGTTGGGAGGCGTGGCTGGAAGGATGTGTCGAAGTCAGCGGCGACGTTGTGACCATCATGGTCGAGTTTTACCGACATGTCTGGGATAGGCAACTTGAGAATCATCTCGCGGGTGGACGTGGTTTGGACTATGACCGTTCTTGGCTTTCAACCCTACTTGAACTCGGCTTAACGTCAGCACCCCGGAATCACGTTGATACTTTCGAAGACTTTATATCGGGCATCGAGATCCCAGCGATACTTCTACCATCGTCTCATCACCGCAATCCTAAGTTTGACCTAATCCCGTGGCACGACCATCCGCCGCCGCCGCCGACGCCTCTCAATACGGCTGTGCTACAACTCTTAGACATGGCGGAACATATCATCTATATTCAAACCCCAAATCTCACATCTGCGGTCGTAATTAATAAACTTTTGGAGGCTTTAAAGCGGGGAGTCAATGTTACTATCGTAAGTAACGAGAGACTCATGCTTCTAGAGCAAATTGTTACAGCCGGGACCACGACATCTCGTTGTCTTAATTCACTGATTAAGAGATATAAGAAACTCAAAGCGCAGCGTCCTCAATCGACAAGCAACGACAGCTGCGCAAATTCAGACCTAGGCATTGACATTGAAGCACAGCAACCTCCATTAGGACTCTTGAATATCCATTATTATTGTCCTGCCTCTAAAAATAAAACTGACGAAATAGCCGGAGAGCCAGTACAGTCGCATCTTAAACTGACTATAATAGACGCTCAATATGTTATACTTGGGTCTGGAAACGTAAGCGAACCCCAGAATCTGAACTTCCTGGCCTCGGGAAACGTTGGGATTGCACCATTTTGGGTTTTGCGTAATCTACCATAGAGATACACTAACAAGACAATTTATAGATGGATCGCGCAAGTTGGTTCACAAGCCAAGAGCTAGGTATTTTGTTCCACTCCGAGGACTTCGCGACAGCGGTTTCCACTGCTGTTTTCAGTACTCTTAGCGGCAGGCGAGAATCGGTTTTTCTCTCGGACGAGTTGAAAGATTGAAATCCTACCATCCCGAGTTTGTTTTATACACTAGAGCAAACTCGCGATAGCAGCGGCAAACGTGAAGTTCTAGTAAGGGATCTCTACCCGGGTAGCCCGGCTAAGGACGAAGCTTCCTTACATTAGTTCTTAGGAAGTCGTTTTGGTGACCTAACCACAAACTAACCGCCTACGGAAGACAAGAGAGACTAGAACCAGGATTCCCCACGCCCAAGGCGCCTAGAATGGGGTTTAGACGACTATTTCGTCAACTTGCCATCTTGATGGGGTTGCAATTAGAACTCTAGTGTAATTCGATCGCTTTTCCCAGTGGCTTAGTTTGCCTACAACACAAATCATGTGAAAAGTTGGATGCTGTTGGATCGGGAACGTTCGTTTCGGGTACCTCGGTTAGAAATTCCAAACCAACTGCATCAACTCTGCATCTTTTTAAGTTCTCGGTCAGTGCTTCGGTATCAATGCGCATACCGTATGGAAAAAAGATATGAGACACGGAAACACAAAACGGAAACATAAAACATATAGAACACATACGTATGGGAATGATGGCGTAGAACTAGATTTTATGGGTTGACCGAGCCTCAGCCGTGGTATATGTAGGTAGCTTTCACCGAAAAACGCCACCGTTTCGCAAGCGGCAGCGGGACACAGGCCATAGGTATTCCAACCAAGAACCTTGGCTCGCTGTTTTATTCGCTAGGTTTCGATAGTAGACTGGTCACAATATTGGCATGCGGTCACAAGTTTCTAGGATCAACGGTCTCGTTTCTATGTAGAAATCAAGGATATACATAATACTGATACTAATCCCCCCACGTATCGGCTGTTGGCAAAGCTGATGTCAGATTCTGTCTCCCGTCGGCCGCTTGCATCGCCGTCGGTGAATCGCAACGAGCCTTATCGGGTACCTGGTTCGCCCGGGGTTAGCTCCCGCTCCGCTCAAGTCACTGATTTCTCGCATGCATATCGTGTCAATACCTATCCTATCCTTAACCGATCGCTGATCACTACCTAGTAACGGGTCCAGTCACATCCCCTAGTTAGATCCCTGTTACGCCCTGCGTCACCACAGCCTTCCTAGGTCGAGCCTAGAACCAAGGCGCCGGATTCGGCTTGGCGCATGCTATCTTTCTCACCGTACCTGTTAAAAGGCCGCGTAGGTAATACTGTTAGAATCCTTCCTCGTCATTCCGGCCTTTTGGCGTTTTCTTGCATTGCCATTTTTGTGACTGGCTGGTTAGATCTTAATCATATAGCCTGGCTTGCTATCGCAAGAAGATTGCTTTTTAACAAGCCGCCGCCTATGGACTTCGTGCAAGAGTTCTTTTGTCTTCTTCTCAAAGGAATTTTCGGCCACCCTAGTGCTATCTCTATCATCTGGTTCTTTGCTCGCTGAAGTATTCGTACTTTCTCTAGATAGAGGAGTAACTCCTCACCATGGCATCTTCGGGTGTCGAATATCCCACCGCCTCAGCCCCTGGGTATGCGGTTGGAAATGGTCTCTCCGATACGGAGAAGATCGCCCTCGGTCGGCAAGACAGCCGGATCGAATCCCTTGCGATGGTTGGTGAGACGGACGGCACGCACCGCAAACTTAAGGCTCGCCATATCCAGCTGATCGGCATCGGCGGCACAATTGGTACGGCCCTCTATGTTCAGATCGGCGCCGCCCTACTCGACGGCGGCCCGGGGAGTCTGTTCATTGCCTTCTCGCTCTGGTGCACTGTCATTCTCGCCGTGACCATGTGTATGGCAGAGATGGTGTCATATCTACCCATCTCCTCGCCGTTCATCCGTTTCGCCGGTCGTTATGTCGACGAAGCCTTCGGTTTTGCTGCCGGCTGGAATTTCTTCGTCTTTGAGGCTATGCTTGTGCCATTCGAAGTGACGGCATGCAATGTTGTCATTCACTTCTGGAGTGATATTGTGCCAGCAGGCGCCATCATTGCAATCGTCCTTGTGCTTTATGCGCTGATCAACCTCTTGGCTGTTGAATGGTACGGCGAAACAGAATTCTGGGCCGCTCTCGGTAAGGTGTTGCTTATCGTCGGATTGATCATATTTACGTTCGTTGTTATGGTGGGTGGGAATCCGCTGCACGATCGATTCGGCTTTCGGTATTGGTACGAACCTGGATCGTTCGCTGAATATTACACGACTGGCTCCCTTGGCCGTTTCCAGGGCTTCATGCAATGCTTGATCCGGGCGGCTTTTACTATTGCTGGTCCGGATTACGTCTCTATGGCCGCTGGCGAGGCCGAAAATCCTCGCGTGGTAATGCCCAAAGCCTTTAATGCCGTGTTCTATCGGTTGACCACGTTCTTCATGCTTGGATCTCTATGTGTAGGAATCCTAGTTCCGTACAACGACGCTGAATTGACCCGGGCATTCGCCAATTCCGCGCCTGGGGCGGCAGCTTCACCGTACGTTGTTGCGATGGATCGATTAAATATCCCAATCCTCCCACACATAGTCAACGCCATGGTATTGACTGCTGCCTTCTCTGCTGGCAATAGTTATGTATATTGCGCATCGAGGTCTCTTTACGGACTCGCCCTCGAGGGCAAGGCACCCAAGCTCTTTACCAAGTGTACGAAAACAGGCGTGCCTATCTACTGCGTGACGTTAGTATTGTTGATCGCGTTGCTGGCCTTCCTCCAAGTAAGCGAGAATGCTGCAGTGGTGCTTAACTGGTTTGTTAGCCTGGTAACGGCATCCCAGCTCATCAATTTCAGTGTGATGTGTGTTACTTACATCTGCTTTCATCGTGCCTTGGAGGCGCAGGGCATCAGTCGCGACTCCTTACCTTACAAGGGCTTCTTGCAACCTTATGCAGCCTATTATGCTTTGTTCGCAACCTTCGTCATGACCTTTATAGGAGGCTACACGGTTTTCCTACCAGGCAAATGGGATGTTCCGAATTTTCTATTCGCGTAAGTGATGTGTTCTAGATACCCGATAGATCATGGCTCACAGTTAAAATTAGCTACATTATGGTTGCAGTATGTCCGGTACTCTTTATTGGCTGGAAGCTAGTTCATAAGACCCGGCATCGTAGGCCATATGAAGTGGACTTGCTCAGAGACGTAGCTGCGGTCGAAGACTACACTAACAAGTTCGTCCCGGCACCGCCCAGGTAAGTTCCCCTTCCCATATCATGTTAGATATCTTGCTTAACAGTCATAGGAACTCTTTCGCCAAGTGGTTCAACTGGCTATTTAGTTAAGGAGATATGTTCCATCTGGGTAAGAGGGCATCTGATAAAAGGTATGGAAATGATGTCGTCCTCCATTTTTGGTATGTACTCCAAATAGACCACGTGATACTGCCAATCATAAACTATCACTGCTGCATCGTGGAGAGGCTTGGGTAAACAAGGAATCCTGATTTCTTTTTGGCTATCCGGTGCCTAAATGCTACCTAACCTAATAACCTCCCAAACGCCGAGGTATGCTTTATAATACATGGATATCATACTTCATTACATAATAAATGCAGGTCGCGATGGGTGTTTTTAAGTTGTTGTGAAAATGGATTTGTGAAGTGTCATCGCCGTGTCCTGGGCATGGGCGATAATTCGATCGGTCTGCTCCTGTAAGGGTCTGAATATCTCCGTTTTGAACCTGCTACAGAGATATTAGATTCCCTGTCCCATGACTCCGGTGTCTCCGGTCGTATTTTCCAATTTCGCTCGTGATTTTGGACCGCTCGCTTTTCTCTGTCTTGCCTTCGCCCATACAAGAATGCTACCACCGCCAATGCCACAATCGCTGCAGACCCAAACGTAGAGCCGACAATTATACCAACTAAGTTAGGTGATAGGGAGTCAGTTGTCGCATGGGTGCCTTGATTAGCTTGTACGGCAGTTGCTACTGGCTCTGGGTAGCCATTGGCGCCCATGATTGTGACCATCATTGGCGGGCGTGTTGATAATGCGCCGGTGGTGTCAACAGCTGTAAGAGGGAGGACTAAACTTGAAGTCGTCGGTACTGTCCGATATAACAGTTCTATTTCGCCGGAGCTAGCACAGAGGGGCATGAGAACCGGATCCCCTATTCCGTATGTTGAAAAGATTTGTCGTGTTTGGCATCGCATTGGACCGCTTTTGAACCGTTAGTTGGGCTAAGATCCACCAAGTATAATGAGACACAGAGTCTTCTTACCAGTTAGACGTTGCGCCTTTCGAATATGCCATCGCATTGTCTTCGCAGCCCGTAGCAATAGCACAAGAGGATGCCGTCGAAGCGCAGCATGCTGCAAATTTGGCCGATGTGGTGAATACGTCGCCATCAGGACAATATATCGGTTTGGCTATTGGCTTGTGTTAGTTATACAGGCTCGGGCTGCGTTCTTCAAAGAGGCTATAAAGAATTGACCTACTTGTAGCTGACGCAACGACGAACCCTACAAAGGGGTCTTTCGTAATAGCCGAAGCTCGAGCTGTAATAGGCGAAGGGCGGTCTGTTGTGGTAGTAGAGGTCCCCGATTGTCCCATAACACCCCACCGTCCAAACGACATTACAAGCAAGGCTACCCGCCACTTCAACATGCTCATCGGGATTGAAATGTAGACTTGGATTTAGATATTAAGGAAATACAGAGAATTGAATTCTCGCGATTCATAATCGATTAGCTAAAGATGTAATGAGTCCCGGAGTCGCGAAGTCGAGGCGTAAACTATAGAAAAGATCGGCAGCGCGAATAAATAAGGCATCTCATTCTCCTTCCCATAATAGACCGCTTCCTGTGCCGCCTCTGGATTTTTGTTTCACGATACCTAAATTAATTAGTTTTTAGAGACTTATTCCTTTGGTTAATATTTGTTGTATCAAGCCTCACGTAATAGGAAGGACTCAAGAATCCTGCAGCCCTAAATCGATCCTATATTTAGAGCGTGAAACCCCCTGTCCAAGTAGTAAGCCGAAGCGAAGTAGGGAATAAAAGCTGCTGTCGTCCCACGTGGAACGTTTCCTTAATGACGGGATAAAGAAACAACTCTGAAAGCTCAGCGCAATCATTACTTAATGTACTAATGTTTCACCTACCTTCGTAACATATCATTCGTTACCTCGTGGCGCAGCAAATAAGTCCCCGTGAAATACCTAGATCAAGATCTTTAAATAAAATCTGGCTGGTGCTTTATTTCATTGTATTTCCTATTTCCTCATGCAATTGAACCACCTGTATGATAGCTCGACTAACCTCGTCGGCTTCCTCCTATAGTCTGACACCATTCTACCCTTTCTGTCTCTGGTATCGAATGTTTCCTATTCTGTACCGTAAATCGTATGAACATTCATTCCTCTATTTTACGCATTGGCTCATTGAACAGAAGTCCTCTTTAAATCCAAACGATTTCATTGGCTGGCTGACTATTTCTTTAACCGACCTACCAGCTTTGATTAGAGTGAAACTATGCTAAATAAGTATGAAGCTTAACGATTCTTAGATACTAGCCTAAATGTAGGAGGTGCCTAGCGGTATGGCTGTGCTCCTTTAGGCGTCAATATAAAATAGCTCGTCTTAAGATAACCACCCAGCCATAGGCCAGTGTTATCTTCTCGCACGATGAGATACTTATTGGAGGCATCGTCCCCCAAAGGTATTGCAGGAAAGGGGTGATACACTAAAAATAGTCGAACTTTACATCATAATCACTGTCTTCGTCTAGGTTGAGAGACGGTTTAGAACTAGTCTTTTTAGGAATAAGATCACGACCCGTGATACTATACTCCTTAAAGTGAATTATCACAAGGCTCGAGTACTTATACATTGCATGATCTTGAAGCTCTTATCATGTCCCGATGGATTGATGGTTGATATGTTGCGCTTATAAAGGTAACCATACCATTAAAAGTACTTATTAGTGATCTTGGCGCCGAATGACATAGTGCTTTATGTTACCCATTGCATTTTCGAATTTCCTGTACCTTAACCATTTCCTGGGAAGACGACCTGATGCTATACCGGGAGAGGTCGTCTCTGCCCCAGTAAAAAGGAATGATTGCCAAAACTTATACCTACGACAAGTAAGCACAAAGCCATTCAACTAAATCGATCTTGCTTGGTATTACCAAGCGAATAATTCTAGTATTTTACTTGAGTATGTCTAGGAAGCAGGTTAAAGAAATCGGCTTATCTATTACTTGCTTAGTCGGGCAGCCCCTATGACGAACAAGGCATATTTCATCAGATGGTAGTCGCTTACTACTGGTCATGTGTGGTGAAGTGAGAGACCTGGATGATGGCTGACCTTAGCGGTGGCTAGTATAATCATGCAAGTGTGAAATATCTTGCGATGCCTAAGTGGCTACATCATTATAGTTATGAGATATGAGAACAAAATCATTTAACTAAAGAAGACACACCCACCGTACCTAACAAAATGGAAGATACATATTTCCAATTTAGGCCGTACTTGTAGATATATGAGGCAGCAGCTAGTTACAATTGATCGTGGGGTATGAAAAGAATACTACGCGCCATAGGTTATCGTGACGTTTAAGCAGACTAGAAACTATACAACTTGGGGTTACTTTATCGGGAGTCAAGAAGGTACCTAAGGTAGTTATATTAGGTAAATTATTGACGGATAGTAGACAGCTAAGACCAACGAGATAAAACAGAAAATTATGTGCTGCCAGCCTTCCCATTTGAATATAGTGCGGATACCATACCATCTTATATCATCGGTGCGCTTATAACTTTCAACTGTAACCACGGCGCGTGTCACATTTGGTATAATTATACTCCACCCTTCCACCGCTAACCCTTCACGGATAAATCTGCGTGGTGATTCCTCCAATGAGATGCCACTAACAGCAGTCGAGGACTCCTTAATTAACAACAATACGAAGATATCGTCTGCTTAACCCGAAAGGGTTGCCTTTCAACCCACCTTTATTAATGGTAATGAACTTCCAGCGAACTGAAAATCTGATTAACCTAAGAACTTCTCTTTTTGGAGTTCGATATTATATGCGGTTAAAAACGATCACGATGCTGTATAACACTATATGGGCGCTTGTGCTCTTTTTAAGCACTGTGTCTGGATATGCTAATCCTGGAGCATGCTCGGGTACCTGCGTTAATACGCACGATCCGTCTATCATTCGACGATCCGATGGCACATACTTTCGCTTCTCTACAGGAGGCAAGATAGCGGTTCATACCGCGCCAGATATTACAGGACCATGGACGTATAAGGGTGCAGCACTCCCGTCGGGGTCGTCAATCGATCTCGGAGGGAACCAGGACCTATGGGTAAGTTTGGAATAGTCAAATGTTTTACTTACGTTCAGGTATTCAAAAAAGAAATAAAAAGAAATACTAACTAAGCGTTACTCTTAAAATAGGCTCCTGAGGTTGCTTTAGTTGGCAACACTTATTACTTGTACTACTCAGTTAGTAAATTTGGCGTGCAAGACTCTGCCATTGGTGTTGCCACTTCGTCTAGCATGGACGTGGGCACATGGAAAGATTTAGGATCAACGGGGATCCGCTCGTCATCTGGGAAGCCGTATAACGCAATCGACCCTAACCTCATCAATGTTAACGGAGCTTACTTCATCACTTTTGGTAGCTTCTGGAAAGACATTCACCAAGTAGCCATGAAGAATCCGCCCAAGGCTGTGGCGAGCGGTGCCAGTGCAGCTCAAGTTGCTTTTGACCCTGTTAAGACCGATGAAGAGGGCGCCTTCGTATTTAAACACGGCAACTACTATTATCTCTTCTTCAGCAAAGGCAAATGTTGTGGTTATGATACAAGCCGGCCAGCTACCGGTGAAGAATATAAGATTCTAGTCTGCCGGTCTACCTCTGCAACTGGTGGGTTCGTGGATGCGAGTGGCAAAGCCTGCACTAACAGTGGTGGAACCGTGGTCCTGGAATCCCATGGAAATGTATATGGACCTGGAGGACAAGGAGTTTACGATGACCCTGTGCATGGACCAGTAAGTATTATGTTCTCCAAGACTATTTGGCACGTGTGACTAACGATATCTCGCACTACAGATCCTTTATTACCACTACGTTAATACCAGCATTGGCTTTGCGGATGGTCAGAAGCAGTTTGGATGGAACACCATCAACTTTTCTAGCGGTTGGCCTGTTGTATAAAAGTAAAGAACTAGCCAGTTCATTGAATAAGAAGACTTGAAGCTTATTTTTGAAGGTCTTTGTAGTAGATAGTTTAGGTACCACATGGTTAAAGCATCGAATAGGGCTCATCATGTCGCTAGGTATAACTCCGAACTCAATACAAAATATAACCAAATTCAATAGACCACAAGAGGTTTACAATTATTTGATTTGAATGCGATCCCCATTAATCCTTTGTTGAAAACATAGATGTTGTTGCCTTGTACAAAGCACAGTGTTGGAAGGTGAAAGACTTGTGAATTTCTGGCCACGAAGAGAGAGCCGAGTTCGCTTTTAGCCGGCAAATACAGACCCTTTTATTTGATCTAGTTAGATAATTGAGCATACCTAACGTGATACCTAAGAAAGGGCCGAGAAGCTGTCAAATTAATGGGTTCCGACAAAAATATTTACATACTTCGCATTTATATTATAAACTCGTCTTAAACGGCTAATTATTAGACTCTATGGGTAAATGAATGAACAAACACATGGACTGACTAAACCGAGCCAAGAATTACTATCGCACAGTTTTGGTAAGGAAACTCAAGGTCAAGACATCGTCACCAGCATCAGGTGGTCGAGTTATGAAGTTGACCCAACTTGGAATGCCTTACCTTAGCATGCGGAATCTGCTTTATGGCTCGGAATCTTTCTTATACTTGATAATTCTTACCCTAAGTGGATTCTGCACAGTCTGCTTGCAATACTTGATCCATGACCGCACAATTTGATCCTGGGCGCTTGTCAGGCGACTGAAGTTTTTCTTTTGTGCCTCCCCACATATGGACAATTTCGTTAACCTTTTGGTCGACCAGATCTCGTGCCATGTCTCTTGAGATACCTTTTTTCAAGAGCTCATCGTAGTTTGTATGGCGATGTCGAATATGGGCATGTACAGCTAAGCGAGCTCTCTTAGCTATATCCAACTTCTGCCTTCTCCCAACTCTTCCACTTCCCTTTTCCGTGGCTTGCTTGACGATTTCTCTTATGTCCTTGAGAGGTATTCGATAGAATTGATTTTTAACAGATTTGCCGAATAATTTCTCTAGCCTAGCATCTCTATTACGGACCCGTCGAGCTCGATTAGCTTTTGTCCTGTCGTAATCCTGTAGGACTTTGATGTGGGTAGTGGTTGGCACTCTAATGCCGAGCCTTCCCCCCTTTCCATTGACGATATAAACAGTTTGGCCCTCAAGATGTGCTTGCCTCCAGCAATGCCCGGTGATATAATTATTTCCTCTTGGAACGAATTGGTATCCTTGTGGCACTGGCGTTTTGGGAGTTGTTGGACAATCGAGATTTGGCTCCATGTTGGTATAGAATTGATGACGCGTTGGAACAACAACCTAAAATAAATCAATAAGAACGTAGCGGGAATTCCTTTTCGCTTGAAGCAGGTGATTTTATACTTGTAGGAAACAAGAATTAAGAAGTCGAGAAAATTGACAATAAAATTGTTTGTTTACAATAATGTTACATGACAATAATTAATTCTTAAAGTGGAAAATGGCAAGCATTAAATAAAAAGACTCAGTTAGCAGGAAAATGGCCATCTAGTTACCTAGGTATCAGATCGCCAACTTGGCATTATTCATCCTTAACTTGTATGAGTTTCCCTTTACACCTTTCACTTGTTAGTTGGGCTTCACAATGAGAATGATATGCTTAGGTATGCACGCAACGAAAAGATTATGATGAGTTGGCAACGACAATGATGACTACGTCGATGCTTAAAGATACGGTATATGAGCGGTATATTGTATATCGATATATTCTCTTAACTGTGTAAGTGAGGAGGCAGGTCCTTATATATAAATTCCACCATGTACTGTACCTGAAAGTGGTCCCTTGACCACTCATGTCAACGGTTGATATTGTTTACGTCCGAGGTATATGTTATTTATGTGTGGTTGAGCATGTGTAAGATGGCATTTATAACTCGGCCGTTGTAAATCAATATAAGATGGCTTACATTAGAGGATTAGATTAATGGATTGATACTTTTAGCTTACTAAACCAGATGTTAGTTTAGTGGAATGAATATTTCATTATCACAGTTCTATCTATTTCTTAAATTACTCAACTAAAGGATATAGCCCCAAGTGGAACACGCCTCCAGAATCAGCTGGCCAAAATCTGTAGAGCCGGTGCCGTCCAATGGCCGTGTAGGACATCATAAAGCGTGAATTACCTTATCCATCGCTCTTATCGGACCTTATAGACCTTATAGATCTATTATATATCGAAAAGTAGCGGATGATAAAATACTACAGGGTTGCTATTCAACCGTTTAACTCTTTGGGATGCTTACCCATATACTAACATTAGGGCTTTTAACTAGACATACTACACGCTATGCTAGCCAACTCCGTAATATGATGAGAATCCAACCTATATAGAACTGCTGCTAGTTCTGATGGACTGCTAGATTATCCTGTAGAAAGTCTCGAACTAGGATGTTAAATCTCGTGTCGCGTGTTCTCACGACCTCGGGAGTCAACTTGCTGAGATGTCTCTCCCAGGCCATCTGACTCCATGCGTGGTAGGCGAGCTGATCCTCATAAAGACTGCCACCGTTCCTGTCTATCTCCGCCGCCCACTTACGCGCTTCGTCCGAGCTGAGCTGCTTATGCATGAATTCGATATGGTCCCACGTCCAAGTTGGCCAGAAGAAAGCGTTAGGTGCTAACGTGCAGACCTCGTCCGGATGTTCTAATTCCAACTCTTTAGGAAGGACAACGCTGTGGTAATTCCACTCCTTAGAAAGATCTGCACCGTTATACTCTCGAAGCCATCTCGCTATAAAAGAGCTGTTCTTCCGAGCGACCATGATGGCGTTACACAGACCCCCACGATTTCCGCCCTCGTGGCCTAGTATTATATCGCGTGGCGATTTTAAGAGAGTAGTAAAGGGTCGGAAACCGAAGGCGTCCATATCCATATAGATACCACCCTGCTCTTGGAGGAGCTTCAAACGGAGAATATCGGATACATGTGCGGCGTGCCAGGTCGCGTCGGGCGAGCTCTTCAGGGCCGTCATCTCTTCAGGTGAATGGTAGACGAGGTCGATATCATCTTTTAAAAGACGTATCCATGGATTCGATAGAGGGGACGCATTGGGTTCGGGCGATGGTGGATCTGCAAGATATGTGTAATGAAGCGAGATCTTGTCTGCTTTCATGCCCACAATGGCACTCCGTATGGCAAGGTAGCAGAGAAAGTCGAAGGTACCTGCGCTAGGCTTGCTATAAGGGTTACTAAGCCCGTATATGAAATGAACATGGTTGGGTATGGGATCTATGTGTTTATCGCTATCGGTGGCTAATCGAGGGGTAAGGCCGTGTAAGCAGTCGAGCTCATTTTGCGTAGGTACGAAATCTTGTTGGACTTTCCATTGGTAGGCGAAAGGCAAAGTTTGGCGCACGCGATCCCCGAATTGTCTTACGGATGGCCAGAAGGGAGGGCTAAGAAGCACCAAGACGAAGACGATGGGGAAGAGGTAGTAAACTCGGCGACGGCGTAGAAGTACCATAGGATGATACATGCTAGGAGTTGTGGGAGATATGCGGATATGTAAACAGGCTCGAGGCGGTTATCTCTCCCCCTTGCGAACAAAATTAGGAGCCCTGGAGAAGATTAAGACCCGAGAAGATGGACGGCGTCTTAATTACGGACCTTCTTGGCAACCCCCAGAGCCGGACAATCGGTTACATTGGCTAGCGCTGGCTGCCGTGTCCGGTAATAATATCATTTATCGCGTAGTGGTAGTAGCGTAACTTGATCTGTTCCATAGAAATGCGAGATGCGACAAATAATATCTCTTTTGTAGATGTTATGAAGAGCTCAAGAAAAAAAGGTTGAGAATACAACTAGCACAAGAATGATATGTATATGTACTCAGATATCTGGCGCTTAGATACATGCATGTGCTCCATGGGATTTAAACTATGACCTAATTGTACTCTTATTAGTGCTACTTCCGTCATACCTAATGCGCTTGTAAGTGAGTTTAATGATCTTACATTAGGTACAACGGGTACGTGCATATAAATGATATATCTTTAACATGTTTGAATTCTGGTTGCTACCCTTATAATTTTTTTTTTCTTTACAAGAATCTTCAAGAGGTAGTTACCTTAATTGAAAATGCGGACTCGAGATAGAAGCTGCATAATGCAGAGCTACATGTACATGTATGCGTTGTTGGAACCTGCACAAGTCCCAAAATAGGGGTCTGCTACCTGTATAGGTGTAACGTACTTCGTACAAACGCTAAAATGCACTACGTTCCCTACTAAAAAAAGGGACCTTGACAAATAAAACCCTTGACAACTAAAAAAGATCAACACATGGGAGACAATCGATAATCCCAACCAACAAATCAAAGGTGATGCAAATGGCCTCGGGAATGCCAACAAAAGATAGTGACATTATCTTTTCAACTACATCACACATGAGCTAGCCCGTAAAGTTTGGCTAGCATCTCTCTACCATGTCGCTGTTTAATCGGCTACCACGCCTACGAAGGAGAGGAGGATGGTTACAGTCGCCGTTCCTTTGGGTCCTCGGCGTTGCGTGTATTCTCGAGATCACCATTCACGCCTCCCACTACCGCGTGCCCGTACCGCCTCGCGAGTTCGATACTCCCTTCTATGCCTCCTGCCAGGAGCCTCCGAGCACTCCTCCAGACTCGCCTCGCGAGAATGCCGCCATCGTTATGCTGGCCCGCAACCAGGAGGCCGAGAAAGCTGCGAGATCCGTCCGCAGCATCGAGCAACGCTTTAACCGCTGGTTCCGATACCCTATCGTATTCCTTAACGACGAGCCCTGGAGCGACGAATTCATACAAACCATCAACGCTTCTACGAGTGCTCCGACCTTCTTCGAAATAGTACCCAAGGAACAATGGACTTTTCCGTCGTGGATGGACCAGGACGCCGCCCGCGCGAGTATAAAGGATCAGGGTGACCGTGGTATTTTATACGCGGGAAAAGAGACCTATCATCACATGTGCCGGTTCTTTTCTGGGTAGGCTAGCCGACTATACTTCGCTTGTTTGGTTTTACTGAGGCGTCAACATTGTAGGAACTTCTATCAAGTCGAGGCACTAAAGAAATACAAATGGTACTGGCGATTAGAACCCGACGTCGAGTTCTCATGCTCTATTACCTACGATCCCTTCGTCGAAATGGCTCGCCACAACAAAGTATATGGTTTCACGATATCGCTCTGGGAGGAAAAGCGCACGTGTCCTAGTCTCTTTAGGGAAGTATCGGACTGGAAGGAACTGAAGGGTATCCCTAGCACCAACCTCTGGAAAGCGAGTGTTGATGCGTCTTGGGTTCCCTGGCCTTTCCGTAGCCTACTCGGCTGGTTTTCACACCGCGATAGCTCGGGTGACGGATGGAATCTTTGTCATTACTGGAGCAATTTTGAGATCGCAGACCTTGACTTCTTTCGTGGCTCTAAGTATCAGGACCTTTATAAGCACTTGGAACACACCGGCGGCTTCTATTTCGAAAGGGTTCGTATACGTCGGACGGCAATGCCACAATACCGATTTATTCTCGTTTTTTATGTTTAAATTGCTAATTTGGTTTCTTACAGTGGGGTGATGCCGCAGTCCACTCACTCGCCGTGAACATGTTGGCAGAGCCGCATCAGGTTCATCATTTCGCCGATATTGGATACCGACACGATTGGTATTACCAGTGCCCCGCAAACTCGCCCGGTGGCCAACTACCCGAGTCGCAAGCACTCAACGAGGTCCAAAGTAAATGGGCTGAAGAAATCCCCGGTGGTGTGGGTTGCCGTTGTGACTGCGACGGCCGCCGGAATAGAAACCATGCCAGCTATTGCCTGAACAAGATGAAGGCGCCTAATACTGCTCATCGTCCCTGGTCTACATGGCTACTTAGCTTCATCTTTTGAAATATATACCCTCTGCTAATGTTAGTAGAAATTTATTACGGCATAGAGATACCCTTTGATGAAGAACTGCCGCCTCCAGTTAGTCACTATCAGACTCTCGCGATTATACTTATAGCGAGACAGCATGTCTTTAAGGCTTTCTAAAACGCGAAGTCGTTGCAGGCGTAGTCCGCCCCGCGACGAGCATTACGGGGCGACGAATTAGCCTTTTAGTTAGGATATGTTAACAAACTAGACAAAGATATTGGTTTAATGAAACTATATTTCTTAGAAGTCTTATAGTTCGGCTTAGAGTTGAATCGGCAAGATATCATATACACGAGATAGACAAGCGCGATCTACACCAGGGGTTGAGAGAAGACATTACAATGATACCAAGGTGGATGACTATATCAAGTCTATAATGCAGCGTATAATATAAAGAAATAACAAATCTGACGGCCCTAGAGAGTGATTTAGATTGTGATACTGATTTCTATTTAGTCCTTTTATTCACTGACGGTGTTACTATTGCTATTGCCACTAATGTAACTTGGTTTCTTTCGAGGGCGGTAACCCAATCGTAAATATAGCTTGCTACCTCATGTGGTATGGATATAACGCGATGGTAATAGTTGCACCAGGTCAAACAACCGGCTTGTATAGACCTAGTTGGACGCCTTTAGTACCCAAATACCAACTCTACCAAAGACACCATTTCTTCAACGTATGACCTAATGACCCCGCCGAAGCGTGCTTCCAGTTGCCGTGCCATGACATTATGTGGCCATGCAACCACTTAGTAGTATCTGAGTGTCGATATTGGCCCTAAATCTCTTTCCTCGAGTTGACTAATACGTCGAGCCACATACTAGGTTTGATATAGCGAACGCGTAATGAATAGCCCGTCTCTTTTTGTCTGGCGGAAATTTAAACTTCTCATAGAGTGCCAGCCCTCCTAATTTCCCCATCCGGGCCGGAAACACATCTGCGACGTGAAAATGGCGGAATATCGGCCGAGTCTAGGGTGCTATGCCATAACTCGGGCGCAAAACGCTAGTATTCTCACGAGATGTTCTCGGTGTCGACAGCCATTTCCTCTTTGGCAATTTCGGTAGTCTTTTCCGCAGGTACATCTACATGCAACCCTCAATTAGCGACTGGCTTCTTCTTCTTTTCCGCCCCGTCTTGAAAACAGGCAACATACCTTTCATCTCAACCTCACCCTCGGCCTCCATCTTGCGCTTCATAGCATGGTTCATCTTCCGCTCGACCTTGCGCCTCTTTTTCGAGCTGAGCGCTGCGTTTGGTCCACTCGTTGGTAATAGTCCGGGGCGTGCGCCGCGCTTCGTGTCCGCTTTGGCGACTCGGCCCTTCTTGTCGAGGGCGGCGGTGCTGATGCGCTTCTGGTTCTGCTTCCTCGCTTTGGCAGCGCGGGCTATGAGGCGGTTCTTCGAGGGCCCGTTGGGGTTCTTAACGGACGGCATTTCGTCGAATTGGGTGGTTTGCAATGATTTCTTATAGTAAGATAGGTAAAATAGGCAGGTTTTGGAGTTGTAGACGGATGTAAAGAAAATATTGGAGGGGTTCGGTTTTGAAAATTTTAGTGGGGCCGATGTCGAAGGATGCAAGGATCTCCATGCTCTCCGCATCACCCGTTAAGCCAATATCATGCAATATACGAAGTACGGTTATACCCGCAGATACCTCATAGCCCCCTTTTCTCTGACTCTTATTAACTGTTTTCCTTTATACAATACATACAAAGCGGAAAGGTTAGAGTATAATTGCGCAGATAGAGGAGACAAGATGTAACATAACTGTATAACTGTTGACTACCTAAGATAAAGAAAGTCTACGCATGTAGATTAATACCCTTGACCAAAAAAGCTCTAGTTCATCATTGAGGCCGAAACCCCTCTGATCCTGCGTCAGCTTTCTAATATCTAGCATGTCTTATGTTGAATCTATGCGGATTATCTCATGCTTATTTCCGGTCTAGCGTTACACACCACATATAAATTCAAATATACAAGAGAGATATAAACCGCATCTAAAGACTAACAAGATGAGCCCAGTTCCCATAACTATCACAGGATCGCTATGTGAGCTTTGCTATCAATTCATCGATAACCTCTTCTCCTTCAACTTTACTATACAGGTCGTTTATCCAGCGCGGTGGCAGCCAGTAGGTTCAGAATGGACACCCGAGAAGCCCTGGGGAGATGCCTTCCATCACCATGAGACATTCGAAGACCTCACAAATAGTGCCAAGACGTGTGAGCTTTGTAATGTCCTCTACGTGGACCTTGCGCCTTTGGACACAACTCTACATCAAGGCTGGTTAGGTTTATATCCGTTTTGGTCCTCAGGTCGTGCAGGAGACAACCAACTGAAAGGCCATTTTCGCGTTGGCTTTCGCGATTCTCTGCAGAATATGCCCTGGGGAAGCAGCAAAATTGGAAGTATCCCACTACATAGTTTTAGAACCTGCCGACGGAAGCCTCTGGGAAAGGGTGAGGAGGTACACTGGCTAGATGCTTATAGGAGAATCCCAGCCGTATCAACGACTCTAAGCCCATCACATATCTCTCGAGTGGCGGCTGAGTGGCGGCAAGAGTGCACCGAAGCTCATCCAAACTGTGCTAAATCCAACTCGGATAATGTACTTCCAACAAGGGTAGTCGATATAAGCGATAGTGAAACAGGACGAATCCGTATATACGAATCAAAAGGGGAAATGATGCCATATGCCACACTCAGCCATTGTTGGGGCGGTATAATCCCGTCCGTCACCACAATAGCTAACTTGAAGGTAAGAACTAGTGGAATGGACATCGATGAACTACCCCAGAACTTCAGGGACGCTATCGAGGTTACCAGAGCCCTCGGGTTACGATACCTGTGGATAGACGCTCTGTGCATCATCCAAGACTCGAAGCTGGATTGGGATCAGGAAGCTGGGAGGATGTATTCCGTGTACGCGGGTGCCTCGATAGTGATATCTGTCCTCGATTCTGCGGGCAGCACCAAGGGCTTTCTTAAGCCGAACAGACCACCACTGTCGCTAATAAGCGACGAATATGCCGTCCAGAAGGTGTATCTTGAGATTAATGAATACCTTACGGAATGCCCGTTAAACGGCCGCGGTTGGTGCATGCAAGAAAGACTTCTGGCCAAACGTGTGTTGCACTTTGGAAAGGAGCAGATGTTCTGGGAGTGTCTCACTGATTTTAAGTGCGAGGACGGGAAAAATTATACCGGCGAGTCGGACGGGCACTTCGTGGCAAAGTTCATGCAGATCCGAAAACAGATTGGTGTATGCGCCGCCAAAGGTGTTGAGTTAGATTGGAAGGCATGGTATCAGTTGCTAGAAGAGTACACTACACGGAAGTTCACCATTTCTACTGACAAGCTACCTGCTGTTGTTGGAGCTGCGGCATTATTCAAGTCTACCAAGCCAACTGCGACGTATATTGCCGGCTTATGGCAGGAAGATATCGCGCGTGGTCTCCTATGGTGCGCCCACTATTACCACGCGCCAGGCCGGAAAGTTTGGGGAATATCAACAACCGACGAGATCTCCGTACTATCTAAACCGCCTACGAAACGCGCACCCAGCTGGAGTTGGGCTGCCCTCGATGGCGCACTCGACTTTTGGGCACTCCGGATCGGGGGGTTTGTCGTTGAAGTCTTAGATGTGGCAATGGAAGCTGAGAAGGAGGTTATACATGGCTATCCGGATGGAAGTATAAAACTCAGGGGCCGCCTTGCGCAGATGTTTTATCACCCCCCGGAAGATAGTAAACACGACGTCGGTGTCTTGACATTTGAGCCAACCGACTCTCCAAATTTTCTTTCCGGGCCAGTCCATAGCTGTGTCATGGATTTAGATCGTCAGTCACCGCGACTATGCTGGGCGTTGGTAATGACGGAGTCACCTAACGACAAGTACTTGCTTGTTCTTCACATGCGCAAGGACGGATCCTACCGGAGGGTCGGAATGAGCAATGTACAATGGCGGGAGGTTGATCTAGCGAGGTTTAGAACACAAGAAATACGTATCACTTAAAATCATCATAATGAAAATACGAAATGAATAATTGTCACTTGACAATGGGAAACTCGGCACGGGTCACAATCAGGTTAATCATGGACGGCAACACCGGTTGCTTTGAACATTATAGTATTTTTTGTGGTTTTCCCTCAACTCAAGTACCCCTTTACCACTCGAGCCGGTCGTCGCATATTAAGCTGACATCATATCGACCATTTCCTTTCCAGACCTTCCCGCCCGAGTTGCATGACGCTACAATACTCCTTAAGTCGCTGATCATGCCTCCTGGTCCGCTTGCATATACGGCCGTGGAGCCTCTGACGGTGTTGTCTACGAATCCCCTAACTAACTTGTTCAGGTCGGGGTGTCTGTCAAATCCTTCCCCTCCGATTCTCTCGACATTGAGGGACGACGCAGACCGAACACCCTTCACGGAAGAAACAACAGACGAAGCCAAACCGGACTCCTTCGCGGCTATATCGTCCTTCTCTAATATATCGTCGTTTATCGACGGGCTCCTGCTGCTTGCTTCCCTCGTCACATATATGTGAACTTCAATCTTATGCGCCTTGGCGGCTTTTCGAATGGTATCGAGTTCCTTCTCGACCCAACGGGTATCATCCTTCTTCCTTACTGCCCAGACCAGCTGGACTTTCCGGTCCTTCATTTCTGGTTGCTCTATTATTCCAAGCAAGACTGGTAAGACGTACGTAATTCCTGTTCCACCAGCTACGCAGAGCACATTGACATCCGGTGTCAATTCATCGACTATCGACTCTCCATATGTTCCCGACAGGATTAGAGGAGTCGTTGCGCTAGGCGATGCGGCTAATTTCCTCGCAGTCAGTTCTGCGACCTTCTTCGTCTCTCCTTTCTTCGCTCTAAGAATGTACGAGTGAGAAACAAGCCCATCCTGTACCTTTGGCAAGTTGAGCGGCGTAAACGGATGAGACTGCCATAAGCTGCACTCCGTGAAGCAAAGGTAGAAGTGTTGTCCAACTGTCCAAGCATCCTGAGGATAAGTAAAATCCATACGCACGACATCCCCGTGCTCTGCGTCGGGAAAGTGCTTCAAAGATGCGTGTGCCGCCCGGAACCCCATGGATCCGCCAGGTAAATATTGGTAATGAATAAGGGCCGATCGCAAGAGTCTAACTCCACGGTCCAAGAACCAGAGAGCCAACCCCGGGATCAGGAAGCATTGCAAATTCGCCCAATGACCCCAGCAGGCCCCGATATATACCATCGCCAGGACGTAGTGCGCCTTGCGGAAGAACTCGTAGCCAGTGAGGCGAATACCCCAGGGAGTACTCAACGCAAAGAGGATTAACAGCAGGATTTGCGCGACAACTCCCCAGATGATATACAGCTGCTTGATCCATTCTATCGCGGTCGTCGGCTGCGGTTGATATAGTCGGACTTCGATTACAGTCCAGCCAATAGTGTGCAGAGATCCTTGCACAACGATGATATATCCGAGCCAGCGATGAAGAAAGTTGAAGCTCTGGTACGGGACTCCAGTAAGAAGAGAGAGGATAGATTCCCTGCTCGATAACAAGATCGACAGTGGCGTGAGAGCATATGCAAAGACGCCAACTCGGTCAGACCACGGGCCCAAGCTCGTTCTGGTGTTGTAAAGCTCGGGCTTGTTCTTTATGGGCGTGACCCATGTCTGGTACGTGATGCCGAGGAAGCTAAATATTAGCAAATAGCCTGCTAAGATAGTCAAGATCAAGACTTGAAGTCGCGTCGTTCGGCCAAAGACGAATCGAACCGAGTCGGGTAGTAAGTAGCGACGGATTAATGCCGCGGCCGTCCTCCTTATTCGCGAGCGTCGACTAGCTATTTTTGCTACTATTTCGCTCTCGATGGCACCGGTGGGTATCTCGTCGGCGCGAGGGGACGGGAAGACGCGTTTTCCGATAGTCCAAAGCAGGAGAATTCCAGCAATTACCGACCACATTATGCCGGAATAAACCATGGTCAAATCGTGGGATCCATACACCTGATCTAGGTAGGCGCAAGATCCGGGGTCGTTCGTACACGGAACGGCTCTGTCGACATAACCCCAGTGCTTCTCTAACGCGGCGGCCTCGCTGAGATTCTGAATATGGCGAGCTGCCAGCGGGTTCTCCATGGTAGCCATCTTTTTGCAAGTCGTCCTGACGACAGACACTGGAAGGCGTTTGATCGCGTATGACGGGCGAGCGACTGGCGTAACCCGAGAAGCGGGAAGGCTTTTTGTTTAATAAGACTGCAGAGTTTGCAAGAAGTCTGCAAGCTTAACTCCTGTCGACGGTTGATTGATGATCGACGGTTGCTTGCAGGAGCCAGTGGACGCGATGATAATATAATAAAGTGACCAAACAGACAAGCGAGTACAGCTCGTTGAGCTAGTTAGACAGGACACCGTCCAACCGTTGCACCCATTGCCGGGACAAGGTGGTGCCACCTTCAAGTTGCCTCCTCCGTCTAGAGGACAATTCCTCCCCAAGAGCTCCGTCATTCTCGGCGCGCTGGTGGAAACTTGCTCAATGATGCTACCCCCGACGGTTCGAAACATACACCGTTCAGGCCGTTAAGCCCGTGAAGGGAAAGCTTGAGAAGAATTGAGCACGTTTTTCAGGGGTCGTATATGGCTTGGCGTACAAGGATGTCTTACTTGAGACCACCAATAATAGACTAGACTCTTGGACGTTTGAGGCGTCGAGCCGTCGAAAACGAAGCCCTAATGGGCCAAACAGTCGGATTTGTATCCACTTTGCCTGCGTCCTAGATACGATCATCTGCCTTTCCGCTGAAACCCGCCATCTGACGCTTTTATCTAAGACTGTTAAAGAGGGACTTTACGTTGTAGGCGCGGTCGCCGCGCCCAGTCCTTTCTCATCCTCGAACTATCGACCTTCCCAAAAGGCCGAATCTTGCTCTTATACTCTCATCTTATAAGATATCGTCATCTTTCTATGTCGAGCGGGTCGCAAAGTCTTGGAAAAGCGACGGCATAATAAAGGCATCAGTGTTCCTACATCCTAAAACTTGAGTCTTCACAGGCCAAAATTCCTCGTCCCGGGTCCAATTGCAGGCTGATTTCCGCGTCATCCTCCGAGCGCACCCAACGGGAAGGTTGTTACAAATTTTGCCGGCGCATCTAAATTAACCGCCAACATGGATCACAGCCATATGGATATGGGGAGTAGCAACGCTACGTGCACACATGCGGTACGTGTGACTAATTGATACTGAAATAGAGCCGACTGGACAATGACTGACCGAGAAATAGATGGCATGGAACTGGAGTACTATTGGCACTTGTAAGACTTCCTCATTATATCCAGGACATATCCAAGAGGCTTGGCGTGGATACGCAGGTTATTAACAGATTCTAGGCCTCCTTGCTGAATCGTGGCGCATTGAAAACGAGGGGACTTTTGCAGCCTCGTGTATCGGCGTTTTTATTCTTGTCATATGCCTAGAGTTCCTCCGCCGGATAGGAAAGGAGTATGACAGCTTTATCCTACGGCAGTTCCAGCAGCATTTAGCGGCGGAAACCCGCGCATCCAAAGGAGAAGACTCATGCTGTTCCGAGGCGCCGGCCCCGGGGCCGCAAGTCGTCACGTTTAGGGCAACGCCCGTACAGCAGCTGATCCGTTCTATCATACACGCATTTGCGTTCGGTGCCGCATACATACTCATGCTCATAGCTATGTCATATAACGGCTACATCATAATAAGCATCATTATCGGCGCTGGTGTTGGAAAGTTCCTATGCGATTGGATGATCGCCAAGGTCGTGATCGGAAACGAGTCCCAATCAGATAAAGGGGCGAACAGCGGCCTGGAAGAGCCGTCTGTATGCTGTGGTTAATGTCAGATTTACGTTTAGATACCCATTGTGTAGTTTTTGGTTCAGGTTTGCTCGGACAATAAATGCCTAATTTCATCGGTACGATTTAAGGCTGATCTGCAAGAAGTATGTTTTCGATACCCAATCCGCTGCGAGATCGACCAGTGGAAGAAAACTTTTAAGTCAAAGTCGCAGCATAGAAAAGTTCTCGACCTATTATCACATGCAAAGCAAGTGCTACGACTCGTCGTCTTATAGATATATTTAGTTCGATTGTAGATCGATCGAATATCAACTAAAGTGAGGTGACCCGATTGCTTGGTTACTTTGGAGTCGTTACTAAATGCGATCTGTTACTTGGACACGACGAGACTTGGGTAATTACCCTGAGCTTGGGGGTCACGCTTGACTTTGTAACCTCGTCTTAAACACCACCAGTCGCGATACAAGAATATCGCGTCAACCTCTGGGTTTACATAATGTGTGACCTATTTTTGGGTTCTCCCCGGATTCCAACAGGCTTGGATCAGCCGGTCGAATATTAGGCAATACGGATCTGGCTATTTTCGATGACAACATCGACGTCCTACACCGATGGGATGTATCTTGGTCTCGAAAGAGGAACTCCAGACTCGGAGGTGAAGGTCTTGGAATGAAGGAGAATCTGAAAAGGTACGAAAGTTTTTATCTTTTGTCTCAAGAAACGTATACTGGAGGCAGCCCTGCGGGCTGCACAATATGCCCGAGTTTACATAATTGCGCACGTGCCAGATACTGCCCATTGAGTTACTTTCCTATTTGGGCCATGGAAAAAATTCGACACAATAACCCCTCGTAAACTCGGGCATATCTCAGAATCAAGCTTCTCATCTAAGTCTGATAGCATTATCATAATACGACTAAGATGGGCGCTATTTTCTCCGTCGCCGTTCTTTCCATGCTTAGTATGGGAATGGCCAACCCAATTGTTAAGGCGAGCACTAGCACGCCGTTTTGATTCCCGGCCAACGTAACAGGCAGCATGTCGCTACCTTATTTCCCCCATAACATAACTAGCAGCGCAACAATATGGGCACCCACCAACGTCACGAGGAGCGCTACTATCTACTCTCCTGACTCTACCCCATCCTCTCTCTAAGGTCTCAACAACGAGCTGTTGCTGTCGATCGACCCTTGCTATCTGCCTAAGCCTTGCGCGGTAGTCGATCATTACATGTCCAAGTAACCGAGGGAATGTTTCTGAACTGCGAACGACGAATCGGCAACTGAATCGGAAAGTCTGTTCGGAGATCTAGAGTAGAAAGCCGAGTGAAGTGCGAAAGTGTGCTCCTTTCTCGCACCAGTCTTGCGGTCCGTAGGCGAATGCATTTTTTATGGGCTATCGGTATTTCATACATGAAAAGATGTTGAATGATGGAACTATTAGGGAAGGCCTTCGACCGTTTCCGGACATCTCGTGGAACTTATTGATGGTCTTACTCCAAATAATTGGCTAAGACCCATTGTATATACTCCTCGGAAAGTTGTCGTTACGTTGTAAATATGGGTTCGGATGGAAAATGTTCGGAGTCTCGCCGTCTCGGGGGGATTTTGAGTTTTTGTTTTCAACTTGGAGTATATATAAAATCAATAGACGAGTATAATTGGTCAGTTGAAATATTTAGATGTGAATAACTAGATGTCTGCATGGTGCTTAGTGTTGTCTTCGACTCTATTGCCGCGCCATATCCTAGTTTTACAGGTAAATCAATGACCGTGTCTTGATGTCATCGGTGGTCTTACGGCGCCGTCGATCGGGCGCTGTTCTATCACTAGAAAAATATAAAAAAGGAATGAAATTTTGCCAAGAGATGTTGAAGTCAGCAGGCAATCGCCAGTAAATTCCGATACACATAATATATATCATTGACTTATATCCTCAAGCGCCACCATGAGCAACCCGGATAACCCCAACATCAGCCAACGCAGCACGCCGCAATGGGCCCTCTATCAGAGGGAGCTCTTCTGGGCACCGAACGAGGAGAAGCACCCGCCCTTTAACACGCGTGAGAATCGATACTATATATAATATGAGTATCGCGTAATCTAACGGAATCCATAGACCCCGATAAGCTGAGAGAGACGGCTAGGGAGCGCCTCACCCAGTCTGGATGGTATGACAGTCTACTTTATAAAACCAATCATTAAACCAAATCTCACCTAAATCCTAGGCACTACGCATCCTGCAACGCCGGCCTCTCATGGACACACTACGCCAACCGACAGGCTTTTTACCGGCACCAAATCGTGCCGCGAATGCTCGTCGGCACAGACCAGCGGGACACCGCAACCACCATCTTCGGCCATCGCGTCGCAGCACCGATTGGGTTCGCACCTATCGGCATTAATCGGATCTACCACGCGACGGGGGAACTCTCCCCCGCGAAGGTGGCCGGCGAACTGAACCTGCCGTACTGTCTGAGCTCCGCCGGCAGCTACAGCATCGAGGACGTAGCGCACGCCAACGGCGACGGCGGCGTACGCTTCTTCCAGCTATACTGGAGCCCGGACGATGCCGTGGCGTTGTCGATGCTGCGACGTGCCGCGCAAAACGGGTATACTGCATGCATGTTGACTACGGATACATGGCAGCTAGGCTGGCGACACGACGACGCCGCGCATGGGAACTATGCGTTTTACCACGAGCACGGGGCAGGCGACCTCGGGCTCAACGACCCGGCGTTCCTAGATCGTCTGCGAGAGGCGAAGCTGGATCCGAAAGATCCCAAGGACAAGTACCGCGTCGGCGCGGAGTGGATCGACAAGCACATATGGCACGGACAATCATTCTCGTGGAAGAGATTGCCATGGCTGATTGAGAATTGGAAGAAGCTTAGTGGTGGGAAGCCGTTTTGCATCAAGGGGATCCAGAGCGTGGCGGATGCGCGCAAGGCGGTTGAGCTGGGGGTCGATGGGATTGTTGTTTCGAATCATGCTGGGCGGCAGGTTGACGGCGCGATTGCGAGTCTGGATGCGCTGGAGAAGATTGCGGATGCGGTGGGGGATAAGATATACGTGAGTTTACCAAAGTTATATCCTTTAACAGGAAAGATATGAAAACAGCAATATGGTACTGATAGCTATACGGCAGATCATGTACGACTCGGGCGTCCGGGGCGGCGCTGACGTGTTCAAGGCTCTAGCGCTCGGAGCCAAATTCGTGTTGATAGGTCGTCTATGGGTGTACGCGCTGGGCTCCGGCGGCGAGGAAGGTGTGCGCCATGTGATGAAGGGACTTCTGGCAGATTTCGACATTTTGATGAACGTCGCGGGGTATCCAGAGCTGAAAGATATCAATCGCGATGCTTTGGACTCCCTGCCGAAGGGAGCTTACTTCCCGTCTACGACGGAAATCGCGTGAGCATTCAACAGATTTTACAATGCCGACGAAGAGGTGGTTGAGCTGTTGTAAACGGTCACTTCTGAGATCACGAATGAAGAAAGCGATGGCAACGACTGGTAAATTGACAAATTGACAAAGGGAATATTGGAGTCTTAGATGTTTTCGACACGGAGCGAACGCAAAGCCGTCTCTGGCAATGCACATCAAGGTTATCTTCATATATACATTCACGTTTCCGTAGGCTACCCTCTTTTCTCATATATGCTTCCCACTTAACCCGTAACGTTGAAGTAGTTCGCGGCAATAGGGTCCTTTAGTCCGGCAGCCGTGATGAACTTGGGAACGCTAAAGCCAGTCTTCTGGCTCTGGAGCATCTGACTCGCGGCCGCGGGGACCTGCCAGTTCTCCGGCTGCTCCCAAAGTAGGTTCGTGTATCGGTGCGGGTGAGGGGGGTTCTCCGGCTGAGGTGCCGGGGCAAACCATGCCACGGGGCCGTTGGCCGTGGACGTAAGCGTGCTGACGCCGTCGACTGATGCACTGCCGCTGGCCTTGAAGTCTCGGATCACGGTGTGAAGATATGTAGCTGGTTGGCCCTGGCCGGGGTTTATGAAGTTGGTTGATCTAGCATCATAGAGTTAGCAACAAGAAATAAGTTTCCAGGAGTCGTTGAAACATACGCATCGAGGTCTGTTATAAATGATCAGCTAGCTGGTTTTTGAAAACTTCAAGGATACGACTTACCGATCAGCATCCACAGATAGGTACCGTTAGCAGGAATTCCCAGACCAATAGTCGGCTGCCTCGAGGTTTCGGTTTTCGCCAGTGCTAGACCAGGCGTCACAGACTTGGTCCCGAATGTGACCTCGAGCTTTTGCTCTACGACCGGAGCGAAGCCCGACGGGGTCTGAGCAACTGAAATGCTGGCAAAAGCCAGGGCGGACAGAACACCGAAACTCTTCATCTTGAATATCAACGTCTATGGTAATAATTATTTTATGCGAGTCGACGATCCGTCACATTAGGTAGGCTCCCAGGACCCGGGTCTGATATAAATAGTAGGTTGTCATCGAATCGCGTGTCTTGCGCCATAACTCATGCGGAGCTCTTTTACATTATTCAGGGGTAGGCAATCTACTTCATGTTAATGCCGCCACTATGAAGTTTATATACGCTCGTTGGCTAAATAGCCAATTTTCCTCATCGGGCTCGGGCGACCTCTGCATTGCCAATCTTCCGTCTTGGCGAATTAGCTATAAGAATTTACTTGAACGCGGGGTCTCCGCAAATTGATGGCAGTTATCTAGCTTGGATTTTGATATTGGTTGCCGATCACTCAAATAGCAAGACCTATCTAGACTTGCCCCTATCACGGGACCCTGGAGAGTATCCTATCGTTCCTAGGAAAGTTTCTCCTTGGTTGTAGTCCTATGGACGCCGGATCTCATCTGCTTTATAATTCTCTATTCGAATGAATTTTAATGCATTAGATGTTGCTTGTTAGACTTTGGAGGACAACACTGATAAGATTGTAGAAAACACAGGGGGCAACAAAGAGATCTATAAGACAAATTATTACATTAATAAAAGAGCGACTACTAGCATGATACGTAAGTAGTTTAAAGCATCAAAATACCTACGCCGTGAGATACAAACGTACACAATATACGTGACTAATCTCAGGACTTTCAGTCCTATGCCGATACATCTAAAAAAACGCGTACGGTCTCGTTCGTAGTTTCCAACGAGTTTCCATGTCAAACTTCTCAACCGAGCGCATCCATACGAGAAGACAAGGGGCCCAACGGATCGCCTGTCCCGTTTCCCATAGCCTATCTCTTATGACCTTGACTGTACGCGATCCCATCATCTCTTCCTTGATTTGGCGCGAACGGAGTCTCTTCACCGGCCTCTTCATGGCTAGCTTTTTCTCCTTCATGACTCTGCGGCTCGTATTGACTTCGACAGTTGGTGATTCGAGAGTTTGTTCCTTTTGATGTTTTGCTTTCTCTGCCTTTTTCTGCTTACGCCTCTCCTTCTGTCGCTCTTTGTAGGTCTTCTGCGGCGAAGAAGCAGGGGGTAATTCGGGAGAAGGCTGTATAATAGTAGATGGCGTAGGAGGAGATGTATTAAGGGGCACTGTGGTAGGAGGCGTCGCTGGAGGAGGCGTCGCGGGAGGAGGAGGTGTTGTAGAAGGAGTTGTGACAGGAGCGCCACGAATAGCCAGCTCACAGACCAGCTTGATTACTTCGCGACTGACCAGATTCGATAGATCACGAAGCCCCATAGCATGGAGTACTTGTGGATTTAGGGTCATTCTCTGGGGCGGAGTCTCGTCCACGACTGGCTTCGCGTTAATCTTCTCTGCAGCCTGGTCACGTTCGATTTCCGAACGAATATCACGAAGACGATCAACCTTTAGCTGCATGGATTCCATCCCGGATTGTAATGACTCTCCCATAAGGCTCAATTTAGGCATGATCTCGTCAATTACCAAGCTGTGCCTCTCTTGGATCTCTTTCAGCTGATTGCGATGGGCTTCAAGATGCTCTCCATGAATTTCAAGGGCGACTTTATATCTAGCAGCCTCTCTGATTACCCGGGGGGTTTTCAACTTGTCGGATCCAGTTTTTTTGGTGTTCATCGCGCCAGTGTTCCCGTCCGCGGTGTCTATTCGGTTGCCACCTTTAGAAGCCATCGTGAGATTGTTGATTTATGTTGTAGTGGTAAATTTTGGATGGCATTTTTTCCTGTGGGGCTGTGAGAAAGTAGGCAGATGGTTGCCTTGGTTTAGAGAGCCCAAACTGTTTATTCCAGAACGCGTGTTGACAATGTGGTTGCACGGGTGATTTAGTTGCCTCAACTCGCAGAGAAAAAGCGGATGGAACAGGTGACATGCTCTTTACCATCAATCCTAACACAACGACGTGTTAATAAACGATTATTGTAACACACCGGTGCTTTCATTGATTCTAGAATTTTGTATTGTGGTTTCCATTCACTTTTTATCCTGAAAATAATACACAACTCTCTAAAGGGATTGAATTTAAAGATCTACTCATCGAAACATAGATAGTAAGCCTATTAATGTGAAACTTCGAATTATCAAAGGGACGGCATGTAAATAGAACAACTCATTTTGCATTAGCCAATTAAGCTTGGCGCGTCCTGATTTTAAGAAATTCGATAGAACATGAGGAGTTTTTATATTTGCTAGGAAGGAATGCCGAGTTTCTTTGCTTAATGTGCGAACTTAAGCACAATACCGCCGCCATCATTAATACAGTCAAATATGGAATTTGGAAACGTCCGAATTTATGAGGGTTATTATCCTAGGCTACTTTTCTCATATTATGTTCTTTGCCAGAACTTCTCATAAATTTGGGCTATTGTAGCCCGAAAAGGTACCCTCTTGTTTCTTGATTAGAAATCTAAAGCAGCGAATAGAGTTGAAGTAGATGCAAACTATCAATTCCGTATATTCCAAGCGGCATGACAGTTATTAATAACATGCCACAATTGCCAGTGTTAATAATTCAGTTACGAGGAACAGTAAATGCCTTATCACCTGGAATAGATCGCCGGTTATCTCAGTGAACTCAGACCAGTGACGCAAACTTTGTTATACCCCCTCCAGCCACACCTTTTTTTGACCAATCACACCCCCAACCTACTCCCCTTACAAATTTCGCATCTTTGATCTAAAGTAACTCGGGCGATTTTTACTACAATAATTATTTAACATTAAAAATAACAATAACATTAACGCGTTTAAAATAAGTTTTAATTAATTTAAAATATTTATTAATTTTATTATTAATAAATATACGTGTTTGCCCGATTTTTTAAACGTTTAAATACACGTGTTTTAAACGTTTTAAACGTTTTAAACGTTTTAAAATAATAATTAACCGCATTATACCGGTTATAACACTAGTTATAACGTTTTTAAAAATATATTATTAATTTAAACGTTAAAGTTTATAATATTATAACGTAATATTATATAAATATATAAAAAAAATAAAAAACTTAAAAAATTATTATATTAACTTTAAATTAAAAAAAATAAAATATATTATACGTTATTATAAATATATATGTAAATATAAATATTATTTTAATATATTATTATATGTTTTTATATATTTTTAAACGTTAAAGTTTAAAATATTATAACGTAATGCCGTATAAATATATAAAAAAAATAAAAAAGTAAAAAAAGTAAAATATTAACTTTAAATTATAAAAATAAAAATTATTTCGTACGTTATTATTAAATATTAAATTATCGTAAATATAAAGTTTAATTTTTAAAAAAATTTATTTTAACGTGGTTAAAAACGCCCGAGTTATTTTAAATTAAAATTTATTAAAACTTATGCTTTAATTATTTTTTTAAACTTATAGACCCATAAATATAATAACATAAACCAAGCGTTTTATAACGTTTATAACGCAATCGGGCGTAAGTTTAATTTTAACGAATTTTAATTTAAATTTATTAAAATAAATCGCCGGGTTTTTTTTTAAACTAATACACGGTATTATGCGCTTACATTTCGAAATTAAAAACGGGGGTTTTATTCGCATTTTTCGTTTTTTAACGATTTTTATAAAAGTTTAATATATTACTTTATACCAATAAAACCATTACCAATTAAAGTTATTAAATAATTAAAATTTAAAAAATAATTAATATTAAAATTGTTTTTTTAAAAGTAATATTAATTATAAATTATTAAATTATTAATAAAATAAAATAATAATTTTTTATTTTATATATTTTATAAAAAGTTTAAATTATTAATTAATAAATATCATTAATATATAAATTTATATAAAATATTAAATAAATTACCACATTTATTTTATTTATACATTAATTATATTATTAAAATAATTAAAAAAAATTTTTTTTTTTAATTTATTAAATTTTATATTAAATAAAATTTTATAAATTAATAATTTTATTTTAATAAACGGTTTTTAAGTTATTAATGTAATATTTTACATTTAATAAAAAATATTATATTTTTTTTTATTTTTTTTTATTATTTGTTAAATTTACCCGTTATAATGGTTAACATATAAAAAATTATTATAAATTTAAAAATTATATATATTTTAATATTATTAAAAACATATTAAAATTAATATAACTTATAAATCGAAAATTAATTTATTAAAATTTAATATTTTTAAATTTTATAACTTACATTTATATATTATAAATTATTCCCGATTAAATTTTTAATTAATGTTAAAATTAATTTATTTTTATATTATTTTTATTTTTTTATATAATGTTTTTATTTTAATTAAAGTAATTTTTAAATTATTTTATTAATTAAATTAAAAATATATATTATTATTTAATTATATTTTTTTAAAAATTTTAAATTATAAGTAAAACAAAGTATATGTACGGATTAAGTAATAAAAAAAAATAAAAAAAAATAACGTAACGAATAAAAAAAAAAAGAAAAAAAATAATACAAAATAAAGTTATTACGATAATTGTTATTATAATGATTATTGTTATTATTAAAATTACGAATTATATGTATAAATATTATTTAAAAAAAATTACCTTTTGTGTAAAAAATAGTCACGTGTTACCACGTGATTATCTTTACGTAATGACATTTTATTATTAATAACTTTTTTTTATCTTTTTTTTTTATATAACGTAATTACATATAATTTAATTAAATTTAATTAATTTAACATTAATAAATTTTTATTTTTTTTTATTTTTAATCCGTTTTTTTTATATTATAACGTAATTGTTAATAAGTTTTAATTTATTATAATAATAATAAATTTAAATAAATTAAATTAAGTTAAAACGGTTAAAATAAAAGTAATGGTTAAAGTTTTTATTAAATTTTTCATTTAATTAAATTTCGTTAAATTTTTTCGTTTAATTTAATTTTACATTAAACCTTTTATTTAATTAAATTTTTTTAAATTTTTTTATTTAATATAATTTTTCGTGGTAAAGTTTTTTATTATATTAATTAAAATTAATTAAAGTTAATTAAAGTTAATTAATTAAAACGGTTAAAATAAAAATCGTTTAATTAAAAACGAGGTTATTTTTAATTAAATCGTTTAATTAAAAACAAAGTTATTTTTAATTAAATTATAAAAATTATCGATTTAAATTATTTAAAAATAATCGTATATTATAATAAATTTAATATAATTAACCGATTTTAATTTTATAATAAAAATTTTTAACAATTTTAATTTTTTTATTTAATATGTCATTTATTAAATTATATTTTTTATTTTTATATTTATATTTATTATTGTTATATATTTTAATATAATTAATGATGTTTTATAATGATTTTATCGGTTAAATATACGTAATAAATTTATTAAGTTTTAATAAAATTATTTATAAAATCGGTTATATTTATAAAATTAATTTTAATATTATTATCGATTATAAAATAAACTTCGGTATTATCGGGATTAATTGTGTTTTTTATAAAATTAACTTTAATGTTATTAATTATTTTACATTTATTTTGTTTAATTATATTATTTATATTTAAAACGGTTAAAATGTTAAACGGGTAAGTTTTTAACGTATTATTTATAAAATTTAAAATATTTATAACATTTTAACCGTAATTTTATTAAATTTGTTAACGTAATATAAATTAATTATTAAAATAAAATTATCGAAATAACGTTTTAATAAAAATGTACTTTTATTAAATGAAAATTTCGGGGATTTTTTAACGTTAATTATTATTTTTTATCTTTTTAAAAAAGTTTTTTTTTTATTAAAATATATTTTATAATATAAAAAATAATTTGTTATTATTAATTAAAATAAACGGTTTATTTTTTAAAAATGTTTTATTTATTATTTTATAAAAAAAATTTTAAAATTATTTTATATATTTTTATAACATTTATCGTTATAATATTCGAAATAATAAATAAAGTTTTTTATATAATACGTATTAATTTACTTTATTATTATTTTGTTTAATTAAAAAACGTTAAATTTAATATTTAAAATATTTTTTTTTAATATATTTATTTTATATTAAAGTTATATTAAATGGTTATTAAACAAAAGGTAAAAACTTTTACAAAGTATGGTTTATTACTTTAACAATTTAATCTTTGTAAAAGGTTTTAAACCGTTAATAATGGCGTTATATTTTAATTTATAAATATAAATTTAACTGATTAATAATTAAGGAATAAAAAGCAATAAAATAAAATCGATATAAATTAAAAGTTAAAATAATTGTTATTTAAAAAATGATTTAAAATAAAAGTATGTGTGTTTTTAATTAAAAAAATAAAATGATTTTAAAACTTTTATATGATTTATAAAGCTAAAATTACGTAATAAAATATCTTATAACCGGGTTTAATAATACCACATTTGTTTAATATTTTTTAAAGTTAACAATGTTAATAATAACGAAATAACTTTAATAAAAAAATAAATAAACGTAAAAGCTTTTAATTAAACTACTTTAATAATAATATAATAGTTAATAGTTAAAATTGTTTATATTTTCATCTTTTAATTTAACAACTTTTACTTGTTTTTTAACTTTAGTTTCGGTTTATTTCGCACGGTTTTTTACTTGATTAATGACTTTTTTAAACTTTAACTTTGTTTATTTAAACTATGACTTAAATTTATTTTAACTTAATTATTTTATTGGAAAATTAAATTATAATTAACTGGTAACGGTTTTATATATATTAATGGTTTATTAATATAACGTAAGTTTTTTATGTTTATATTAATCAGTTTTATGTAAACCGGGGTTATTTTAATAATTTAA